TTTTTTACAAGTTCAAGTATTTTATGTGTTTGAACACAATCACATCAGTTGAACAACCAAAATCACCGCAAGTTTTAGGAGTTGTCTATGGTATATAATAATTAAAAAAATGGGTGTTATACATTTATTTATTATATTTGTATCACTATTGTAAATATTTTTATCATTATTATCGTATCAAAAAAAATAATAAAAATAATTATTATAACTGATGGTCAAGCTCAAGAAGAGCCCAATTTATTTGGAAAACTCAAACCTCAATTGAAGAGTCTAATCTTATAAAGACCCACTAAACCTAATATTGTCCAAGTCTAGTCTCATCAGTTCGGCTACGTCATCGAGAGAGAGAGAGAGAGAGAACGAGAGCCTTACCTGCACCGCAGAGGAAACAGTCCACTCTCACGTCATCTTTGACCGCATCTCATGGAGAGCTCCCCAACCTTCTCGCTCGTTGAGAAGAAATCGTGAGCTCTACCACAATAATCTTTTAGTTGCTGTAAAGTAGCCCAAATCAGTTAGGGGACCACTATAAATTGCACGTCCTACCAACACTTGGGGGGCATGATACTTTTATCTGGGCATCACTTTTTATCTGAGCACGACTCTCTTCTCTCCCTCAAAGTTTGTACTCTCTGCTCCTCACACCCTTGAGTTAATAAAATAGCCGGCAACTGAGAGCCATTGAAGAGTGGACGTAGGTCAAGTTGACCGAACCACTATAAATCTTGTCTCCTCCAATTCTCTCTTTACTTTTACTGCATTTATTATTTACACTTGATAGGTGGTGTGCAAAGTCATTTTGTGCATCGTCAATTTGGCGCCGTCTGTGGGAAACGACAAAAATTCTCACTTCAAAACATTTCATTTACTGAATCAATGACGATCACTACCAGATTCATGAACCAATCTGAAGACGATCCTCCACGAGAGGAGGAGGTTGTTCCTCCACCTACCAAGCCTGTCTCGAATGCTCTAACTCCAAATCCATAGCAAATATTAGACACCATGCAGCAGCTGGTGGCCCAAAACCAGCAAATACTGCAACTCATGCTCGCTGGACAAGGAGGAGCACAACTAGGAGCTCCACGCCCTGGACATCAAGGAGCTCCACGCCCTGACCATGAAAGAGCTCCACGCCTTGCACATCAAGCAGCTCCACGCCCTGGACATCAAGCAGCTCCCCATTTGGAGTTCTCTTGGGTGCCCCTCATAGGAGAGCTCCCCACGAGGGACCTCCACCTCCTCTTCCAGCTCCCTTTTCTCATGGTGGAGGCTTTCTTTTCCAAGAGGACAAAGGGTGAGAACCAGAGCATGGAGCATGGAAGCCATTTTCAAGATAATTCCAAAGGAGCTCTCAACCACTGGGACAAAAAAATAAAAGAGGTACAAAATCAATTATGCGACATTTTCAATACTATGAAGGCACAGAGACCCGAGACAGTGGACTGCCTCGTAAGTTGAACCGACACACCCTTCGTACCTAACGTGGCGAACTACCCACTTCCCAAGAAGTTTAAAATGCCATCCGTTGAAACCTTTGACGGTACAAAGGACCCACTTGATTACATCGACACTTTTAAGACTTTGATGCAACTATACAACGTCCCTGACGAAAATTATGTGTAGGACATTCCCAACTACCTTAAAGGGATCAGCGCGACAATAGTTCACCAAACTCACCCCGGCCTCCATAGGCTCATTCGCCGAACTGAGCAGATCCTTTGTGACACAATTCATTGGTGGACGCCACCAGCAAAAGCCTGTCATCCATCTGCTCAGCATAAAATAGGATCGAGATGAGAGTCTAAGAAGTTACCTCACTCGTTTTAACGTGGAAGTCCTCCAAATCGAGGAACCCAATGACAAAGTTACCATGACTGCCTTCCTGGGAGACCTTTGCTCATCCAGATTCCTTTTTTCAGTAATGAAAGCAACCACCAAAGAGCATGACAGAACTATTGGCAAAAGCTCAAAGATATATGAATGCTGAGGAAATCAACAGGTTTAGGCAAGGTGAATCATTTCACAAATCACCAGAAGCTTGATCTGCCTCTGTACTGTTCTCAAACAGACAGCTTATCTCCAGCTTAGCGGCTCTCTCACGGGTCGCCAAAAAAGCTTGGCCTCTGCACTGTTCTCAAACAGGCAGCCTATCTCCAGCTTAGCGGCTTTCTCACGGGTCGCCAAAAAACTTGGTCTCTGCACTGTTCTCAAACAGACAGTCTATCTCCAGCTTAGCGGCTCTCTTGGGAGTCATTAAAAAAGCTTGGCCTCTGCACTGTTCTCAAACAAGGAGCTTATACCTAAAGCTTAAAGACTCCCTCATGGGTCGCCAAAAGTTAGGTCTCAAAAAGTGTAGCTCTCTCACGAGCAGTTCTCCAACTCTATCATTGCTCTCCCGCAAACAGTCTACCTCTCTCTCTTTCCAGGTAATTATGTGAGATATTTTAATGTTTGGAATACCATTGTTTTTGTCATCACAAGCAGGCTTGCCCAAAGCGCCCAAGGCAACCCCCTAAGCGCCCGAGGCAGCCTCTAGCTCACCTAAGGCGCCCAGCACCTGAAGAAGTGCTTGATCCTATGTGCTCATCTAAACGAACCAGCCTAGTACTTGGAGAGGTGCCTGACGCTTTATGCTCGTCTAAACGAGGTAGCCCAGTGCTTGGAGAGGTGCCTAATCGTCTTTGCCCGCCCAAATGGGGTGGCCCAGCAGCTGGAGAGGTGCTTGGCCCTTTAAAATTGAGCAAAACAGTACCTCTGGTGCCCAGATCAGCGCCTATGGCGCCCAGGTTGCTGCCCAGCTCTCTCCGCTGCTCCTTGGCTCGGTTTCCTACACCTCCAGCTCCTGATGCCCAGGCTGGCACCCAAGCTACATCTCCATCTCCTGATGCCCAGGCTAACACCCAGGCTATATCTCTATCTCTTGATGCTCAGGCGTCCCAAGTTGCACTTTCAGCTCCTAATGCCCAAGCATTCTAGGCTGCACCTCCAGCTCCTGATATCCAGGCATCCTAGGCTGCACCTCCATCTCCTGATGCCCAGGCTGCATTTCCAGTCACTAGCGCCCAGATAGCTTCCCCAGATGACCAGTCGTCCATTTTAAATTCTAAACCCTCCACTCTTCTACTTTGGAAACTCTATGTAGGTGGCCCCTCGACTAGTAAAGGAGGAGGAGCGGGCCTAATCTTGATCAGCCTAGATGACACCACTCTCAAGTATGCGGTGAAGCTCCACTTTATTGCTTCCAACAATGAGATAGAGTAAGAAGCCCTCCTCTCTGGATTAAGATTGACAGTGGAAATGGAAGCTCAACACCTTGTCATCTACAACGACTCTCAGCTGATAATTAATCAAGTGAGGGCCACGAATTTCAACTATGCATCAGCTGAGTCAAACGAGGTAACCCAGCACCTGGAGAGGTGTCTGACCACATTTGCTCGCCCAAATGAGGCAACCCAGCGTTGCCTGATGCTCCAAAGTTACACAAAACAGCTCCAAAAGCGCCCAAATCAGTGCCTGGAGTGGCTCCTAGGCTTGCCCCTGAGCCTAGGCTGTTGCCCAGCCCCCTACTCACCCATTGTGCACGCCTGATGGTCTGGACAGCCCCATTTTTTGCCTGCCCGCGACTATCCAGCTCCCTGCTCTGTGCACTGAAGCTACCCAACTATCTATTTTGCGTGCCAAGGTTGTCCAGCACTCCACCCAAGTTGTTCATCCCTCTGTTCTGCGCGTCCAAGCTGTCCAGCCCCCTTTTCTGCACGCCCAAGCTGTCTAGGACAACATTTTTAGCGCCTAAGTTGTCCAAGACAGCTCCTTCAGCACGCAAACTGTCCAAGATAACATTTTCAGTGCCTAAGCTGTCTAGGACAGTTCCTTCAGCACCCAAGCTGTCCAGAACAGCCCTTCCAGCTCCTGGGCAGCCCCCTGCACTCCTCTTAAAAATCCTAGCAAAAGTGAAAAAGACTTGAAATGTGCACCAAAATAAAAAATACATTATACAAATGAAGAGTAAATGCCTCATTCTCCAAGTTTCCTTAGACATAGGAGGCATTGGGGGGCAAATGATAGGTCAAGCTAAAAAAGAACCCAATTTATTTGGAAAACCCAAACCTCAATTGAAGAGCTCAATCTTATAAAGACCCACTAAGCCTAATATTGTCTAAGTCCAGTCTCATCAGTTCGGCTACGTCATCAAGAGAGAGAGAGAAAACGGGAGCCTTACCTGCACCGCAGAGGAAACAGTCCACTCTCACTTCATCTTTGACCGCATCTCATGGAGAGCTCCCCAACCTCCTCGCTCGTTGAGAAGAAATCGTGAGCTCCACTAGAATAATCTTTTAGTTGCTATAAAGTAGCCCCAATCTGTTAGGGGACCACTATAAATTGCACGTCCCACCAACACTTGGGGGGCATGATTCTTTTACCTGGGCATCACTTTTTACCTGAGCACGACTCTCTCATCTCCCTCAAAATTTGTACTCTCTGCTCCCCACACCCTTGAGTTAATAAAATATCCAGCAACTGAGAGCCATTAAAAAGTGGACGTAGGTCAAGCTGACCGAACCACTATAAATCTTGTCTCCTCCAATTCTCTCTTTACTTTTACTGCATTTATTATTTACACTTGACAGGTGGTGTGCAAAGTCATTTTGTGCATCATCAATAACCATGGTAAATCACCCACAAATATATTAATTTTTTCTGTACCAAAGAAAAGTGATAAAATAGTTACCACAACAATAGTAAAAATAATTATAAAAATAATAAAATTTTAATTATAAATTAATCAAATAAAGTAATTAAAAAATCCATTAAAATAGTAAATTTTAAAGTTACAATACCGAATTTTTTTTGTCCAATGCACACTAGGTTGGGTCACATTTAAGCTTGTCTGTACCCTGTACATCACATCATCTCTCTCTCTCTCTCTCGCTACGATAACATATAACTATAAGAGAATAGGCTACTAAAATGGAACATGAACTCCTAAACAAAACTGAGCATGGCAACAATTCAGAAGCCTTGTGTGCTTCTGTTTCATCTCCTGTTTCTCTCTTTACTTCCACTGAAGATCACATCATCTCCAAGAACAGAAGCAGAAGCTCTTATAAAATGGAAGAACAGCCTATCATCTTCTTCTCTCAATTCATGGTCTCTCAGCAACCTCAGCAACCTTTGTAATTGGACCGGGATTGTCTGCAACACTGCTGGAACTGTTTCTGAGATAAACCTCTCCGATGCAAACCTCAACGGAACACTTACCGAATTCAACTTCACTTCATTCCCAAATCTCACCATCTTCAACCTCACAAGCAACAGTCTCAGTGGCTCTATACCATCAGCCATAGCCAATTCCTCCAAGCTCACTTCCTTGGACCTGAGCAACAACCTCTTGGAAGACATAATACCGCCCGAGATTGGACAGTTAAAAGAGCTTCAGTATCTTAGCTTCTACAACAACAATCTCAATGGCACCGTTCCATATCAAGTTAGCAATCTTCAAAAGGTATGGTTCTTAGACCTCGGATCAAACTACTTAGAAACTCCAGAATGGTCAAGATTTTCGAGCATGCCTTTGTTGAAACACCTCAGTTTTTACCTCAATGAACTTACCTTAGAATTCCCAGAATTCATACTCAATTGTCAGAACCTGACTTACCTTAATTTGTCAATAAACAGTTTCACTGGCATAATACCCGAATCGGTATTCATCAATCTCGGCAAGCTTGAATATCTTGATCTTACTGATAATTCATTTCAAGGGCGCTTATCATCAAATTTTTCCAAGCTGTCCAAACTGAAAAATCTTTGCCTGGGAACAAATAACTTCTCTGGCTCAATTCCTGATGATATTGGATTGATAACCAATCTTGAAATCCTTCAATTGAACAACAATTCATTTCAAGGGAAGATTCCTTCGTCTTTAGGCCAACTTAGAAATCTGCAGCAACTAGATCTCAGAATGAATAGCTTGAACTCCACAATTCCTTCTGAGCTTGGATTATGTACTAACCTCACCTACTTGGCTCTGGCCTTGAATTCACTCACCGGGGCCTTGCCTTTGTCCCTGTCCAATTTGATCAAGCTATCTGATTTGGGTCTATCCGGAAATTCATTTTCTGGGGAGATCTCTCCTTATTTCATCACCAATTGGACTGAGTTGACTTCATTGCAACTTCAAAAAAATCTATTCATTGGAAAAATACCAGCAGATATCAGGTTACTGCCAAATCTCAATTACCTATTTCTGTACAATAATCAGTTCTCGGGCCCGATTCCACCAGAGATTGGAAACTTGCAAAATTTGGTGAATTTAGATCTTTCAGAGAACCAACTTTCAGGAACAATTCCACGAACCCTTGGCAATCTCACAAACCTTAACCTTTTACAGCTTTTTTCAAACAATCTTACTGGAGCAATTCCACCTGAGATTGGAAATTTGACGTCGCTGGTTACTCTTGATCTCAACACCAACCAGTTGGTTGGAGAATTGCCAGAAACCATTTCCAACCTCACTAATTTACAGACTCTCTCTGTGTTTTCCAATAATTTTGTGGGGAACATTCCAAGGGACTTGGGGAGGAACAACCTGTTTTTGGCAAATGTTAGCTTTTCCTATAACAGCTTCTCTGGAAAACTGCCTCCTGAATTATGTGCAGGTTTTGCTTTCGAGCAATTTACTGTGAATGACAATAATTTTACTGGGGTGGTGCCAAATTGCTTGAAGAACTGTTCCGGCCTAACAAGGGTCCGGCTTGATGGGAACCAATTCTCTGGAAACATTTCAGAGGCATTTGGCGTTCATCCAAATCTTGAATTCATTAGTCTGAGTGTCAATCAATTTTCGGGGGAACTCTCATCTGAGTGGGCAGAATGTGAAAGCCTCACAAATTTAGAACTTGATGGAAATCAAATTTCAGGTGAAATCCCAGCTGAGCTAGGCAACTTGACAAAGTTGCGCGTCCTAAGTTTGGACTCAAACAAATTGACTGGTGAAATTCCAACAGAATTGGGAAAGCTAGGCCAGTTGTTCCATCTCAACTTGAGCAACAATCATTTGGCAGGAGTGGTCCCTCCAAGCATTGGCAACTTACCAGGGCTCCAATATCTTGATTTGTCAGCAAACAAGCTGAATGGAACCATACCAAAAGAGATTGGCAATTGTGAGAGCTTATTGGGCTTGACCTTGAGCAACAACACTTTGTCAGGGGATATACCATCTGAGCTTGGCAACTTAATGGGATTGCAGTATATTTTGGACCTCAGCAACAATTCACTATCAGGAACAATTCCCTCAAGCTTGGGGAGGCTTACCACATTGGAGAATCTGAACCTATCACATAACAATCTCTCAGGTAGAATTCCTCCAGCATTATCCAGCATGATTAGTTTGCAGCTCATTGATTTTTCCTACAATGAGTTGTCTGGTCCAATCCCTAGTGGTAACATATTCCAACAAGCACCGGCAAAATCTTTTATTGAAAACTCAGGCTTGTGTGGAGATGCAGAAGGGTTATCCCCTTGTACTTCAACTTCAACTTCAACAACTGGGAAGTCACACAAACACAGTAGAAAGATTCTTATTGGTGTCACTGTTCCAGCTGTTAGCCTCATATTTTTGGCAGCAATTGTCTCTGGATGTCTCATCTTTAGAAGGAGAACCAAGCGATATAATGAAGAGACTAAAAGTACCAAGAAATCCGAGCATTATGAGTCTCTGATCTGGGAAAGAGAAGGAAAATTCACATTTGGGGATATTATGAGAGCCACTGATAACTTCGACGAGAAGTACTGCATTGGAAGAGGAGGATTTGGAAGTGTCTACAAAGTGGTACTGGAAACAGGCCAGACAGTGGCAGTTAAAAAGCTTCACATTTCAGACTCTAGTGACATTCCGTTGACAAATCGCCAAAGTTTTGAGAATGAGATTCGAACTTTGACAGAAACAAGGCATAGGAACATCATCAAACTCTATGGTTTCTGTTCCAAGATGGAGTGCTTTTACTTGGTCTATGATTATGTGGAGAGAGGAAGTTTAGGAAAAGTGTTGTATGGTGAGGAAGGGGCAGTGGAAATGGGCTGGGCGATTAGGGTTAAAATTGTTCAAGGAGTAGCTCATGCACTTGCTTACTTGCACCATGACTGCTCTCCAACTATCGTGCACCGGGATGTATCACTGAATAACATTTTGCTCGGGTTGGAGTTTGAGCCTCGCCTTTCTGATTTTGGCACCGCAAGGCTTCTAAGCTCAGATTCCTCAAATTGGACCACAGTCGCTGGCTCTTATGGCTACATGGCACCAGGTAAACTATGCATCTCTTTTGTAGTCTGGTTTATCTGCAGAGCAGATCATTCTCCATTCTATTTGTTAGAATATTTTAACTAACAGAGTGTGTTTTATGTGTGCGAACTCAATCCCTCATCGACTAAATATTCAAAAGTACTTAAGTATATATAGCCTTTGAATTAAAGATAGATTTGCATCCAATTTTTTTCAACACTATTCTGGCGCATATCAGAAATACCCAACTCTCTATTCCTGAGGGTCCTTGTTTGCAGTTGAAGTTAGTGCATTGTTCTAAGAACAGAGAAGCCATGATTCTGGAAGTTTTCCCCTAGTTTTTAGCTCAAGCATATCAAATTCTCGATCAAGTTCTATTAGTGAATTGATCAACGACATGCTAACTTTGTTTTCCTTTTTGTAGAGCTTGCACTTACAATGCGGGTCACTGAGAAATGTGATGTCTATAGCTTTGGAGTGGTGGCATTGGAAGTTATGATGGGAAAACACCCTGGGGAGCTCCTATCTTCTCTAACATCAGTGGCGAAAACACCAACATTGTCTAGTAATCCAGATTTGTTTTTGAAGGATGTGCTTGACCAACGGCTTCCACCTCCCACAGGCCAGTTAGCAGAAGAAGTGGTGTTTGTAGTTACGGTGGCCTTAGCATGCACACGTTCCACACCAGAGACACGACCTGCTATGCGTTCTGTTGCACAAGAACTATCGGCTAGAACTCAGGCTTACCTGCCTGAACCACTGGGAACGATAACAATAAGCAAGCTAACAAGCTTCCAAAAATAGTATTTATGACTAGTTGGAAAGTTTTGAATTGCCTGAGGAAGGGACAGGACCGGACAATTTCTGGCCAAAAATGCTTAGAAGTTGAACCATGGTTGGAGTCTTCAACCAGTTCATTATTTTTTCCACAGTCCCGGTATTTCTTTTTCAATAATGCAATTATAATCTTTAAGCTCCAAATGTAGTTAGTTTTGTGTGTATATAATCCTAGAGGCTGACCATTCAGGGTGTGTTGTGGAGGCCCTTTTTTTGGGTACTTGTGAGGTCCTCTTGAATGCAAATATAAATGCGCTTATGCCAACAGTTATCATTTTTACCGTGTTTTCCCATCCTTAGCTCTCCAACACCCAATTCCTCTCTCTCCCCACCCCAAAAAAAAAACAAAAAACAAATTACATTAAATGTCTCGAATTGACACCCTTCCTTCTCTTCTTTGATTCAAAAAGAATTGCTGAAGGGTACTTATATTTAGTCAAAGCACTTAGATACTGCCAAACAAAGGGATCTATCGGAGTGTTAAACCTTGCTCAGACAACTTATCTGATGCATCTTTGAAAAGGGGAATGGAATACGTATTAGCAAATCAAAGCTAATAGACCACGTTTTACATTTGCAAACAGGTAAGGTCAAACAATTGGTGGTTGCAACTCAAAACCAGCATTACATTTCTTATATATTTATCAAGTGTACATGTGCCCAGTGGCTTTTGTTCATCACATAAATGGCAAAAACTTGGAAAATATCGTTCCTGAAAATTTTAATGCTGAACGCTTGATAACAACTGAAGAAACAAACCGAGCAATATGGCAGAAACCAAGCTTCATGAGGAGGAGTAAGGATCCCAAAAGGAAATTAGCACTCCACCCCACATTGTTTAAGAATTGGTCCCGTTTGCTTAGGCAAAAAGGGGTCGATTCTAACCCAAACTAATGAGAAGATTGAAGCAAGAAGAATCGACCAAAGGACCACAATTGTAGGTGTCCTGTTTTGCCTTCCCATCAACCCCTTGAGGAAAGGATAAAGATGCACAATGACCCAGAAGGCAAAGAAAAGTTTTCCAAATAAAGGACCCCACGAGCCATATCCATTGTTAATGGCATCGGAAACTCCAGCAACAACACCAACCATATTCAAGATTATCAAAGTGGTTGGTGGGATAAGAAGGGTGGTCCATTTGAAGAGGTAGAGCTCCCCAAACTCAGCATCATCAGCTGCTTTTGCTGTTACAGTAAAGTTAGTGTCGACTCCAGCAAGGACTTTGAGGAGGCCTTGGAAGACTGCAAAAAGATGTGCTGAGACACCACCTATGACCCAGAATTGTTCATTGCGCCACAAGTCTTGGATGCTAACCCCACTCCATCGGAGCTCTAGCACCGCTGTTACTATGATTGACATGAAAAGAGCAATGAACCATATGCTCGCAAGGTTGTTTAGCTGCAAAAAAATAAACCTGTCAGTTAAATTTCAAACCTATGGCATGGGCTTACTCAGGTTTTTTAGAATAACACAAGCACAAAATGTTGTTGTTGTTATTTTTTTTCATGCTTTTAGTCCAAAAAAATTGAGCCTACGACATAATTTGTTTTTGATTTCTGCAGTAATCACTTCAAAAGGATCCTCCTAATGGATTTCATCGGGCAATGACAAAATATAATAGTACTTACAGTTGGGATAATGAATTTTCCTGTGAGAAGACACACAGCTGGAAGTGTGCAGTAGGCAAGCAAAGGAATGGAAGTAAATGGGTAAACAATAGTGTTAGTATAAGCAAGCCTCTCCAGCCATTTCAGCTTTCCCCCATAGCCATACCAAAGCGGGCAATGCCGACTAAGAAAAATTTCGACAGAACCAAGAGCCCATCTCAAAACTTGGTGCAACCTATCTGATAGATTGATTGGAGCTGATCCCTTAAAAGCAGGTCTTTTTGGCGTGCAGTACACTGACTTCCACCCTCTACAATGCATCTTGAAGCCTGTCAAAATGTCTTCTGTAACCGATCCATAAATCCACCCAATCTGTAAGTAAAACAAATTCATCAACCGGGAAGCAATATCAAAGTTGTTTACATCGAGGAAGGAAGAAAAAAGACACAGATTAAAGATTTGATCTTGGAAATAGGGCCCCAACGCCAAAACTCTTCACTTCCACCATATATCAAACAGTTAATCTGCAAAAAGACAGAGGAGTGGATAATAATGCTAACCCACCTCTTTGCCCCACTCAGTTTTCTCTTCATAGCCACAACTGATGACATGAATGGCTTCTTTTATCAGTGAAGTAGAATTAGTCCCTTCAGGAAGGCCACCATCTTCCATGAGAGTGGAGGTAATGAACACAGGCGACTGACCAAACCGTTTTTCGAAGTTCTTTTGAGACATAAGCGATGATTTTTCGAGCTCATCATACCCTTCAAGCCCTTCCTCAATCTCTTCAAGATCAAACGCAGGTCCAGATGACTTTCTCGAGTAATTCTTGCCCATTAGTTTCTTCTTCTTCCCTAGTCCTCCAAGGCCAAGCAGAGATTTAACACCTTTCTTCTTCGACTTTGACTTCCTTGAACCGCCACAACAGCAACAGCACCATGAAGGCCAGCAGTCACAGGTCATCTTTGGCCTCTTCTCCGACACCGGTGGATCGTAGCCGTACAATGCTGGCCGGTTGAAGACACAGCCAGTGCCGACGTATACTGGGCCTTGGATACCATCCAGGCCTTTCATGTTGATCTGTTACCCAAAAAAAACACATTTGGGTTGTTAGCTTCATAACCCATGTTTTTCAGACTTTTATACCCAGCCCATTTCATATCTACTGATTTTCCACCAAGTGGTGACAATCACAGACACTTCGTTCGTAAAACTATTTACTCAATCATGGACACTTCTCAAACACCTATAACAGGTTGTGCATTTTTATAGTAAACAAGTTCGTTTTAATGTAGTATTCTTTGAATTCATGACCAAAGTACAAATTTCGAAGACAAACGATCATCTTATACTATGCATATGGGCATGAAGTGAGTTCTGAGATGGTGCTCAAATTAATAAGAGGTGTTATTGAAGTAGTTCAACTTACATCAAAGAAGACAATATTGCGATTAGCATATCTATCGTGACGATCAATACCATCGAACCTTTGTGGGAATTGGACATAGCACAGCTTCTTTCCAATTTGAGGATCCATAAGAAAGCACATAGCTTCCCTTACAGCTTTGCTATTGTTAATGTAGTGGTCACAATCCAGGTTCAGCATGAATGGTGCATTGGTCAGCACTGCCGAGACTCGAACCTATACAATTAACCACATCATTAGGCTGGCAATAATGTCAATCCTGTAGTATCAGTTGTCTAAGTCGTATCTATGATACCGTGTCAAAATTAACTCAACACATGTCGCCCGTCAGGCTAGTGTTTGTAGCACATTTTTCAAATTTCAATGTAGCTTGCTACTTACCATGGCATTCATGGCACCAGCTTTCTTGTGGTGTTGATAGCCGGGTCGTTTCTCACGGGAAACATAAACTAGGCGTGGCAGCTCTTTACCTTCCACATCAAGGGCACCCGCACTTCCCAGATAAACCTGTACATATATATATATATATATATACCTCTTAGTCCCATGTTATATATATGTTTAACATGTTAAATATATGTATGGAGATAAAGAGAGAGAGAGACCTGAATCATTCCAGGATGATCCCGAGTGTTGTTCCCAGGCCATGGAGTCCCATCCTGCATCACCCATCCTTCCTCTGGTTTCTTCTGAGCCTTTGCCACCAATGCATTAATCCTCACTTTGAATTCTTCATATTCTCTCTGCAGTTCAAATTGGCGTCATGTCAGAATAAAAAACGCTACAGCATAGAATGTAGGGGGGTCAAAGTCGTAATATCATATTTGAAGGGGTCAACTTAATAATCTTCAATACTAAAAACTGACAGATCAAGAGGCAATTTCCTAAAAAAACAGGGATGCTGGAACTAGATGTAAGGGGCCAAAGTCCAATTATCGATATTTTAAGGGAAACATGCAGAAAGAAGATATTTTTTTGGGTGATAAATAACATTGATAAGGCTATGAATTGTAATTATAGTTATAGATCTTCGACTGATTTATTCACAGAATAGTATTATTATAACCTAAAAATTTATGCTGACTTAATAATTTATTAAAGAATATGCTCCCAATAAAAACATTTGCTAATTGCACTTAGAAGAAAATTAAAGAGAGGGAGACTGATGGTCAGGTGCTTACTTTCATGGCTCTGCGATCCTTCACAAAAGTAGCTTGCACCTTATCCTTCAAATAATCAATCTTCTCCGAGAAATAGAACTCAGGAGCCCTCGGCTCAATACTATACTTCTTGCAAAATGGCACCCACCTCCTCGCAAATTCTGCAGTTTCTGCAAGTGTATCGAATAGCAGCATCGAAGCACCATCGTCGGACACATAGCAACTCACCTTCTCCACCGGATAATCAACGGCCAAGATCGATAAAACAGTGTTCGCTGTTATGATTGGCGGTTCTTTCAGAGGATCAACCGTGCTCACAAAGACATCAACCGGACAGAGACGGTTGGGCTCTCCCTCACGCTCGAACCTCATGGAGAGGCGGTCCAGGTAAGTTTCTCTTGTTATGGGGAACCATTTCGGGAACTGATCGAGTATCCATGATAATCCGAACCAGATTTCGCATATTACTGAGATGATCCATAGAGGATAGGCGTCGTATGCAGGAGTAAGGATGCGAAAATGGAAGAAGAAGCCGAGGATGACGAGGCGGAGGACGATGACAATGCGGTATGGGTTGACTAGGCTCGATGCAATCGGAATTTTTCGCCAGAGTGGTTGCCGAGCTTCAGCCATTCTGGTGGAGAACGGTGTTAGTATTCAGTATTCGTGCAAATTATATATATATATATATAAACTATAATTCAAGACATGTCCAAAGAATTGAATATACAGTTTGTATACAATGAGTCTTATTTGGAGAGAAATTGCAGCGGAGATAGTGTTAACAAGAACTTACAGGTAGTCATCTTCGTCGCCTTGATCAGTGTCTTTGTCATCGAATTTGCTCACCAAACCTCTCTTCTCTTGCCTAGTTTTCCATTTTTCTACTCTCTCTTTCCATTCAGTATTATTACTGTAAGTTTCCTTCTCACCTTCAAAATCCTTACCAGCAACTACATACATATCTCCAAATTAATGTTTTTACAAGTGAATATAATATATACAAGTAAAGTTTCATATATAAAGGAAAGAGATTTGCATACCACTTCCTGCAGAAGAGAAGGCCTGGCCATTGGCATGCCACTGCTTTTGATCATTATCCCCATTTTCCTGATAAAAGTCACCATGTTGGTATTAGAGTCTTCTTAATCCATACATATAAACTCGTCATAATTTACATAAATTTAATGGATTCAAAGCTAGTCATCACGAATGAATTATCAATCATAATTCATAAACATATTTGTATTTACCGAATGATTAATAACGGGCTGATGATGATCTTTAGTTTGAGTTTCATGGTGATTCTTGTTCTGCAATTCATCATCATAATCATCAGCATAATAGTTTTCTTCTTCGTCCCCTGAAACTCTAGGACAACCTGCACCAAGAAACACTCCTACATATGAGATTTCTTACAATTACATTTGAGATTTGTGTGTGTGTGTGTGTATGTGAGTAAGAGAGAGAGGGAGAGAGAGAGGACCTTTGAGACGCTTATAGCGGGTGTTGCACTGTGGACAACACTGGTTACCTTCACTCCTTTCATATTCATAACAAGGCTGACAAACTGGGAATCCACATTCGTGACACGCCACAAACAAATCACCATTTTCTTTCAATCCAATCTCATCGCCACAAACTCGACAAATCTTATTTACAGACGATTGATGTCCGGGAGATCGAGGCTGTCACAAACACCCATTCAAGTAAAACCTCTGGCGACAACCAATCGCCATAGAAACAACAAAAAAAAAACAAATGAACTTACCTCGCCACCGCCATGCAAAACTTGGAGCTCATTGCGGCCATGAGAGCCTGTGAACAGGCCAGACCCAGCCATGGTGTTTGATGCCAAGCCAAAGAGAAGGTGAATAAGGAAGGGAGAGACAGAAGTTTCTGAGGCGGGAGAGAGACGGGTAGGATGGGGTTTTAAGGATTAAAAGGGATGATGAATGAGAGAGAGAGATGAGTTTGGCTGTGGGTGGTGGTGTTGAACTCTACCAACTGATAGTTGAGGGGTCGTAGGTTTGATTGGAAGAGACGTTAATTCGATAGGTAAGGGCAGGGACAGTTCGCTTGTTCCTTTTGCCAGTTCATAAGCCAAATACCCCCATAACTAAAATAAAAAGGTACGTATACATATAGCTTCGACCCAAAGGTGTCTAAAAGCTGTTGCCAACGGCAAATCCCTTCATATCCTAACTCACCTAAGCACTTGCATGGGAGTTCACTATTTATTTGGCCAATGAATTATAATAATTGTATCAGTTAACTCCTTAAATTATATTTTGTGTTAATTTAATCTTTCAACTATACTATTTGTGTCAATGTTATCTTTTCGTCCAAATTCGTAATTAACTTTGAGTGAATTCCTCTTATACGAATCACATGAGTTGAGAATTATAGTATAATTTAGTGGTCACGTGATGTGTACATGAGGATTGAACGAAAGAACCACATTGACCAAAATAATATGATTCAGAGGCTAAATTGACATAAAACGTAATTCAAAAGCTTGATTGACACAAATAGTATAGTTCAGAAGCCAAATAGATAGTTAAGTCTGAAAGTGATGTAACCGCTCAATGATAAACAAATAAATGGCAAGTGAATCCCAATTTTTTCATATGTGACAATTATTATCTTACATAGAAGTGTAGTTATTTGAAAGAGTAAATTCCATTTTACCTAATTGTTAAGCTATTATTGGGCGGGTTATACTACGTGGTAATAAAAACATGGTGTAACTGTTATACCCAATATTTAATACATACGACAAAAGTATATCGTAATTAGGATCAATAATTCTCAACACGACCAGCTCAATTATGAATTAATCAGCTCCATCATGAACCACTTGATCTACTAAACGAAGGAAAATGCAAATTAAATCAGTATCTTACGTCCCAATAACAATACTCATAAATAAATATAGACATAAACCCAAATAAACACTATATGTATTTGCCTGATAATGCACAAAATATATAAATAGATCTTTTTATATGTTGATCCCATTTCTCATTTTTACTTTCAATTTTGGGCAAAGTTGGCACATAATTCATCAAAACCAACCACAATATCTCAATATTATTATTTTTAATTGTTTCTGGTGATTTCAGCTCATGCTCTTTGATTCTTTTGGGTTTAAGATAATACATACACATGAATCCTGTTCCTGCCACGACCTGATAAAGTCCTTCCACCAAATGTTGCTTGGAATACATTTCAAACCCAACAGGTGTAACGCTGCAATCCCTTTGCTTTGTAATAAAGAAAAAAAAATATATATATATATATATATATATATATATATATATATTTATTTATATTTATTTATTTATTTATTTATGTATATTGTTGTTATTTTGAGAGGAATACTCCCTGAATTATAAATTTTCCACAATGGGCATAGTCCATGTGGTTTTGGGTGGCCTCCAAAAGTTTATTCTATCCGAAAGACAAAAAACAAAGATAGCACTACATTACTGTATCCAAAGTTACTATTTTTAAAAATAAAGTTATATCTTATAAAGTTTAAGTTATGATTAGTTGAGATAATTCATAATTAATTACACAAGCAATCATGAATTACCTGATCGATCATGAATTAGTTCAATTAGTTATAACTTCTTCTTTAAAAATTATAATTTTCATGATCGATCATAATATTTTCTGATTGATCATGCTTTTTAGAGTTGTAGCTTACACCATCAAAAATTCTTTGTTAATCTTAAATTGTGATAACTTTTGGTACCATATTATCCTTCCTCCAAAAACCAAAACAAATAGCAAGCTGATTCTAGACTTGATATTTTTGTTTTTGTGTAGTTTTCTGCATACTTTTGAATAGGTTTACAAACTGCCAGGGCATTACATCTGAGCGCAAACTTTGCAATGACATTAGGAGGAAACGTCAACATCAACATCAAACAAACACCCCGCAACAACAAAGATGGCAACTTCTTAACCTTCTGGAAGTAGCTCTGAATAAATGGTAGTTGTTCATCCTTCAATGTCTACAACCAGTTTTTAAAAGGAAAGCCATATCCCTTATTCTGATGGTCACAACATATCTCTTCATTGTTCTTACCCACCATATCATAAGCAGCACTTATATCAAGCTCAAAGTTAGAGACATTTTCTATTACACATATTCAGGATACAAATTCTCAGGAAAAACTTCTCATTTATGCAAATTGACAGGGCAAGTACATAGACAAGTTTTTAGAGGCAAACAGGAGCAATATGAATTGAATTTGAGAGTGCTTCCATTTATGGAGCAACACCCAGCTACCCCTATTTCATTTTGTTTTTCTTTTTTTCGGTAAGTAGCTCCCCCTATTTCTTGCACAGATCAATACTGCAGTTGTTGACCATGAAAATCAAATACGAACATGGTGACAAAGCAAAGTGTATCTAGAAGCTTAACATATTTACGAATACTTTTATCCACATACCCCCATTTTGTCAAATCACAGGTAGACTTGGGGATGAAAGGCGGCTTCATTCTCCGACAAAAATTCCTCGACATTTAAGTTTGCTTGATTTAGAGACCAGATGAGTGTATAAACATGATGATAGAAATTTGTTTATCAGTTAAATTGAAGGAGAGCAGAAGAGGCTCACCGCCCATGAGAATTCAACTAAAAAGAAGAGGACGAAAAGAGTTCCAGAGCTCCTCACCAGTCAACTCTCTCTGTTCGACTCGGATATTCCAGGTATCAACACCATCTGTCAGTCATTCACTGTATGAAGTGGGCTTATACATCCACTTTGGCACGCTTAGAGGGCGGTGAGTTAGGGTCGTCAGCAACATTTGCCTCAGGATCAGAAGCTTCAGTTCCAGTTGCGTTCCACTTTCCTGCCAACTTCTGGGAATCTTCTTCAGATGATATGGTGGCATTCACCAGGTCGTTTCCTGTTTCTTGATGGTCCTCCTGTGAGGCCGCTGCAGGTTCATTTTTGGCAGGGGAATTTTGGGATGTATAGGCCGACTGAGCGCAGGGGTTGTCCATGGTGGACGTTGAGGTTTTGAGCAGGTCAATACCTGACTTGCTTTGCTTCTCGAACATCATTTGGAGATATCTACCCTGTTCTTCTATTCGCAGCTGTAGATTCCTTTGAATCTGCAAAAGAAGAAAATTATATCAACAATAACATAACAGACATATGGCAAGAAGCACCAACCATGTTACCATTGTTGGAGGAAGCAGAGCGTCACCCAAGGCAAAATGTTTCTCTTTCTTTTGTTGGGCAAGGAAGGCCAAATCCAGTGGATGACTCATTTCAAACCAGAAAGTCAAGAGTTTACAAGATTGAAGTGTCGTATTTTCAAATCCATCCAGGTGCAGATTTGAGACCCATGAATCTTATAAAAGAACAGCCAAACCATGCCACTGTATGGCCTTAAACAGCTTCCATTCAGGTCATGCATCAAATCACTATAGATAAGCAGCAGGCTTCGTCTAGATCTTATATGTAGAACCAACATACAAGTACTAGAAACTTAAATCTGCTCCCTAAAATACGAAGTGATCCATGATCACCCACGAACACCAACTCAAATCCCTTTTTAAAGAACACAATTATACCTCAAGCTGTTCGTGCAGCCGCTTCTGAACTTCCACTTGCAAGCGTAATGCTTCAGTGATCTCAATACCCCTGTTACCAAAAACATCAAATGTAAGAAATTACAAAGAATCCAGCATAATAGTTCATATGAGATGTAATCAGGTGCAAAAGCTTCATATAGCAGCTTGAGTGCATCAAGAGGTAGAAAGCTTTAAAGCACGTTTTGAACGGAGTTGATATGAACAAAAATCTAAAAGAAGAGAATCACAAATACAAACTAAATCCTAACAGTAGCTATGGCAACACGTCAGACCAGTAGTTCATTGACAAAAGAGAAGCGACTCCAGAAGCTATTTGAAGCAGCACCAATCTGGACCAAGATTCACATGAACTCCTTAGGCGGCTTTATATGGGGTCAAGTGTTCTTATGGGTCTTTGTATAGACTCTTCAGTAAGTCTAGAATAGTCTTAGTTGTTAAAGTGCCAATAATTTCTATTCTAGAGTCTTAATCATGGTACAATAAGTTCAAAACCTTTAATGATCCCCAATAATCCATTTTCGCACCCACTGGCCTTCCATTTAGACTTCAAAATCCAAATAGACTTGCCATCAAGGATTTCAACAACAACAAATTTCTGAAATCCCTGTAAAGTGAACTTTCAAACCAACTGATTTACTATTCAATCCAATCTTCTTCAACTTTCTTCTACCTGATAAACCCCCTACACTACAAGCTTTCCATAACCGCTGCCCACTAATAAACCATATGTTGACAGCATTGTGTGGTCCTGTCCTGCATTCACCTAATTATGACATTATTATAGTTTGATACAAAATGTGATGTGCAGAGGAAGAAAAAAGATCAATCAACTGCAAAATAACTAGGCAATAACAGTAAGGGCGTATTTCCAGCATTACAGGATGACAATCAAATATGTAATGTTCATATACATGCTGCCATTTAAAAATAGGATTCAGTCAATAAAATTCTAACTTAAAGAGATATATGACCTTAGAAACACTCGGCAGAAACATTAGTATGAAAAAGCATCCCGATATGGAAACCAAGTTTAGGGATTTTTTTTTTTTTTTTTATCTTGACCAAGTTTAGGACTTGAGTGCTTTAGGTTGTGTTTGGTGTAACTTCTCAGAGTAAAAGTCCATCTAATGAAAGAACTTTATAAGATGGACTTTCAAAAACTAATAGATGTTTGGTGAGCATATGCTTTATAAGTACTTCTAAATTAGGAAATACATCTACTTATATGAACGAATGTTTGGTGACAACACCTTAAAAATAACAAATAATACCTATATAACAATGTCACCCTTAGACTTGATTTTGAATTTACTTTATTTAATAATTTACTTAGTTTATTTGTTATTTTACTAAATGATCTAAAAGTGCAAATATACAAAAAAAAACAGAACAATAAAACTATCACAATTATCTATAATAATTAAAAAGATTAAGGCATTGTCATATCAAGTCCATTCAAAATTATAAACCAAATGATAAAAATAAACCTACTCAGAGAAAGATGGACTAAAATAAAGCAAAAATTGTAACGCATCATATCACACCTAATTTAGATTGCTCGAATTTGTTAAAACAATTTCTAGGCTTGATGGTGCTTGAAAACTAATTCACATACATGAGAAAAATAGGTTCAACTAGAAATCAAATTAAAACACAAATCAACTACAAGTTGCTCCGAAAGAACGAATTGATTATCTAATGGGAAAGATTTATTGGAAAAAGAATAAAGTTATGATATTGAAAAACATTTTATTAGGTCATATCCAAAATGAATCTACCTGACACATTTTTAATTTTTATTTGTGAAAAAAAGAAGTATAATACTAAAAAAATAATGGACACAAAAAATGTAAATAATAATTTTCACTTTAGCGAGATTACATAAACAAGGGCACCATTCATCCATAGAAGTGACCGCCAACCAATCATGGTTCAAAGTCATAGTATCGATCATCAACTCGAAAGGCATTGGTACACATCAGTCGCAATATTGCAGGACGGTGTCGGCCGATACACAAAAAATGCTAGATATCAGTTTCAAAAAATTCTAAAAAAATCATAGAAAAATTCCAAAAAAAATATAGATAATAGCATCAATGAATTACATGTCCAAAATAATCATCTAGCACATCAAATTTAGTGAAAATTGAATATAAAAGTGTTACAAAAATATTTACCATTACTAGTGTTCCCTTTAGATATTTCAGAATGTACCAAAAAATAATTTGTATACCATTCATTGCCAATATAATGATATACATATTAATTTCTCCGATTAACACCCAAATTAACTAATATACCAATGCAATGCAAAGATCATTCTAAAAGTCGATTAATAGAAAAACATAAACTAAATTATTTAATCAATTATCAGACCCAAAAGGCAAATAAAAATACAAATCAATTAACACTATTTAATATTACAACCAATAACATTTAATGAAATGCCTTTCACATTGGATCGAAGAGAGAAATAAAAAATACAAAACAATTAATACTATTTAATGCTACAACTATTAACCTTTAAAGAAATGCCTTAACACTGCACCATTTCACACATCCCATAAAAGAAAGGGGAGGGAGGGAGAGAGAGCAGCGACAGACCTCCTTGTATTTTTACGATTCCAGACCGGAAGTCGAAATTGAATTCCAAGTAGAGATTCAACACTGATGTGCGGTCGATCGGCATGACATGGTGAAGACAGATGAAGAACTGAGAAAGATGAAGAACAAAGAAGAAAAGGAGGAAGAAGGAGATACAGACTCATTGGTAGTAACTTGATTTTGCAGGTTTGATTTCAATTTCTTCTTTGCCTTACCAAAAATCATATGGATATTGTGTCGGAGACTAAAATTTGCTCCGAGTTAGCTTTGAATATGAGTTTCTCACATATTTATGCATTTTTCATGTGGATATCGACTCTATCTATTTATTTCTTATCCATCTATTCTTTTTTTGGTCGGCTCTTTGTTGTATTTTAGTGGTCTGTGCGATTCTATCATGAATCGTCCGACTTGATAACGAGTCGGTCTGAGTTGCACTGATTTAACCAAGTCATATCCGATTCAAGGCCGATTCCAGTGAGACTCATTGATATGGTGTAACGCGTATTATTATCGATTTAGTTTGGGTCGAGGCGGTTACGACTTGACCGAATTGACTTAGACTCGGCCGAAACTTTGAACACTGAAATCAATTGATTGTCCACAATATTCAAATGCGCTTTTCCTCTGGAAGTCAAAAGTATAGACTCACCAAACATCCCACACTTTTCTAAATGGCCTTTCTTGCTTGAGAAGCCCATTTTGCAGGCGCGCCAAACACACCCTTAATCTTTATAGCCCCCTGACAGTGATACCCAGGTCCCATGCAATGCCTCTTAAAAGGCATTGCAGCTTCCATGCTCATTTCCATATTGGACGCATTTCGATAAATAAATATAAGCGAACCTCTGGGCAAGGCCAAGAAAACTATTGAGAGAGAGACAAAAAGACATTTCCAATCATGAGTTCTGGGGTTAAAAATAACTTTTTATGGCTTCTTTATTGGCATGATTGTTTGTTACAAAATGTGTGGTGGGTGTAGGCTCCCATAACTAGGTCAGTCAACAAATTGGATTTCATTAGATCTGAATCCACATCCATTTTAAAAACTACCAACCAAACAACCCAATTAGGTTGAATGTTAACATACCATATCTGAAAGTTTCAACTTAATTTCATGAATTCATATATCTATTAAATTTTAAATTTATATATAGATAATTTAAGTTGGGTCGCAATCGAATCTTATGTTGATACATTCAAATTCGAACCAGTGAAACTTAATATAACTGATACAAGTTTGGGCTTGCAGTATGGTCAAAAATATCTCACATAGACGCTGCAATGAACACAGAAAAAAAATAGGCCGGCCCAATTTCCTTGATTGGAATGGGCCCAATAAGGTCCTAAACAGGGCTAGGGTGAGTTATGGGTGAAAGAATAAAGAATAAAGCTTTATTTTTTAGATTTTAAAATTTCGACACTTTTTCAATTCCTACTTGGTTGAGGACATTCTTGGATAGATTTTACCGACTATGATGGATTCACATGGAGGAAGAGATTACGATGTTAATCTTCTAATTAAAGTAGGATGAACTATGTGGAGGAATGCAATTAGGGTAATATGTTATCAATGAATACCCCTTAGGTTGAAAGGAAAGGTAAAATATCCCCTAGTCAAGCAATGTTTTAAGGTATAGAATCTTTGGCAATTAAGAAACAATACACTCAAAAACTAATATTACATAAATTAGAATATTAAGATCGATATGTGATAAAATAAGAGAGTACAACTTTAGAAATGAATATATTCATGAAACCTTAGAAGTAACACCGATAAGAGATATATTAATGGAGACCTTAGCAATGCACTAGTGAGAAATAGTGGTTTGATACATATCGATGATAATGTAAGAGCAAGAAATAGGCCAAAATTACTTTCTTGGCTTAGGGGAGTATTGAAGTAAGTTATCCCACTAATGCAATTCGATGCGTCCTACGTCGAAGGAAAGTATGGTCAATCATTCGAAGACTCCCTCAAAGCCCCTTCTCGAGACACTCTTTCGTAGTTCCTTTGCCTCATCCTTTTCGATGTCATCTCTTATTCCCCTTTAGATGTCACTTCCTCCATCAAATCAAAGAGCAGTTATTCACCATCGGGAAAGACAGTAAGTCAAGGAAAGGAAAAACTTCACTTCTAGGAAGAGAATGCAAGTTGGGAAGGATTAACTTGATTGATTAACCTAAGGAAAGTAAGGAATGGAATTTATGCTTTCAAGCACTAGGCCCCAAAAGGAATTGATAGAGGTTGGATCAATAGCAATAGTTCAGATAGCCACAAATGAGATTGATGCATAAGCTGCAAGGAGGGGAATGCGCAATTAGGACCAATAGGCTTTGACAAATGCCTTTCTTTCGAGAAGATGTTTTGAAAAAGAAGGCAAGCAATTAGCATAGTTAATGTACAAGGAGGATTCTATTCTATTAGAATGAAGCAGGAATCATCCAAAGCATAAAGCCCACACAACATGGATTTGAGTACAATGGAGAAACACAATTTGTGTAACTATCCGTAAGTAGTTGGGATAAAGACTTTGGTGAGTTGAGTTGTTGGGCCGTAGTTTTAATCAAAAGCTCGTAGAGGTTAAAGGCACAGATTTTCTACTCCTTTTCGAGGTTCTGTTATATAATTTGCTGAAGATGGAACAACCATTTGGGCATTGCTCTTGCTCTTTGCTACTTTTACTTGACTTTGGGGTTATTAAATATGCTTAGATTCATTCCCTGCCATATTAGTTGCTACTTTAATGTCCGGCTTTTTTCTGCACCTATATCTAGTGACATCACTTAGATACCTGTCAATTTCTAGTGACATCACTCACAGCCTATGGAAAAACATTCAAGCTACCACTGGAAGGCACATATATACCATAAAAAGTTATGACATTTTAACAATGATTAAAGAAGAAATAACAACATAATAAATGGAAGTGATTAACTCTATGAACTAACTTACGTTTTCAAGTCCAGAGATGACAATTCTTCAAGAGGAGTCAATTTTTTCTCTGAAGATCCTGCAAAAGGATAATGACCAAAATTATGGCACGAATTCTCTCTAATGCAGACTCTGTTATAACCAGAAAAGCAAGTCACAAACCATTACCAACTACAGAAAAGCACAATTAGGAACATGACCTAGGAATTGGAGGGGGGAAAGGAAAATGGATGATGAAACAGTACATCATTGCAAAATTTGCCTTAAACCACAGAATGCTGAGACTTGAGAAACTTAAAAAGTTCAGAAATGATGAAACAGTACATCAGTACAAAATTTGCCTTAAACCACAGAGTGCTGAGACTTGAGAAACTTAAAAAGTTCAGAACTACAACCATCCATGCTATGATAGAAGTCTCCTATATGATGGTAGAGCCATAAACTGCAGATACAACAAAAAGATCACAGCAAAAACGATTTTTTGAAAACCTAACTCATCTTCATGAGCAAAGCTCACAAAGGTTGATACTTTTTCTAAGAAAATAATCCTCCAATGAATAAAGGAACTCAAGTTTTGGGAGATCAATAAGCTGATAATTCAAGCTTCAATTGTCCTAAATGCTTCAACCTTAATGCAAACAAAACCATTAACACATTTTTGTGCCTTACCGAACAACTTACTTACCAGCTTTCCCAAGCAATGGTAAAAATAGGATTTGATAGATTGAGATAAGTGATTTAAAGCAATGCAATTGATAAAAAAAATAAAAAATAAATAAAATAAAATCCACTCTCTGTTCACCTTCTGATGACTCTGGTTTGTATCTAGCTGTTCGATATTTCTGTAACACAGAACATATGTCAACATTGTGTAAGTAAAGAAACATGGCAGATCCACTTTGTACGGAACTACTATGAAGACAAAAAACCAACAACACACCTGCAGGTGGCTTTTTACATGATAGATTGTCAAGCCCTCCACTTTCATTAGCTTCAGCACTCCCTTGGGAGTAGCTCCTGGGGTTCAAAAAGTATTGAGTTAATCTCATCCCAGATTTTTGTAGCTTCAAATAATCACAAAAAATAAAGTAAGAAGAGAATCTTACTTTCACTTCCACCAAGCTTGTTGACTGCCTCCACAAAGGCTTCATGAAGTTCTTGTGTCCAACGCATGCGTGGCTTGGTGGTGGCAACAATAGAATTTTCTCCAGAAGCAACAGGAAGTTGCTGATGCTCTTGGGGCTGGTGCACTGAGAAACTGGTGGATAATTTGGACACCTGGTATGCTATCTAAAATAGGCAAGAGAGAGAGAGAGAGAGTCATACAAATCACTTCTCTTTTCATTCAAAAAACAGCACCAAAAAAAAGACCTTTGGTGTTGTGAAAGGACCCTAACCTTTGGCTCTGGATCTGCAACACTAGTATCAACAAGGAGCTCATTCCAATCAGCAGTCAGTGCATCATTATCATCATTGATTAGATTGTCCGCCCATTCCTGCCAATCATTCCGTTTACCAAGTTCCTCAGATGGAATGACACAACCACCACCATTGTTGCTTTCTAACTGACTATTCAGGACTGAAGTGTTTACTGGATAGTCAAGAAAATCAGGCAGTGAATCTCTACACCAGGGATCATTGTTGTTTTCTTTAGTATAGTGACTAGATGCTGTAGATTGAAGAAGTCCAGAATGACAGGAATGCATTAATAGCATCGATCCCTCACTATTTGATGGCTGAGAAATGAAAGGGGCCTGTCTTGAATGCCTTTCCCGCTGGGAAACAGAAGAAAAATGAAGATCAGTCGAGACTTCCAAGGATGAAGAAAATATGTGGCCAACAATCGCACTATTGGAAGACAATGGATGATGAACAGCCGAAGGATGCGACATAAATTCCCTTTCCATGGAAACCTGCTGAGAGTCTGGCAACTTAGGAAATTTCTCTTCCAGAGTGGTGGGAAGAACAGGTAAAGATGAAGACAGAGCTCCAGATGCGCCAAAGTTATTGAGTTGTCTTGTACTTGATCTTTGAATGGACAAAGGAGGGCGTGCTTCCATTCTAGCCCTGCTCTGATGATGACAGCAAGTGCAGCTATTATCAGTCAAATACTATAAGATTAGTGTCTCCTCCAGTACAACTTTGGCACTACTTGATCCCTGCACCATGAAAAGGGTGTCAGCAAAATCATACATCTCCAAGTAAGGCTACAAATTATGCAACTTAGTCATAAATAACAAATAGTCAATAGCCAACAATGGAAAAATTTCTGAGTAGGATCAAATATAAAACAACAATAAAAATTTAAAACGAAGTATTCTGAAGAAAAAAAATCGTAGAATTTCCATAACTCATCAAGAAACTAAAGAAGAATAAGCCTACTATGCATTCCCGAATTATACACAAGATTCTCGTGTTGCCCCAGTGAAAAAGTTGGTAAAAAATGCTTTACGTATCCCCTGGACATGATGCACCTGCTAATGATAATCTAGAAAAGGAATATGTCTTTATCTAGATGTTCTTCACAACAATTACCAATTCAAAAGCCTTACACTTGGTTTGTACTGAGATACTCCATAAAGAATTTATAAATCTGGGATAGCCAGTGAAAAGCAGGACCATCATAACAATTAAGTAAATGACCATTAGACTACATTATCGTACCACTGTAAGAGTCACCTAATGTTCTATGCCAATCTCCGCATCTCATTCCCCCAAAACACTAAACCCAATAAAAAGACAACTACTCCAAATTAACTTTGCTTTTGCATTTTATGTCCAGGAATCCTTCCAAGCAAGTGTATTTGCCGTAGTTAAAACAACATGAATTCCAAATTCTATGATTAATCAAACCTAAGGTCCTAAACATTGTCTCACTACGAGAGAGAGTTGACCAATTATGGGTCTCCAGAACAACGACAAGGTTAAAACTTCCATGAAAAAACTTCAAATTGGGAGGGTGATCCTCCCGGTGAACTGACCATAACCCAAACAAACCGACACTGGGGAACAAGTAGAGTATACTAGGAAGCTTGAGAGAACCATGTCGTTAAAAACAACTGAATCCAATATCATTCATCTATGTTAGACATTAAATACTGAAACTGAAGTCTCTTACACCCTCAGAATAAGTTTATATTTAGACTCACAATCTAAAGGTCTCATCTTGCCCAAGAAGCCTACTCATATCAACTCAACAAAGCCTCAAGGAACCATTTGGATAGGCTAATGAATCCCTTTTTCCCCATTCTGCCCTGATCAATCACCCAACTCAGACTGGGAAACAGGTAATCATTTAAACCACCTAAAAATGCTATAAGCTCTAAAAATTAATTCAGTAAGGCAGAAACTCAAATTTAGAGAAGAGCTGCCATTTAGCTCACCATAAGGAACATCTCTTTCATCTCAAGCCCAACATGAATATCAACTATGCATTCGTAACACATCGACCGCGCTGTAAATATACCCATATAAATATCCTTGCCCGCGAATACATACCCGGGGGGGGGGGGGAGAGAGGGAGAGAGAGAGAGAGAGACCTACTCAATTATGGAACCAATAAAGATCAAGAGAACAAGAAGAAAGCAAAATCAAAATGGGTCGTTTAGATTCCATCTACACATAATAAAAACGAAAAATTCAATAGAATTAGAAGATGGGTATCCGAAATTCTTACCAAATATTACAGAAAATTCAGACCCAAAGAGCTCCATATCGAACCAAAACTTGAAGTTTGCATGGCGGATGTCCCGAACCAAACGACAGAAGCTTAGGCACAGACCTCTGATATAAACACCGGCGAGAAAAACATATACGTGTTTATGTTTATGTATATCCTAATTGTACGGACGGTGTTCTGGGGCTTTTTTCACCGGCGCATCCGAACTCCGAAGAAATTGAACGGTGGACAAGTGGTCGTTTGATCTTTTATTTGGCTACGGCGGCAGTATAACAAGGGGAAGTAATTGAACCAGGCGCTTAAAGGCGCGTGTGTGGGATTTTGAAAGCACCAACAGTGTGGGAAGCTTGGTGACTTACACGGTGTTTTTAACGAAAATAAAATTGTTTGGGCGAACTACATTTTGTATCTTAAAAAAAAATGAAAATTTTATTTTATACTTCTAAAAATTATAGCTTTTATATTCCACCTTCGATATATTAAAATATTATAATATCACCTTCTGATTAACTTCCATCACTCACTTCATAAAAAATAACTAATTGATATTAATATAATAAATTAATAATATATTTACATTATAACACTTTTAATATATATTGAGAGTTTAAATTTTATTTAGAGAAAATTTTAACTACACCTCCCTATATCTTCAAGTTTACAGTGACATATCTTAGAAGAAGTAAATTGCCCATGATATACTTGAAGACAAACTTCATTCACACCCCCTTTAGATAAGCATATCTTCAATGAGACTCGCTCTGTTTTTTAATTTTTTTTTACGTATTAAACATCAAGTCGATTAAAATTCGATTCATTACATATTAAAATTTGAATCGATTAAAAATTACATTTTTTACGTATTAAAATTTGGACTAATTAAAATTCTATTTGAGTCAATTAAAAATTATTTTTAATCGACTCAAATCAAATTTTAATCAATTCGCATTCAATTTTAATCCGCCTAAATTTTAATACAAAAAAAGTATAAATTTTAATTAACTCAAATTTTAATAAATCGAATTTTAATTGACACGAATTTTAATAAGTAAAAAAAATATAAATTTTAATCAACTAGAAAGCGAATATTAATTGACACTAACAACTCGGGTAGATTTTAAATCGGCTCAAATTTTAATATGTAAAAAATAAATTTTAATAGGCTCGAATTTTAATAAAATTTTATGTAAAAAAATTACTTGAAGTTTATGTAAGGGCATTTTTGGTATTTTAGATGAATTTTTTTTGGTTAGAAATGGTAGTTTAATGGTAGAGAGTGTTAGTGATGTTTTTGATAATAGAAGAAATGTCCTTAAAGATATAGTAAACTAAGAGGGGTGTAATTGAAATTTTCCTTTTTATTATGTTCCCACAAGATAGGGGGCACTTAGGATATGTCATTGATGATGAAGGCCTGTCTAATGGAACGCGTTTTTCCTTTTTTTTTTTTTTTTTTTTTTTGGGGGGGGGGGGGGGGCATATATATATATATAAAATATGTGTGTGTAGCATCATCAAAACTCATTAGAGAGCTCTATGCCCTTTCAGTTGCATAAAAGGCCAAATGCATATATTCTAAGATTTATAAATCCTATATATACTTGTCTTACTTTCCAATGGTGTAGCCACCCGAAGCAAGCGTGGAGGAGAGTCGTGCATTGGGCGGATGATAATCAGTTTATTTATTACAACAATTCGAGCACCCACAAAAACTCTTTGTTTCCGTCCAGAAAAACCATTGTGGTTAGTGGATATTACATGACAGTATCTCACCTCATGTGGATGTAAACGAGTAGAAGAAAGGATCCAATGCACACAACATTACTCTTGTCTTGTATAATAAGAGATTATTATGATAATAACAATACATACAAGTAAAGAAGCGATTGGCGTGGAATTTCATTCAACTCATCCTTTTTTTCCCTAAACAGATAAATTACACTAATTTTTCACGAGAAAGCTCTCAAATTTAGATGTCATGAAAAATAATTATTAATTTATATTTATCTTCCAGCATCAAGTTATCGAGATTTATTTGAACTAGTCATTTGCATAGGCATTATTGGAACATACCACATTCAAGCAAGCAGTTATGTGAATTGTACGCATGCATCTCCCAACCAAATTCTACCCGTATATCACAAAGGAAAAGGACTAAGCAACACTTCAACCTGATGTTTATATTCTCCACGACCCACCCACAATTCCACTCGGAAGTCCAAATACCATTACCACATATCTATAAAACAAACAATCTACCCCGAAAAGTTCGAAGGATTCCAACAACTTTGAATTCTTAGTCCTAAACAATAGCATTGGCAGCACTAGCAATCCTTGGCCACAGATCAGCACACTCTTTTCCAATAGGGCCGGTAATTGCAGATCCTGCATAACCAAATAATAAAAACTAGATCAATGTGAATGACTTGCAAACCCCTCTTCCCCAACAACTAAATAAATAAAGCGTGCATATAGACATGCTTGCATTAATTGGTAAAACATAAACTTAGGAGAATTGGAAGTTTTCCATGAAAATAATTATCTGCTGGGGGAAACAATATGATCATGTCAATGGAACGGAAACCCCAACCCAGCAGTCCAGGAAAAGATCATCCTTCAATGGCAATATGCCTGCTTGCAAATTCATGTTCACGTCTAGTCACCCTTTTACATCAATAATTCCACACAACAACCACTCACAAGCATGTCTTTCCCCAACCAAACTCGCAAATGATAAAAGAATAATATACACCAACTGATTGGCAAAAGAGATTCAACCTAGGTGAAGCAGAGTAAACATGAGATAAAAGCATATCATTCTGTTCCCTTTTTAAACTGTGTTAATTGCAAAGCACAAGGATCACATAAAAAATTCTCTGCTAAAATAAATTCTAATACCCACATCTCGCAGCCATATGTCAACCATAACTTTCAAGCTTAAGATATTATGTCATTAACTGGCATATGGAGAAAACACATTAACAACATTAGCACCAAATTTGTAATGGCATATTCGATCACATAGTAATATACGCCAAATTAAACGTACCTTTCATTTCTCCCTTGGGATTCACTATGACACCAGCATTATCTGCAAATTCAGAAAATCAAATTCAGAACTTATTTCTATCATGTCACAAATGTTAACTCGTTGATATAATAATTCCACATCCTCTGTCTCAGGCTTCAAAAGGAAATCTCAGTTAATTGACGCAATGAAAGACTCAGAATTCTGCTTTCAATAATAATCAAACAGTTATATGTATTTCTGGACTCCTCAAGCATAGATTGGCAGATAACCTTATTAACACAACTTTCTAACTTTACTTTGTGCTCAGTTGTCGCATTCGATTGACAGAAAAAATAATTACAAACAATAAACATACACATTTACCAGCAGACAGGTAACACGATGCAAAAAATGAACATCATGCTGTTTAAGACTGACTTAAGTTTCGTTAATTTATGCTTCCTGATAGAATTGGCCAATTGAGACATTGGCCATTATAAACTTTCATAGAAGCAACTAACTTAGATAAGGGAAAAATATTATGATTCAAATCCTGAAAACTGCATAAAGTAGCCCTAAAGAAAACTCAAAAACAAAAAATCAACATGCAGGAGAAAATCAAAAGTGATAATCAAATAAGAAAGAAAAGGAGTAAGAATCGAAAAGATATATACCTTCGAAGTACATGAAGACACCGTCCTTACGGCGCCAGGGCTTGCGCTGACGAACAATAACAGCAGGCATGACCTTCTTCCTGAGATCGGGCTTCCCTTTCTTGACTGTAGCCATCACCATGTCTCCAACGCAAGCCGATGGCAACCTGTTGAGTCTGCCCTTGATTCCCTTCACCGATATGATGTATAGGTTCTTCGCTCCAGTGTTATCGGCGCAGTTCACCGTCGCCGCCACTGGTAGACCTAGAGACATCCTAAACTTGTTCCCGGCGGAACCTCCCCGCCCTAATAAAATCATATATCATAAATGAGAAACAATTAGAAACGGATCGAGACAATCGTGATCTGTTTGGTTAACGAGAAATTTAACAGAAAGGCATATAGATTAAAAAAGCTCAAGATTGAGTCATACCTCGTTTCGACATTGTGGATTAGCGCTCTCTCTCTCTCTCTCTGCATCGAAGTCCGAAGAAGGAAGAACGTGAAAGTAGGAGGCGGTAGGCTTTTATATGGACCGAGACTGCGCGCCGCATGAACTAGGGTTTTTGTTCAGGCTAGAGGAGTGTTTGGGTGTGATAATTAATCGGGAGAATTACACTCAAATTCTTGAAATTTGTCACTTAAGCTCTTTAATATTTAAAATATTGCGCAGATAGCTCTAAAGTTTTGTATGTTAATAACTCTTACCCATTAATATCTGTTAGAATATTGGTTATTAAATTACACTAAGATCTTCTAAAGTTTGTATACGTATAATACTTTTACTCTTCAAGTTTAAAATATTATATTTAAAAAAGAATATTTCAATCATAGATAGAATATCAAATATTTTAAAATTTACGATTAAAATTCATGTTATATTATATCATTTATTAAAACAAAATCAAAAATAAAAATTTAATTTTTTTATAAAAAAATATTAATAAATAATTATAATATCCATTAAACAACTAAATTATCATTAAAGATAAAAGATATTGTGTTTATTATAGTTTGACCCTTTGTTTTTTTTTTAGTTTTATTCCAATAAATAATACAATTATGTGTTAATTATGATTTTTTTAAGAAATAATTAGGTTTTTATTTTTGTTTTATATCAGTAAATGACATAATAGAACATGAATTTTAGTTATAAAATTTAAAATATTTGATATTTTATCTTTGATTAGAGTATTTTTTTTGTCTTAATATAATATTTTATACTCGAATAATCTAAATATTATAGCATATAAATTTCAGAAGGTCTGGTGTAATTTACTAACGAATATTCTAACGAAATTAATAACAGGAGTCTAAATGTTAAGTGATCAAATGACAAATCTTAAGGGGTGTGAGTATAATTCTCCCTAACTAATAAAATCCGGTCTATCCTCTCCAGGGTTTGCTTATAATTTATTCAGGGTCCTGGTTAGCATGTTCTACATTTGAGAGAATACAGCAGCACGACGACGTTGAGAGCGTTAAACTAACAATTAATGGAGACCTTATAATTTTTCAGACAAGTAATTATAGGGTGAAAAAAAGTGCAAAATAAATAAAAATTAATTTTCCAAAAAATAAAACAAGGCATGACTTGCAAGAACAACGTAAGAAAACTTATATTAGGACATGAGAAAAGAATAATATTTTACCCCCTAACCCTCTCACCCACAATTTAATTTTTATATTCAAAAGATAGATCAGTAATATAATAGACACATCGTCAAATTTTTTTACAAAACTGACCAAATATCATTTTTTTAGACAGTATCACATACTCCACCCCACACGTGATCATTCTGTCAAAAATTTAACAATCCGTTTATGTAGAGACCAAAATGACACGAATTAAATACTATAGAAACTAAAATAACACGAATTGAATACTATAGTGACCAAAATGACACATTAAATAATTTAGAGACCAAATTGATGTAATAAAGACTAAACTGATAAAAAAGTATACACTTGAGAACCAAACTTGCTACAAACCCTAATTTATAATTATTAACAATGCTGAAAGTGTAATTTTCAAATGCCGATGGCGTTTTTCCTGAAGAAGTGAACATGGCAAACTTTGAGGCAGCAAAACATGACTAAACAACCAAAAGGTGTTGAGCACAGGGCCCTGCAACGTAACACATCCATCTTGTAGATGGCAGCACATATTGAGCATCTGTACATAAAACCTCAACAGTTTTGGCCCTTCATGGCACATACATGGAACTAGCCTTTACAAAACATACAAGAAACTTTCCTTAGAGCTTCAATAACAACCCCAAAGCTGAGTCACTTCAGAGAGCAAAACCAGCCCATCAAAACAGGTCATTGACCATTTTCCTTCATCTGGGCAAGGTCATAACCGGTGTCTAGATCCTGCATCATAGAATCATTGTTAGCAGCAATATATATGTAAGATGAATTATCAAAATAATCTATATTATAAAACAAGACAAGTTTTAATAAACTCATCTGACGGTCTCAAATAAACTTATTCACCGGTCACTAACATCGCTCTCAAAACCATTCATATTGTACCGTGTCTTCAGACACGGGTTACTCCTAATATCAAATAAAACACAAGTACTTGCCAAGTTATGATAATCTTTTGCAGTTCTATAGTTTATCCAGAGTTAATTAGTCAGATAAAACAAAAGTACTTAGCTATTATGCTAAAAAGAACCACTATTCCATTCATGCACAAACAAGCCACTGTACAAAGAGGAATATGGAATGGAATATGATATAGCAGTGCCCATATGTACAGGGTAAACAGTGAAGACATTTACAAATTGAAATGAAAAGAAGAATTAGTTCAGACCAAAAGGCTCAAGAAGGGATTATGAATATGGGACAGGGCACAGGAAGAGGTTTAAAAGAGTCACAAACTTGAACATCAAAAGAAAATATCTCTTCCTACAGAGTAACTAAAGAGATGTCCCCCTTTAAAAAATGAAACAAAAAGAGGAAGGAACAATTAGAAGAAGAAGAAAGACACCAAGAAGCTAGAAACTCATGGTATTGTACCAATACACCTTTGAAAGTCAACTCCTAGTCCACAAATGATGTATGCATTCTCTCCTAGATATAAATGAGGAGTAAAGATATATAATATCTTCCAGAGACGCTATACAACCATCCAGACACCAGCTCCCACATACAATTCGCCATAACTAAATGTATGTTGAATCAGAAAACAAACTATGAAGGCAGATGAAAAAGAAAATGAAGAATGAAGTAATTGATCATGATGGCATTGATGGGGATCGTATTGGAATTGGATAGATATTTTAGATTAATTATAAGAGTTATTTGGATATTTTTATTATTTATTTTTTAAATAATTTTTTTTAACTTTTGAGAGCTTATTTGTCATTATTTATTTATTTTAGAATTTTAATTTTCCATATGCATGCAAGGATTTTATTTAGATTAAACTTTGATTATTATTGATTACTGATATTGAATACTGATATTGTTTCTTTCTCCAAATTCTCTTTTTTCTCATCCCCTTCTTCCCTTCTTATCCTTAATTCTTTCACTTCCTAGTCTACATTAAAGTTAATACAATCTACATTAATTTAGTATCAGAACGAATACGATCTACATCAATTTGATATCAAAGCCCAACTTCAATTCGTACAAATCACAAAAATCACATTAACATTGTTCATCAGAAAAACACTAGTCATCGCACATTGTTCATCGCTTGCACTGTTCATCGCTAACAGTGGTCATCGCCACCACCAAGTCACTAGCAATTAAAAAAAAAAAAATTGAAGCAATATTGCCGCAAAGAAGACGATTAGATCAGGTAAGGTTTTGTTTGGGAACAACAGCTTCAACGAGACATGGGAAAGAAGACCTATTGCCAAAATTCTAAAATTGAAAAAACATCCCCAGTAAAACTAGAAACTTTCAGAATCACCACAAAAAATTTCAAAAATTTTAGAATCACCCCAAAAAATTTCAAAAAATTTAGAATTACCCTCAGAAGTTTCAAAAATCAAAGAAATATCATTCAAAAGTTTCATAATTGTAGAAACATCCCAACATATCCAAAAAATTGCAAAATCATCCCCCACCAAATTTCAAAATTTCAGCACAGCAAAGCTTGATTATGGTATGCATACTCCCATAAAAATTTGAGACTAATATTTTTATTCATTGAAAAATTAAAGAATTTGCAAAGGGTCCAAAACACATTTTCTTCTATTTAAGTTTTCTCAGTTCTTGTAATTATCAATTGCATTCTTGAACTTGTTCTTATGTTATTCTCATCTTTCAAAGCTAATAATGAGTTCATATAATACTTATGATGCCTATTAATATACTTATCCAACATCAAGAATGTCTCAAGTTCACAGTTCTCCACAATGTCATCACTATACCTATTCCACTCCTAGAGTTTCTCGGAATCATCATAAAGTTCATAGTAAGTTTGAGTTTTATTATGAAGATTATCTAGAATACTCTAGGACACTTAGGTCACATAATTACCAATGTCATACTTCCTGAAGTCATCATCAAGGTCAATCTAGATCTATCTTTAATGTCCTTAGTGACCATTCAAAAGCTCAAACTGCCCGAGAGAAAAAGGTTAAGATCTTTGAAATTAGAGTTGTCAATAACAAACATTCGCTCAACCAATTACGTGAAAAGTGTAGAGGGGTGAAAAACTAATTATCTGAATTAACAAATCAATTTTTCCACTTGAATAAAATTCTTGCAAGTCAGCAAATGAAAAAAAATAAGGACAAGTCTCCAATTTCACCTAATGTCAGACACCCGTATAATGATAGTCATATTTTTGTTCCATTAGACCCTCATGTTTTTCATCCTTCAAAACATACTTTCAATCGTTTGAACATTAATACTAGTAATGAGATTATTTTTTATCCTATAATGTTTTCTACCTCGTTAGAGCAAAAAGTTGATGCAAGATGTTGAGTATATTGAGCTATCTATTTTACAATCTGTTGGTAATTATTCTATCTCTACTATTCCGAATCATGATGACATTGTTGTAAATTCTTCTTCATATGAAATTGTTAATTTTGTTTCGGATTTTTCTCCACCTGAGATTGTGACATTGTTTTGGATTTTGCCCCATTTGAGAGTATTAACTTTGTTTCTTTGCCTACTGTCAAGTGTTTAATTGTGTCAGTACTTTCTTATTTTCAGCAGCAGAACGTTATTGTTACTCCTTTGTCATCAATGTCTTGTCCCACTGAATACTTTTTGTTGAAACCTAATAAAAATTGATTTGCTATTCTCGAGTTTGGATCTAATACTTATTTGTTTAATTTTCTATTGAATGGTAATATTAGTCCAGATTTTTATTTGGACAAAATGCTACTTAATCGAGATACTCCAGAGCCTCCTACTTTATTATCCGATGTTTCTACCGGTGGAATTGCTTCTTCCTCAGCACTAGCTCCAATTCTGATCTTTCCACTTTCATCGCGTATTTTGGGCTAGATAAATTATGTACTACGTGATCAGATTTACATTGCTATAGATAGAGATTTTTATATTTATTTTGATCGATGGAAAGATGATAGTTCTTTCATTCTAGATGAGGCATTTTGTCATCTTCATGCTGCTCTCTTAGGGAGCTTTTGCTTTGAAAACTCTCCGAAGAAAAATTTTTCTCAATCGGGAGAGAATGATGGGGATCATATAGGAATTGGAAAGATATTTTAGATTAATTATAAGAGTTATTCGAATAATTTTAGTATTTATCTTTTAAGTAATTTCTTTTAACTTTTGAGTGTTTATTTGTCATTATTTATTTATTTTAGGATTTCAATTTCCCTATATAAAAGGATGCATGTAAGGGTTTTATTTATATTAGACTTTGATTATTATTGATTACTAGTATTGAATACTGATATTACTTCTTTCTCTAAATTCTCTCTTTTCTAATCTCCTCCTTTTCTTCTCATCCTTAATTTTTTCCCTTCCTAGTCTACATCAAAGTTAATACGATCTACATCAAACATCCAACTCAACCTTTAGCCGAAGTTTTCTTACTGGACCCCATATAATTTCCCAACTAGACCAATGTGAACCTCTAGACCAAAAAATCTATCAACATTGCTTACCAATACATTTCAATCATGCATATTAGTATTTCATTGCCCAACAACCTACTATTGAAACCTCAAGCCTTACATCATAGCAAATTTCTAAGAACCTGAACAACCTGAAGGCTCGTAGTACCTGCTATCGCAGCTATGCAGTGGAAGGGAAGGAGCCTAAATCGACCCCCTTCTTTCTTTTCTTTTTCTTCAGAGACAGAAATTGACAATTCACATAAATTTAGAAAAGCACTCACAAGTACGCACCAATTCAAGCTATTACAAGAGAATGATACCATTCAGAAGAGTGACAATGTCAAATATCTTATATAAAAACAAGGAAACACAAGTTCATGCCTCACAATAAAGTACTTACTACTGGAACGTTTAATGTTTCGGCAGAACTTGCTACCACACCGGCAGCGAAATGCCTTGACAGGGTGATCATTATCATCAAAATCAATACCGTAGTCCTGCAGTCATATCATTTATATCGCTAAACAAAAGTTCATAGACCCAACCAAATTTGAAATCAGATCATAGAATATTTCTAACAATAAGTGGCAAGCATAGACAGACAAAGATACAACGGAGAGGAAATATGCAATTTATGTTATACACATTCTTAGGCAATATGCATAAAAAGGCAACTGGCAACCCCTCATGCATCAATTCATTTATCTATGCAATCAAAGATGCGTTCATCACATTTTTTATGGCCTTTACAAAGAGCAAGTCCTCAAACCCTGTTTTACAACTGCTGAAGGTCATAGTCAAGGCAACTGAAATTCACTTGCAGATGTTCAGGCAACTCCTTTAGTTTTCTCTAAAAAAGTTCATGCAACCTTTTTTTTAGAACTTAAGTAGGTTGAAAACTTTCTATTCATCCTTAAGTTCCACAGTAAAAGGAAAAGAAACTCGTGAATTTCTTATGGGTGAATTTATTGACTCTTAATTTAGTGTAGAGGTAATGGCAAATTGCCAGTTTTTCAAACTATACGTCAGATTGAAAACCTAATTGCTACATCACCGTTTAATCAGGTTCACCAAATGATTCCCTCAACTAGGAGTGCATTCCAGTTTGAAGCACAATCAAGCTGACATGCATAAATTGCAACTCCACCATTTTGTTGTTCCACCACCACTCAAAATCAAACAAGTTCCTGGTTCAATCATTCTTTATCTCACTACATCTTCCTTTATTAGCAGAAGAAAGAAATTCGACAGCATAGAGCTGGGAATGAATGAATGAATTGTGATATAGCACTGCTATCAGCACAAGCACCGGCACACCATAGGTTGGCCCAAACTACCTATGTTCTGCTTCTAGAGCAACCTTATATGCACCATCAAAATCAAATTAAGCAAGCTTACATGTGACTGACATTGAAGTATAATCTAAAAAAATAAAACCCACTTACCCAAGTGAGCTCTTCCGAGGCTTCTACCTTTCTTGTAGTGAATAAGGCTAGCTGCAAGAAGGAAACCACACAAATATATAAGATTTGCAACAGTAAATGATAAAGTCCAGCAAGATCATTAATAGACAAAGGTAAAAATAAAATCCAATGAAGTACATAAGATACCATACATGATAATAGTGGTGATCAGGGTTTCCACCTCCACTGGGATCTCAACCAAGTTTGAATCAAAACATCTAACCAAAAATTGGAAATTTTCAATATTAAAACTAACTGAAGCTTGAGGGGATGGGTTTTTATTTGCTATAAAGCATAAACATAAGAACATAAAGTGCAAATGCACAATATGCACACACACGTGTGTGTGTGTGTGTGTGAGAGAGAGAGAGAGAGAGAGAGAGAGAGAGAGACATGTAAGAAGTCATATCAATACACACCACTTTTGTCTACCAAATATTATAAGGTACTAAAGCATAATAGCTATATCTGTGAGTCAAATCTTCCTAAAATAAAATAAATATAAAAGTAGCAAATATCAACACTGAATAACTTAACTGCAACTTACCACATTCTCACAGAACTCCCCAAAGTCCAAGCCAAAAGGGCACAACAAAGATAGCAGAGTGCGTAGAGAGCCACACAGTCAACAATGGACTGAACTCCACTATACTCTTTACTACATCATTGGTTCTAGTCCTCATTTACTTTTTGCTTAACTTGAGACACCAGAGATTGAGATATTTATGTTGTTCAATTATAACTGCATTTGCGGCCATTAATTGTGGATACTTAAGCATAAGGAACCAAAATGTGATTGAACAACTGGAAGACTCAGCAACAATGTTCGAAAATAATGCTTAATGATAAGTAAGGAACAACAAACCTGCATACATCTGCTTTTATATGTTCCAACTCACCTGTGATTAACAAATCTTGCAACATTCCCATAATATGTTGCATACAAACAGAGAGCTTCTTCATCTTTTAAGACACCTGAACCCCAATCAGCATCAAGCAGTACAGGATATGCACGTTCTGCACTGCTGGGGATTCGCAAAATTCGTTCATACAGCTCTGCACTGGTCAACACTTCTCCAACATATTCACAAACAAATGCACCTTTTGGTAGGTTTTCTAGGGTACGAAGACCCCAACCCTTCCCTTCTGGAGTCATAAACACCTAGAAAATAGGGAAAAAGATTTTAAGGGGATATTAATTCAGCAATCTTCATAACATGTTGCTTATATCTGTATTTATGTGCCTCTAATTTTAAAAATTACCCCAAGTACTGACCTGCAAGTTGCAATTTATGCCCCTTTGAACAACTCGATTGCCACATTGTTTACTGCAGCCACATTTTGACCAACATTCTTTGATGAACTTTCTCACTAAATGCCCTTTGCAGGGCTCTAATATACCATCATCTTTTGATCTTTCCAGCGGGCATTCCTTACAATAAGAGAGGCAATGCTTTTGAGGATCACGATTCATAGAAATACACTTGTCTAGAAACTCCTCCTTAACAAGGCCTTCTAATGTGTATACAAAATTACCCCCCGTCTCGTGAGCACATGCACAAAGTGCAGATGATAACAGGCAATCACCAAAACAAGTTGCACAACAACTATCACCCCCAATACGAGCCAGAGAGAAATTCACATTAGCATTTTGAAAAACTACATTTTGAGGAATGTAGTAAAAGGATGGCAGACACTCGCTGTTGATTTCATTTGCCAATGATATTGTAAGTCTTTCTTGTCCTTTGGCTATGTCATTAACATCATGAAGAGCCCTTATACCATCAGGAATAAACCTAGGTTGCTGAATCACCACCAAACCTCGAGAATTTGTACATTCCAGTCCATTCTGTTCCTTTTCCTGCTCAGTTAACCTCTCATCACTAATAATATCCTTACAAAGTTGCATGTGATCATCCACATCATTGCAAGCAGCAGAAAGTCTGAGTAATTGAGGTGGAGCCTTCTGAGCAACACATGGCTTATCAACTGACCCATTTAAAGAATAAGATGGCATGCCTCTATCATCTGAAGCACCATTTACACCAGATTTTTCCATTATATCAATAGATGTTTCAATAACCGTTTCTTGTGATTCATTAGTGAAGGCAGAGCCTAGTTCCAAAGCGCACGCACACATATCGCTCATCAGTTTCGTCACACAAAAATTTGGGTCCAGTACTTTGTATGAACTCAGACATTTATCCTCCATCAATTTCAGAAGTGCATCTAAACTTGGCATACGGAAGTCAGGACTTCCAGCAGCAGCCTTACAGCTTAAAGAGATTTTCACTTCTCCAAAGGACGAGGAACCAACTTCCAAGGTAGCAGAGGATTCATCCGGGATTATTGAAAGCTCACAATTGGACCTTGTTTCATTTGATGAGGCTGAAACACCGTCAGTTTTATCTTCTCCATTTACAGAATTGGAAGGTAGAATTTCTGAACCATGTTGTTTGTGACGCGGACCATTCTCAAATGAAGAATGTCCTACATGTAATACCTCTGTTGAAAATTTGAAAAAAAATAATAAATAAAGACATCCAGGCAAATAGAGCAGTTCAGCACTTAACAAAAACTGCTTAATAAAATACTTATCAATAACTAATGTAAGAGCATCATCTTTGAGTAGGATAATTAGTACTCACGCAAATGCATAAGTATACAAATCAATCAGTAAATCCCCATCAAAATTAAATTAAATGAACAAATCTATTGACAAATCAGTATGTGCCCACATGTTCCTCCTAAGTCACAACAATCAATAAATTCAGCTTTAGCAATGGGAGAACGGAGAACAATGCTCAGCTTGAGCTCATTATACAATGGGAGGGTTAAGCTCAAGCTCCACTAATGGGTAGGAAACGACAAGTTTGAGATCAATTAAAAAGGCTCGATATGATGCAGCATTTTAATGGTATATAAGATTGCTGACCCATTTCCCAACTGAGGAAACAAGACATCATTGGAAGATCAGTCACACTTCAAGGACTATTCACATCACATGGAAACAATAACTCCATAGCAGGCAAATCTATCTTTTAGGAAGCAAAGTGGAAATTGTTGGAGATGTACTTTCGCCATATTCAACTTTGATCATCAAAAAGGTTCAAATGTACAATATTAATACACCCCAATAAAGGATTTAGATTATTTTTGGCAACAGGGTTTAAGTCAAACAATATATAGTACATCATTATTATTAAATTGCAGTCTGCAAGAACCCATTCAGCACTAGGACATCTGGGAGTATGCTCAATTGGTTCCAACTAATGAATTCAAGTGATAAGAAGAAACCAGAACAAGGCTGCAAACATGGTAGCAGCTATGGCCAGAAGGGGCATGGTACCAGACATCCGCTGGAGACCGCCCCCCCCCTTTTTTTTTTTACTCTGATAAGTCTTATTCAGCAAGAAGCAAGAGTAGGAGTAGGAGGATGTCGGAGTTTATGTACTGCTTTATATTTTGAGTTTTGTCTTAATGAAATTTAATTTTCCTGACCAAAAAAAAAAATTGCAGTCTGCAGCAAAATCTGCACTTAACAACAAAATCATAATCCAACATGGCAAAGTGTACCTGGATGGATAACGGCAAGAGGAACCTCAAACTGTGACACGTCATCTGTAAATGGCTCCTCTTTAGGCGTGATCAAAGCAGGAGTGTTATGCATCTTCTTCTGTCTGGGCAAAAGAACAATGCCGTGCTCAACTGTTGTCTCTTTGAAGAGCACTGCGTGACTTGACTTATCAGAACTTGAACTCTTCTCCCTGGAAGCAATTTGAGGAGCGAGAGGCTCCTTTCCCCTGTCTCTGAGACGCATCGGTGAAGAGATTGGATTAGAATTGATTCTCCTCATTACAGCTGGCTGAGTTCTGCCAGCGTCACCTATCCGAGATGGATCAGATCTTTCTTGCACCACCAATGACTTAGACGAAACAGGGTGCATTTCTGAGTGGGTTGATGGGGGTTGAGATTCAATTCTCTTCGGAGGTGACTCAATCATACTTTGTGACTGATGCTGGAGACGACTTTCAGGTAGTTCATGTTCCTCCACTTTAGGCCGCTTTAATGTCATTCCATCCAGGCTGGGACTGGAGGTATTGAGAGAAGGTGAAGCTTGTCCTTCTTGGTACCTTAACCGCAACCTTTTTAAAGGACGTTCAGGCTCATTGTCCATCTGACCATCATTCTCCAAATCTTTTTTCTCTCGCTGGTCAAGAGAAGGTCAATTGAAAAAAAAAAATTAATAGTAAAGATGTACACAGCCACAAGAACAGTACGCAGAATCTGTACAAACATGAGGAACAGATCACATACTTCAATATTCTCCATTTTTTTCTTATGTTCCTCTACCTGAAAATTTAGAGTAATCAAGAAACACAAGGTATATCAAAAAAAAATGCAACAGAATATAAGAATGTTATCAAAATAAATAAACTAACCAGTCAGAATTAGAAGCAGTATGAGAGAGAGAGAGAGAGAGAGAGTACCAGAGCTTCTTCAGTTTCAAATATGAGGTCTGCAAGAACTCTATAGTTTTCTTCTTCAATCAGTTCCCAATTTTTATCATACAATTTTAAAAGCTTTTTCAAGACGGGTTTCACTTTTTCTTCAGAAATTCCAAGACCCTTCATAGCACGAAAGGCTTTTGCAACTCTTGGATTGGGCGGCGGCATTGATTTCTTCCAGCAGGTTTTCCTACAACAGGTTCAGAATCATCCACCTCCCTACATTTCCCGAGATTCGTAAGGGAGCAGGAAAAAACATGAGAAACCTATATATGATACCTTAATGTATAAGTATATGACACAATCCACAAACATATCTCATAAGACTGTAAAGAATAAACTAAGAGTGATGGGTAGTCAAGCCGTTTATCAAATAGAGAAATGGCTGAATGCATTTCAGTAAAACCACAAATACCAGCCAACACCAGTTAGCATCAAGTATCTTGCCAAAGAAATTCAGAAGTAGAAATTTGAATTGTTAAACATATCTGAATATTTATATAGCTTGTATTATTGGACTTCTGTTCGTAGTATGTGCCAAACAAGAATAGTATGCACAGACATTCTGCTAAACATGACGTGTACTTGACTGTATTTGCATAGCAAATAAAACGTGCATGCTCTCATTCCAAAAACCTAAGAGTTTGGGAAAGAGAATGCAATTGCAGTGGTGTGGACAAGGCTCTTCTACTATACAAATATACATATATATATAAACTAGGCTAAGAACGGTTTAAACTTTTAATTGTTGGCAATGGTCATTAAACCCCTAACACCTTCGGCAACTATATATCAACTCGCCTTACATATAGATGCGCAAGAATAATTTTTTTTATATATCTTACCAACTTCTTGTTGAGTAAACATTTTCTTGATCAATGTGTTTGGTTTAACGTCCATCTCAATCTAATGATGCGGGACAAATATCAAATGAATCAGAATTCATAATTGCTGTGTCCATGAGAATAACAAAAAATGTGAGTTTGCATATCAAATTCTTATTTGAATCCAGACAACTTGATATATGGCATCATGTATAATAATAATATAAGGTATTCAATCCAATGATTGGATTGAAAAAGCAAGAATCAAACAAAAGTCAACGAGAGATGCAAGATTCATGTGTCCGTCACCAAACATAAGTGGATCAGATCCTACCCTTCGCATACAATGCATAACATGTACAATCAATATACATGAATGGAAAGTAAGACCATAATATATTGCAATGTAGAATAGGTTTATTTAACTCTATATATCTATGAATCAACATTATATATTCACGCTGCAATAAGGACAGAGGAAAAAAAACCAGAGCTGCCTGTGATCTTGACAAACAAAGCCCTCTCTAATATTTTAAATGATCAAAACCTGAAATTAACTCAAAACAAAAATGACAATGTGCGGTCGAAGCTACAGATTCGAGTAAAACTAGAAAGAAGCCAAGATCACGTAACTGAAAATTTCCCTAAATGAACAACCCATTAAAGTATCCTTGTATTCTCCCTTGTAACCATTATAAACTAACAACTAGAGCTAGATAATACAAAACATCAGCCCACTGATTAGTTGCCACGAAAATGTAGGAAAATAGATGCAAGCATGTTTACCCAGATAGACCCAATATGATGTAAATCATTTTCTTTGAAAAATGAGAGTGGCCCGGCATAGAAAACATCAATTTCGAAAATTTCTTTCCAACTTTTCCATTTTAACATTCTCAGCAATCAAACAGATGGTATCCATGAAAAAGTGAGGTTCTGTACAAACGGGAATTTCAAGGAAAACAAAGATAGCTCACAACTAAACCAGAAGAATGTACTTGAAATTGAAAGCACTAGACCCCTAAACAATTTTGAAACCAAATATATGAAAAAACACTGTGAACTCGAAACAACCAAAGAAAGACACAAGGGGTTCGCAGCTTTAACTGTGAAAAAGTTGAATCAAGTAAAAAAAATATGGAAATAATGTCTGATTAAATACAAGAGTGAAACAACAACAGATAATAAAGATGAAAACATACGATATATAATAGGAAGGTCTGTAAGAGATGGATTAAATGAAGGAAAATACCAGCAGTATTACCCATCTTAGGAGAGTAACTTACCAACAAAAAACCTTGAAGAGTGACTGTGTGTGAGAGAAAGAAGGAAAAATAGCGCGCCAAATAGGGCACACAGAGCTGAGGGAAAACTGAAAAGGGGGGCTTTTTGGAAGGAGAGAAGTAAGGGCGCGTTGGTAGGACCGATGGCATTCTAATTTTTTCCCGCAATAACTACCAAAATCCCTTCGATTTCTGATAATTACGGGTTGGACTTCGGATTTCACCCGAACTAACCCGATATTTAAAAAAAATGAGTTTTCTTGAATTTTATTTCAGTAATACTACAATGATCAAATTTTAAAACTAAATTTAAAGTTCAAATAACATGACAGTTGACATGAGTTTCTTTATCTAGTGTCGTGTCATTTGAGTCCTGATAAATATTCTAAATAATATGATGTCGTGTCATAAAATTATAAATAGAAATATGTAAATATAACATTTGTATCCTATTCCCTAATCTTCATCTATTGTTATTGATGTTCTAAGCTTATTAAAGAAGTAAAATTTATTTTTCTATTTTTTGATAAATTAAGATTGTGGAAGTTATAGAATTTAAGTTCAATTTTGATATTGAGCACAAAATTGAACCCTAATTTTTTTTTAATTTGAATTTTGATTAATAAGAAGTTCAATTTTGTAATTTTTTATGTAATTTTGAAAAAAAAACTCATTTTTTATTTACTTTGTAAAAGTAATTTCTGCATAGGCATAGTTAAAAAATAACTATATGCGTTGGTAAAACCATTTTTTAAGTAATTCTTAAAACTACACTTGCAACCCTTGAACTTATCTATGGATTTGTAATTTTTTATGTAATTTTGAAAAAAAAAACTCATTTTTTATTTACTTTGTAAAAGTAATTTATGCATAGGCATAGTTAAAAAATATGTTTTTATCATTAATTAAAAAATAAATGAAATATACAAGCCACATTTATATGTTATAAAAAATTAAAAATAAGATATCGAAAATATCATAAAAGGGATGTATATATATTGTACATGTATGCATTTAGGGTCTTGTTGTGGTACCAATTGTACCTTTTCGATATGGTATCAAAAAACAAAATTCACTGTTGATGAATAATAAAGAAGTTTTAATCGTTGATGAAGTTCATCACTTTTTACCGACTACCCATTAAGCTTTACAAATTCATAAAAAATAAAAAATAAAAATACACAGACAAAGACAAAGACAAAGAAGATGGAGTTACTGAGTTTTTTTCATTCCTACAAACCATTGAAAAGTTATAAATTATTTAGTAGTGGCTCCAGTGAGTGACAGTGAAATTGATTTTGATTTCGCAAGTTGAAATCGATTTTACTCAGGTTTTTGAAATCGTGCTAGTTGAGAGAGATAAGGTTGATTTGGGATTCGATTTAAGGTTCTTGTTAGGGTTTTGGGTATGAAATTTTGGGAGTAAATGAGTTCTTTGATTTTGGGAATTAAGAAAAGAAAAAAGGATATGGTCGTTATTTTTGACCGACACAGATGTAGCGATTTAATCCGAATCATTCTTGGTTGGGTGTAGCGATCAAGTGTGGCAATCTTGATTTGATCGGTCATAGTTGGTGTGTACTACGTAGTGATCAAGTGTAGCAAACTAATATAGATCAGTCATGGTTGGGTGTAGCGATCTTGATTTTATCGGTCATGGTTGGTGTGTAGCGATCAAGCGTTGCAAACTAATCTGAATGAGTCATGGTTGGGTGTAGCGATCAAGTTTCGATCACGAGTCCAAAATAAATTTCACTTATACGCCTAAACTATCACCCTTTTTCAAATTTTCCCTCATATTTTTATATCAAAACCTCAACTATGTAATTAGTTTCATATTACCTCAAACTTTTTTACCTAATTTAATTTAACACCCAAATATGATAATTTTGTTGTAATTTATTTAGTAGTGAAAAACTTTATTGCAATAATTTTAACTTAACCCAAAATATAACCCTCAAAAATGACAATTTTACCCAAAAACAAATTGGTCATAACCTTACTATACTTTAATTGTAATTTAGCCTAAAATAATGGTGAACTTACTTTGATAACCTAATCCTAACAAAAAATATTAAAAAAAAATGACAATTTTACCCAAAAAAATTGGTCATAACCGTATTGTAACATTTTAATACCCAAAAAATTTGGTAAACTTTAGTTGTAATTTAGCCTAAAATAGTGATGAACTTACTTTGATAATCTAATCCTAACCTCCTAATTTTTTTAACTTAATATAAAATGGTAAATTTAATGTCACTCAATAACCAAAATATTGTAATTTTTTTCCTTATATTTTCATTTCAGGTTTAAATATGATAATTAATTATCATTTTTTAAAACTAATTTTAATTTCTATTATCACTTAAAATAGCGGTGAACTTACTTTAATAACATAATCCTAACTTCCTAATATTTTTAACTTAATCTAAAATGGTAAATTTAGTATCATTTAATAATCCCAAATATTGCAAATTTTTTGTTATATTTTTATTTCAAGTTTAAATATGATAAATAATTATCATTTTTTAAAACTAATTTTAATTTCTATTATCATTTAAAATAGTGGTGCACTTACTTTGATAACCTAATTATAACCTCTTAATATTTTTAACTTAATCTAAAATGATAAATTTAATGTCACTCAATATTCCCAAATATTATAGATTTGCTGCTACATTTTTATTTCAGATTTAAATATAATAGATAATTATTATTTTTTAAAATTAATTTTAATTTATATTATCACTTATTTTTAAAGTAAACCGGTTTAACCGGTTATAAAGACTTTGAAATGTATCGGTAGCTTCAAGACATCACTTTTCCTTTTTTGATATCGTGTCCAAAAAAGGACCATAGTTGATGTTCGATAGCAACTATGGTGACCAGATCACTAAGGTGGATCAGCTTGATTGATGTTGATATAATGGCGGTGGTTTATTACGAAAATAAGTAAATTACATATATAACTCTTAAATTATGACTCTTATATCAATTAAGTCTTTAAATTTTTTTTTTATGCGTGTCAATTGAGTTTTTGAACTTTTTAATTATGTTAATTGAGTCTTTAACTAAACTACGTTTTTTTCTCCGGTAAATATGAAGTAAATTGAGTTATTTGTCAATTTTAATCTTTCTTTTTTTACTCGTCAGACAAAATTATGTGGGGGAGGGAGGAGATCATACCTATGTACCTATTACGGAACGGTGGTCAATGATCAAAATTTTATTTTGGTCATTTATAAAATAGAAATATTTTGATGTGTTTCATAAATCGTTTCAATGAAAAAAATTAAAAAATTTAAGAATTATTTTTCTAAAACATTGATTTAAATATATCAAAATATCTTGAAATACTTTAAAACATTCTGAAACAATTATATAAATGTATTAAAATATTATAATACATCTCAAAATATTATAAAAATACATATAAATATTATAATTTTAATTTTATCATTGATTCGTTTCAGTTCTCTTAGAAACAAAAACGTTTCGGACATTTTTAACCGTTTTGAAACGATTTTTTGATTCTTGATGGTGGTTAACTATGGTTGGAGAGAAAATAAAAATAAAAAAGGGTTGGATTGGGTTGAGGTGGAATTAGGGTGACGGGAGTGACACAGTGGTGGTGAAAGTATCCCGATGTTGTGTCGCTAGAGAGAGGGGGGAGGAAATATTAGACATTGAAATAGTGAATATTTACTGGCTAGAAAAAAAAATTATTATATTTTTTCATGTCATATATGATTAATTTATTGTATAAAGTGTTTTATTTAGTTCCATTATTTTCTAAATAAATGGATTTAATTAACATAATCCAACATTTAATACTTTAATTTATTTTTTAATACGAAATCCAAAATTAATTTTGAAGACAAAATCTTATTTGGTTGAGAATTGAATGAGGCCAATTGTATTTTTGATTCTTAGGTAAACATACCCTTGAGAATGGCAATGTGCCTTAAATTTAACTAGTGAGACTAATTACACCCAAGCACTAGGTCCCTTTAGTTTATAATGCAAAATAACATACAAATCGCGTCTAGTACTTTAGAAAAAAAATCACTAAAAATTGGATCATATACCATATATGGTTGAAGAATTCAATTAAAAATAACAAGTGTTAAGTGAGTTTCGAAAAGATAAAGAGGGTCTTATTATGTAAATCTCTCACTTCAAAGTATCTTTTGTATGCTTGATTTTATGATATCTAACAAAATAGGTATCCTTTCTTGTCTCCTTCTTGTTATGCTCCTATCAATTTCTTTGATGGCGAAGATAAAACTATATTGGTCGCTTAATTAAAATATAATCTTCGAATTAGTTATAAGTTTTAGTGTTAGAGAATTTGGGTCGACATTCAATAATCGAACAAATGTCATGTCCTGAGGCCTCAGCCGAGTTCGAAACTCACTTTCAATCTAATAGTTACATTAAATTAAGTATAAATAACATTTTTCATATTACTCGGATATATTTGATGATGAAGATAGAATTATATTGGATTCAACTCTTTTCAAAGTAAACACTAATATTACTCAAGTATAACAATTAAATCTACGTATAAATATTTGTAATAACATAAAATTAATCAAACCCAAAAGTGAACAAGCTCATCTAAACTTGATATACTGGTTTTATGCGGTCACCCTTCATCTCTATGAATGCAGCATAAAACTTATTTGATGATGCATAAAAATTGATTTATGTATTATCTCTCGAGTAATTAATGTAGGTATTAAATGCAATAAATATAAGGTGAGATCAACACAATCAACATACAGATGTATAGTAGTTCAGTCAGGGTGACTTACTTCGCTTTGAATATGGCAACGGTGGTCAGTGGTCTTTTATTGATGGAGTAATGCTACATGAACTTAAAAAGTAGATTTGATAATCACAATCATTGAATAGGTAATGAGTTCCTATAAATACTGAGACATACGGTGAAACTTATGATTGTAATTATCAATTCTATTTTTTAAGTTTAATTTTAAAGTCCATATAGTATTGCTCTTATTGATGAAGTAGTAAGCGAGAGAGAGTAAGCGTATACCCTTAGTAGCTATGAAAGAGATAATTGTGTAAGGTGTGTAGAGAGATGTCCCTTTCATATGGAGAGAACTTAAAATTTATAGGTACAAAGCCTTAATTGATGCGATGGCCTGATGAGTAAGTTACTAATTTTTTAGAGAGGATAACTAAAGCTAATTATAAGTACAACTATAGATAGTCTTCACCTAAAAGAGTGATTATCTCGATGATTATTCCTCACGTGTTTTAATATTCTTGAATTTCTTGATCTTTGATAATTCCATAAGTTGGGCTTGACCTTCCTTTTAACTGATTTGGGTCTTATATCATTAATTGGGCTGGGACCCAATTGAGTCTATCCTCCTTACCATTCATTGATGCAAAAAATCGGATGATAGTGGTTGTGGTGGTAGTGAACGTTTTGCGTGTAATCAAATATAAATTAATTAATATGTATAATAAATAAGTTAAATTAACATTTAATATTTATAATACATTTAATATATATATATATATATATATATTGTAGATATTAACACATACTCAACAAAATTTAAAACCACTCGACTCTGACTTGAAAAATAAAAATATATAAATATCACAATACGACGCGAACTAACAAGGCATTGGTGTTGGTGGGTGATTGAACAGGAGGAATGCAAGAAGTGTTAAGTAGTAGTACTACTGTACCAGCAGATTCCATGTGTATATCACAGTCAATCCTTTAACGCGTGAACTCGGTCAAAAGACTCAAAACCCACCCCTCCAATAATATAAACAAGAAAAAATTTTACTCACATCTCTTTTAATTCACTATATTTTAAAAGCACCCACTCTAATTTTTGAATTTTCATTGACACTTCTATCAAATTAAAGATCTTAACTATAATATAATTTTACTAAATTATCAGTGATATATTTTAGGAAAAATTTCATTTACACTCCCTCTAGATATATATATCTTCAATAAGACTCCTTCTATTTTATAAATTTTTTTACGTATTAAAATTCAGACCAACTAAAATTTGATTCGAGTAAAATAAAATTCATTTTTAATCAACTCGAATTGAATTTTAATCGGCTCGAATATTAATACCTGAATAAATATAAAATTTAATACTTCAAAAATGAATTTTAATCAATTTGAATTAAATTTTAATTGACACGGATTCTAATAAGTAAAAAAAATATAAATTTTAATCGATTCGAATCGAATTTTAATCTACGCTAACAGCTCAAATCGACTCGCATTTTAATACGTAAAAAAAAATAAAAATTTAATAGGCTCGAATATTAATGTGTAAAAAAATAAAATTTAATTAGTTCGAATTGAATTTTAATTGGGTCAAATTCAAATATGTAAAAAAATTATTCAACTCAAATTTTAATATGTATAAATATAAATTTTAATCGACTCGAATTTTAATTAAATTTTATATAAAAAGATTGTTTGAGGTTTATGTAAAGATAATTTTAGTATTTCAAATATTTTTTTTTATTAGAAATAATGGTTTAATGACAGAGAGTGTTAATAATGTTTAAATATAAACTAAAAGAGGTGTTGATGATATTTTAGATAATAGAAGAGATATTCATGAAAATATAATAAATTAGAGGGAGTGCAGCTGAAAGTTTCCTATACACAATAATAATAATAATAATAATAATAATAATAATAATAATATTCTCAGTCAAAACAGATCTCACATCACATTTCTTTGTACCCACTAGAAGACACCATTTTCACACCCGGGGGTTCTATTCCATTTCCATCTCATTACTACTTAATTACCTTCAATAATGAAATGGAACTTTCTTTCTTTCTTTCTTGTCATTTGCTGCTTTAACCAAAGATTAGTATTTCATTATCCTTTTAACTATGAGTAGCATTGTTGTTTTTTTTTATAGACCAAACCACTCTGAAACTACGAGTAGCATTGTTTGCGAACCCAAAAAAACTACTTTTTCGATATTAATGAGGGCATGACTTTTCGTATTAGATCTAATGAAATTTTAATTAAGATTGATAATTGAATTAAGTTATTCGGATTCAATTTGAATTCGACTCGAATTTTAAACGAATCGAGTTTGAACAATTTTTTAAATTTATTTAAAAAAACAAACTCGACAAGATCAGACAGAGTTTGTGAAATTTGATTCAATTATTCACCCTAATTTTCACAACTTAACACGACTTGCTTTTTATTATATTAAGACCGGCTAGATAAAAGATAAATACTAAAATACAAGACACTGGTGATGTGATTTTAATAAACTTTATCTATTATATTATATTGTTTATTTTATTATTTTTTTAATCAATAACTATAAATAACTTAAATAAAAAAACTATAATAAAAAAATCATACACTATAAAAAATTGATATCACAATACTACCCAAAAGAATTATTTTGTGAGTTTCACCTCTTTGCCAACTGTTCAGTTAGATACAGCAAGGTACTTAAGTGGTAAAGGCCGGAGAGGCACCCACAAACCCAAAAACCTCCAAAACCATCCTCTCCCCCGACAACAAGATCCTTCCCAAGAACACACACACACACACACAATCTTGTGACAGCCCCTATCATCAATTTTTTCCTTGTTTTTAGCCAAAACCCATTGTCCAGAAACCACCAAAACCCCCTCAAATCCCTCGCACAAACCTCTCTCCTCATGGTTTGAACAGTATTTAATTCCTGTAAATGGGTTCATCTTCATCTTCCAGTCCATTCTCTCTCCTCTTGGTCTTCCTTGCTTGCTTCGCCATTATTGGGTCCTCTTCAGATCACACAAACTTGGTTTACAAAGGATGTGCAGACCAGAAATTCCAAGACCCAACTGGTGTTTACACTCAAAATCTCAAAACCCTTTTTGACACCCTGGTTTCCCAATCTTCCACCAACAAATTCTATAAGACCACCGTCGGTGACGGCCAATCGGCCATTCTTGGTATCTTTCAGTGCAGAGGTGACCTCTCAAATGCTGATTGTAGCAACTGTGTGAGCAAAGCTACAGATAGGTCACGAAAATTGTGTGGCGAAACCATAGCTGCTAGGATTCAACTCAGTGGGTGTTACATAAGGTATGAGGTGTCTGGGTTTAAGCAGGCCTCTGGGACTGAGTTGTTGTACAAGGTTTGTGGGTCGACTCAGGCGAGTGGGACTGGTTTTACGGAGAGGTTGGACTCGGCTCTGGGTGAGATAGTGAAGGGTCTACAAAGTGGGAATGGGTTTTACACAGGTGGGTATGAGTCGGTGTATGTGTTGGGTCAGTGTGAAGGTGATTTGGGAAGTGGGGACTGTGTGGACTGTGTGAAAACTGCTACCGAGAGAGACAAAAGTGAATGTGGTTCCTCAATATCCGGTCAAATATATCTTCAACAGTGCTATATTAGCTACAGTTACTATCCAAATGGGGTACCCAGTGACTCACAATCATCATCATCATCATCAGGTAAACTAAGATATTTTTTTCTGGGAAATTAATGTTTCTATCAATGGTATTTTCCATGATTTTATAAGAATGTGAGAATGATAAGAAGATTATTAAGATAATTAGACAATCCAGAGGTCTAATATGTGACAGATAAGTGGGGTCTTGAATTGATTAAATATATAGTCAGATTTTAATGGGTCTCAGGTGTTTTGATTGCTGTAGGGACAGGGCAGAGAAATACACAGAAGACAGTGGCCATTGTTTTGGGAGGGGTGGTAGGTTTGGGGCTAGGAGTTGCTTTCTTACTGGTTCTTAAATCAGTGTTTAAGAAAAGGCATCATTATGGTAATTATTGGGGATGAGGTTAGTGTCTTCTACCATTACTACTACTCTCTTTCTCTCCACACTTTTTTTTTCTTTTGTTTATGGAAACATGATTATTATACTTAAGAATGTTTGATTTAATGTCAAGGTTACTGAGAGGCATAAGAGGTTTGCAAGACTGCGGATTTCAATGAGAGAGAGAGGAAGCTTTAGAGCATTAAGTGCCATGGGGATTGTAAAGAGAAAAAGGTGGTGGTGGAATGGAAAAGAAGAGAAGATTACTTTTTCTCTTCTCATTGGTTGAGGCTGCAGAGTTTTTCTTCTTTTCTTTTTCTTTTAATTCCTTTTAGGGACAATTTTTTGTAGTTGCCTTTTAGTGAAATGAATGTACATTCACAGCACAGATGGGTAATTGAAATTCTTAATCAATATAGAGTTGCTTTTCATCAAAGTACCTCTCCATTCACAACTTTACACACTTAAGAAGCAACTAGTTTTCGTCTCTTGTTCGAGGAAAAAGTTGTGAGAGATTTGTAAGATCCTCCTCTTCCTTTTCTCAAGGGGTTCAATTATTAGACAAACAATAGTGTGGAATCCACGGATTCACCCCAGTAGCTAGAAGGACACGAGTTGAATCGAACCACATCCTATTATTATGTTCTGGTATTTTCGCGATTGTTATAGTATTTATGCAATTCGCTGCAATTGGTAAATATGGCACTAAAAGAAATACATCTAGGTATTCTACCCTGCCTCCTCTCAAATACAAGAGTCAAATAATCTAGGTTTTGTTGCATTATTCTTATTCTAATTGTCCCAGCAATGTTTTATGCTTATGATCCCAGAGTCTCGGTTTCCCAAGATATGGGCCCACTAAATCAGGTCACCCTTTTTCATTACTTGCTATACGTAGCTGCATGATATGCTATTGTAATATTTATATAATGTTAAAGTGACACGGTTCTTCCCCATCATTATCAATACATGGTTTAAGAAAACCTAATATTCAATCCTACATGTCTTTGTCTTTACATGCTGAGCTCTTTTAAGTAGAGTTAGCTTTAATATGGTTTACATAAGAAGTATGGTATCAAGTATATTTTTATTCTATTCCTAGGATTGATTATAAACGAGTTAAGAAAACAAGCTTTGTGCTGACTCTTTTCTTTCTCTTTAGCCCTTTTGATTGGGAAACAAAAGGTAGCTCAATAATTCTGTGGCCACTTCATCAATAATCCAAAAACAGAGTGGGAGAAGATACTAAAATTTAATATAATAAAAGGGCAGAAAAAAAACAGAGGAGGGAAAGAAAAGCATCCACTAGGACAATAATTGGAAACCCTAGACCGAGAGCGAGAGTGCGTGTGAGAGATAGAGACCATTGATTTCAATTTTGATTCCGATATGGGATGTAAGACGGAGGTATAAAACCTCATCATTTTTCTCTTCTCAAAAAATTATTTGATCACTAATATAATTTGCCGGTTTTGGGGTTTTTTTTTTAAAATCTATTGATATATGCAAATATATCAAGGAGGAGCATGAATTCGTATAAAGATATATCCCCTTTTTGAACTTTCATCAAACTTTCCCAGCAGAGGCACACTTCAATAAAAAGAAACGATGCCGTTTAAGCAGATTGGAAGAAGCCTGAAGAAATCAGGTACAAGGACTTTTGACAACCAGAATGGACACTTTAGACCACCCAAATAATAGACGTGTCGTGTCATCACCTTCCATGGGCAATCAATCACCCAACTCAAACAAGACCTCTGAAGCAACAGAATCCCCTGTATTAGCTAATTTACTGGTACACAAAACTACAGAAAGAGTCCTCAAGCATTTCCTTTTCTAGCTGGGTTGCAAGTAAAACCATAAGATTTTTGAGTTTCATCAAACAATAAACTATTTTGTTCCAAATTCCAGTCTCGTAGCACCTACAAAGCCGTTTCACTTTCACTCACACATCCGATTCCTCAAAGCACAGAGCAATAAAAAAAAGAAAACAAAGAAGATTAATACATGTACCTACATCTATTGTTCTATAAAAAACCATTTGAAATAGATCATGATGAATCATTTTGACTGCAACCATCTTAGTTTCAAACAAAAGCAATTCAATCTTTAAACATCAGGATTCATCATCTTTTGGTTTTCGTTTCCAAATGAGATACTAGTAAACATTACGTAGACAGCAAACAAATGGAAAAGATGCTACGAAGCAAACTCAAAATGCACATCCAACCAGCATTTGGTAAGATCAGCATCAATGCATAATCTTTATTCGGTTCCGTCTGGTTGCTTGTTTAGCAGTACACTAGTACTTCTACTAAGTGTATCGAGAAGTTAAAATAGCATTTGGAGCCTCACCCGCTGATTGGAAACATCATTTGCATAACCACTACCTTGTCCACATTCTTCAAAACTCCAATGGGAGTAAGCAATTTATTGCACTATTTAGCGATCTATCTACAATAGTAAGGAATCTAAAGCCATTATCTTGCAAAGATATTATAAAATTCTACATGGACGGATTCCTGGAATTAATGTTGACACAACAAGCACGTTTGCTGTACTAACCTATGCACTTGAAAGAAGCACGGGGTTGTTCCTAATTCCTACTTGTCTCTCTTTGGCAGATCTTCAATGTCCTCTAACCCCTATCTTATGGAAATCATGTGTATACACACACACACACAAAAGGTTTATTCATAAAAGTTCACGATTGATCCACAAGGAGCATTAGAGAAAGGAGGTGAGCCAATCATTCAAGATTTGTACAAAAAAAAAAAAAGGAAAACTGGTTCACTTAAATTATCAGGCTCAGCAGGTTTTGCTTTAAAAGGAGTAATAAAACAAGAGAATCTGTCTCTCTGTCCACATTGCTCACCTTCATAAGGATTCAAAAGTTCAGCGTTGAGAAGAACCAGCTAGAACACAACAGTAACATCCTTTTTCAAGGATAAAACAGAAGGGAGAATTGCTTACTTTTGATTGCATCGACCCGTCATCCAGAAGGCAGGGCCCTGAGGAGACCACATGTCCACTAATTTGATTGCATAGAACAATCCAAAACAAAAGGATCAACTTCAAATATTTATTACATATTGACGCGTAATAATTCATGTGTATTTTTATTTCTTGCTCATAAAGAATTGAACAATCATCATGTCCCCCGACATGAGGAGCATCAACCCTCAATGCATAGGGCACCTAAGCATCTATAACATCTAACCAAAATAATCCAGTACTCAGGTGCAGCTCAACAACTGAAGAATTCATGTAATTGAACAACTAAAACCAATTTGGAGTGTAATCATGCAATGTCTTGTAACAGAGCATATTTTATCACTAGTGAAACACTACTGCACAACTCTCTTGCTGAGATGACAGATTCGTCTGTACAATGCCAAACTAAGACCAGTGCACCATATTCTGGTGAATAAGACAGACGGATGAATTTAAAAAACATAATATCAGTAGCTTCACAGCACTCTCAGCAAATACAATCCAGAACTATGACAGCGATAAAAGCTTTAACTTGTGAGCTTACATTACATCAGTTACAAGAGCTCATTAAAAACAATAAGATCCGGATGAGTGAATATTTCTTGAGAAGTGTCCGGTTATGTGAAGCAATGAGGACGTGACTGGGATACAATAGAGTCAAAAGACTGAGTTGGCAACATCTTCGGAGAGTAAGCAGTGCCTAATGGTCTATTACATTTATGATGCATTGAAAACTTCTAATTTAGTCACAACTCAAGCCTTGTTTGTCTCTTCATAATGGCACTTTCATGTTCAAAATACTTATAGAGCAGCATCTGTTACCTTTTTCCTTTTCCACTTACCCCTTCAATGTCATGGTGACAATAATCAATTTCACCAACAAAGTAGCAGGATTTTATTAAACCTATTGATCTAATAATAGGTGGATTAATGAAGATATCTTCAACTCATGTAATATTAGATTCACCATGCCATATTCAGCCACACATTGTACACTTAACCGACAAGTTAAACCGTGGCCATGAAAGACTCACACTAATAAACCAATGAGAACATGGTCATCTGAAAGATTGGAAGTACCTCAATCTAAAAAGCAGTGTTTGAAAACCCGGCCCGGCCCGGCGGGTTGACCGGTGAACCGATACCTAAACCGGGCCGGGTCACTCGTTGCATCGTTTATGCACCAGACCCGTCTGAAACCCACTGAACCGTTCTCACCCGGACAATTTTAATCAAACCGGACAAATCAGTTAGATTTTTATAAAGGCTGAGTTTTGGGCGTTTTACCCTAAATCAACAATCCACAATCCACAGTTTCTCACTTCTCTCTCACTTGGTCTGTTCATCAAGGCGAACAAAAAACGGCGAAGATCAGTCAAGCCAACCTCTGCCTCTTCTCTTCGCAACGATTGATCAGCCGTTGCGAGCCTGCTCCGATCTCTATTCTCTGCAACACAACGACAACCTCTTCTCTTCGACAGTCCCAAATTAATAGCCTCTTCTCTCTATCTCTTTGACTCCATTGATAACCATTGACCGCAGGTAAGGTACACTACTCTATCTCTTTCTTTCTCTCTCTGTTGTTATCTCTATTGGTCTCAGTCTCTATACTCTTTAACAGTAACATGTACATTGCACAATATATGAAAAATAACAAGAAAACGTGAGTTAGAGAGAAAGTTGAGGAAATATTTGCTTTCTTACCATTATATGTCTATTCTTGGGCTTGATTTCACTAACAGTGGGTTCTTGATTATCAATCGCCAGTTTTGACTGATAGTGGGTTCTTGATTATTGATCGCCAGTTTTGACACTCAATATGACAAAGTGGTACACTCTGTTTTTAGAGTGTGTGTGTGTGTGTGAGAGAGAGAGAGAGAGAGAGAGAGAGAGAGCGGTAGAAAGACACTAAAAAGTAGGAGAAAACAAGGGGGTTTAGAATCCTAATTCTTATTGTTGGCTTCAGTTACTATTGTGGGGTTTAATTACTTGTGGCAGTTTGTTTAAGATTGTGAACTTGTGGATTGTTTGTTGCGGTAAGAGCATTATGAGTTGTAATATTGAACTTGTGACTTGTTTGGGATTCTTATTGTTCATTATACATAATTGGGTTGTAGAGTAATTAATTGATAGTAGTGGTAATATTTGTATTTTCAAGTGAAACTAGACAGTGGTTGGATAATTTATTTTCAGTTTCGTTTATTTGAATCTTTATGCTATGCTCATGTGCTTTGTTTTGTTGTCATGAGTCTTGTTTATTATAGTTTGAGTTTGAAGATTAAACTTTGAAGAGTGCAAATTCCATAGATTATGCTTAGATTGATGCATTGTCGAAGAGTTGGACTTAAACTTGGAGCCTTGAACTTCAATAGAGGTATTTTTCTCTACTTAACTTTACAAATTGTATTGAAAATTGAATACATTGAAATTAGATACATGTTTGATCATTTTTCTCTACTTAACTTTACATGTTTAATGTTATAATTATTGTGATTTTTTGGCCTATTTATTATTATTTATAATTATTTTTTAATTTTTTATTATATTACCGGCCTGACCAATAACCCAAAGTTTGACCCATTGACCCGATCCCCTCACCAGGTTGATGTCCGGGCCGGGTTTTAAAACTATGCTAAAAACACACAATATTCCTCATCTGAAACACGGCCATTTCATACTGAACTTTATCGTAGTCAAAAAACTGACACACAATAAGATCAGAGCATAAAACCAACCAGCATAATCATCAATTACGTAACACCAAATTAAAATATTACAATGTAATGATCCCAGATCCATCACATGAAGCACTGGAATCAGTGAGAATCATCACAACATAAAACCACATAACCCTAATTTAATAAAAATTCAACTACTACTCCTCAAAATCAATCAATTTCCCGCTACATAAAGCCCTCAAGTGAAATTAAATTTCACCTGACCTGAGAAATTACTTCTGGACTGCGGAGACGGGAGGAGTACCAAGCAAGCTGGCTTGTTGAAGTTCAAGCTCGCTCAACTGCTGCTCTCGATCCATCTCAATGATGAGCGGCACAACGAGGATGAGAAAAGTGGTGCCGGCAATCCAAGCAGCCTTGCCGGTGCTCTTCAGGAGCTTCTTGGCTACGAAACCAGCATCTGAGGCGGCTCGCTTTCCCCGATAGATGATTGGAGATTGTGATATGGTTGATGAAACCCTATAGAGAATTCCTTCACCGTTTTTACCGCTGTCTGGTCGATTTGGTAGTGAAGCACCGCCTCTTCGCGTCGACATCGTTGTATGAGAGGAAAAACGAGAGAGGGCGACGAAGTAGTGGATATAGCAGGGTTTTCCCGTGAGGCGATTGACTGGGCTTTTTCTACATAGAAAAATGTGGGCTTTTTCGTTTTTCCTTCCAGGCCACAGGCTAGATGGTTGGATTTGGATCTGACTTTTTCTATTAATAATGCTATTTGTAAATTACACCTAAATCCTCTGTAATTTATTACTTAATTACTTAAGTTCCCTCACATTTAACATATTATATACAGGCCCCATGAGATTTGTGCCGTGTAACACATAACCTCTAGAGCTAGTGTCTGTTATGGTAGTCATTAAAAATTCATTAAACAAAACATATATTTATTTGCTGTTAGTTAAAAATTTTGTAACAGTGAGTGCTTTCTATTTTTATTTGCTATCAATTTACTAAATGAAATAAGGAAACTAAAAAAAAAAGATATGAAACATAATAGATATTTAAAAAAAAAAAAAACTGTGCCACCAAAAATCATTTCCTTCCACACCATATATTTGGATTAACACCAATAATAATAAAAAAAAAAACCAATTAGTACGTTATAACAAAACCGCAATTTAGAACATATCTTCAAATGAGTTGAGCAACCAGGTTTAGAAACAATACCCCAATGTCTGAGGTTTTCCCCTATTCATCTCAGTTTTTTTTTTTTACTATCCATCTCAGATCCACAAGAGTCTTGTAAACTGGACATGCCTTTTATAATAATCGTAGATCTTTATATATACACAATTTTCTACTGCCTTGTTAGCTGCTTTTGGCGTTATTTTGAGGCGATGGACTGGGCTTTTTCTACATAGAAAAATGTGGGCTTTTTCATTTTTCCTTCTAGTCCAGCTCCGGTCATCGGCCGGATACTGAAATGGTTCATTTCGGGCTGGTGAATTTGGGTCTGAATTGTATTTATATTAGTAATATTACTTATACTCAATTAGCATCAAATCCGCTGTAGCACCAATGGCAAAGATATCAGAAAAATCTTCCGGGTTCGAACCCCGGCAGCGGAATTATTTCTTTTTGTCTGTCTTTAACCACTTCACATAGAATAACTACCTTTCAGGTGAATTGATCAACCAGGTTTTGAAACAAGACGCCAATGTCGAGTTTTTCCCCTGTTCCACTCAGTTCGGGTTTTTTTTTTTTTTGTGTTGCATACATCTATCCTGTTTCAATTCTAAATTCTATAATAACGGAGTCTCGTACACTGAGTATGCCTTTTATAATACTAGTAGATCTTTAGAGCATCTTCAATAGATACTTAAAATGAGTAAAATAACTAAAATTTAGCTAATCAAAGCCAAAAATCATACTCCAACAAATTACACTATGTTTTCAGAGAGTGTGTGTGAGAGAGAGGGAGAGAGTGGTAGAAAAACACTAAAGAGTAGGAGAAAACAGGGGGTGTTTAGAATCCTAATTTTTATTGTTAACTTCAATCACTGTTGTGGAGTTTAATTACTTGTGACAGCTTGTTTAAGATTGTGAACTTGTGGATTGTTTATTGCGGTAAGAGTATTATGAATTGTAATATTGAACTTGTGACTTGTTTGAGATTCTTATTGTTCATTATATATAATTGAGTTGTAGATTAATTAATTGATAATAGTAGTAATATTTATATTTTCAAGTGGAACTAGGCTATGGTTGGATAATTTATTTTCAGTTTCGTTTATTTGAATCTTTATTCTATGCTCGTGTGCTTTGTTTTGTTGTCATGTGTCTTGTTTACTATAGTTTGAGTTTGAAGTTTAAACTTTGAAGAGTGCAAATTACATAGATTATACTTAGATTGATACATTGTTGAAGAGTTGGACTTAGACTTAGAGCCTTGAATTTTAATAGAGATATTTTTCTCTATTCATCTCAATTTTGGTTTGTGTTTTTATTACCCATCTCAGATCTACAAGAGTCTCGTACACTGGATATTGATGATGCACAAAAATGGTTTTGCACACCATCTGTCAAGTATAGATAATAAATGCAATGAGATCAACGAAAAAATTAGAGAAGACACAATTTATAGTGGTTCGGTCAATTCGACCTACGTCCACTCTTCAATGGCTTCAGTCGCCGGGTATTTTATTGATTCAAAGGTATGGAGAACGAAGATACAAGCTTTGAGAGGGGGAATGGAGAATCAAAGAAAAACAATAATCTCCGGTAGTCGGTTCTTCTTCTGAAAGTCTCTGATGGAGCCTGTCCCCTTCCTCTTTCAAATTAGAGCCATTTTATAGTAGATAAGAGATCATAACATATCCTCAAGGCTTCTTTATCGCAGCTTAGAGATTATCTTCGGTGGAGATCACGACTTATTCTCAACGGGAGGAAGAGTTTGGGGAACTCTTGAAGGAAACGTGGTCAAAGATTGGACCGTTGATAAGCTTCTTGTGCTCTATTCTTGGTGACGTGCTAAGCAAGAAGTCCAACCGTGCTCTCCTCTTGGTGACGTGCTAAGCAAGAAGTCCAACCGTGCTCTCCTCTTGGTGACGTGCTAAGCAAGAAGTCCAACCGGCCTTGGGCTCCCTAAGGCGGTGTAGATAAACTTCCCGTGCTCTACTCTTGGTGACGTGCTAAGCAAGAAGTCTAGCCGGTCTTAGTCTGTCTTGGACTTGGTGGGTTCACGATGAGGTTGGGCTCCTCAACCGGGGTTGGGCTTTAATACATAAATTGGACTACTTGGGCTTAACCCATCAGATATAATATTTATAATAATCGTAGATCCTTCTTTATATTTACACAATTTCCTACTGCCTGGTTAGCTGCTTGTCGTTATTTTGAGGCGATTGACTGGGCTTTTTCTATATAGAAAAATGTGGGCTTTTTCATTTTTCCTTCTGGTCCAGTTCATAGGCCGGATACTGAAATGGTTCATTTCGGGTCGGTGAATTTGGGCCTGACTTGAGTTTGTATTAATAATATGATTTATACTCAGATAGTATCAAATCCGCTGTAGCACTAATGGCAAAGATATCAAAAAAGTCTTCCGGGTTCGAACCCCGGCAGCGGAATTATTATTTTTTTTTTGTCTGTCTTTAAGACAAAGAATTGTTACCTTTTCCAGGTGAATTGATCAACCTTGTTTTGAAACAAGACCCCTATGTCGAGTTTTTCCCCTGTTCAACTCATTTTGGGATTTTTTTTTTTTTGTTGCATACATTTATTCTATTTCAATTTCAAATCCTAGACAGAGTCGTGCACCGGTATACTTTTTATAATATTAATAGATCTTTATATATACACCATTTCCTACTGCCTTGTTAGTTTTTTTTTTTTTATCAAATACTGCCTTGTTAGTTGCTTTTGGCGTTATTGTAAGCTTTTGGGGTTTCTGTGATTTGTGAATGTATTCCAGAATTTAAATCTCTCAAGCTGAGGAAGCAAACATGACGATCTAAACCAAATTTCTCAGATATGGGACCTTCATCTGCCAAGTACCAGAGAAAGAATTATTTCATCTTGGTTTTCAAGTTAAGGAACAAAGTATGGCTCTTTTCAGGTCCATCAATGGCCTTTTCTTTTCTTATGTTTAACTCCTCCCAGTTTCTTTCCCCATTTTAAACAACACCTTCTTTTCGTTCGACACATGCTCTCAAAGAAACAGACCTCGTGAGCCACTTAAAATTGGAAAGGAAGTTTAACGAGTGAGTTGTTTTACCATGTGCATTGTTTTGGTTGGTGTGTAATGCCTTAATTCTTTCAATTTTCATTTAGATTTGTTGAAATTATGCAATAAACTGATTCGGGTATTTGTTGTTTTGGCTATTCAAGTGTATCCTAAGGTGAAAGTGAGGGAACCAGAACGTGATGATGCAGCTATTACCCTGCAAGATGATACCAAATCCTTGTCTATGTGGAAGGCACATAGTCGCCCTGGCCCGGTCACTATGACCCCCTTTGTGAGGAGCCACCCTTTCTCCCGAACCAACCCAGGTATTTAATTGCTTGTTAGTGCCCTTCAAAGGTTCTTGAAGTTTCAAAATTTTTTTTTGCTTTTTCTCTTTGTCAAATAGGTTATTTGTAATGCCCTTGATAAAAAATGCTGCTCTTTGAAATACCACATGCTAGCTACTAGATCTTGGTCTTCACCTCTTCTTTTACATGTTTCTCATTCAAAGTGGAATGCCACTTGATCTATCATCATTAGTTGTAGTGGTTGATTCAGTGAGTTCTATAAGTGCTTCTTTTTTTCTTTTGAGCTTCAAGTGCTTAACTACAAGTATCATCTGCAGTGAAAGATACTCAAAATGATTCTCCACCATTGGTTGCCAGAATTCCAGAAACTTATGTCCCAAAGTTGGTGATGCAACAAATTCCTTTTGGTAAAGGTCAAATTTCCAATCTAACTTGATTTTGGCCCACTAATCTCATTGACTTTTTTTTTTTTATTTAAGAGAACAAAAATTGCCATATATTCAACCAATTCTTCTTGGTTGTCAGGTCCAATGAAGAAAATGAAGAACTGTAACCAAACAAGAGAAATCCCAGCAGATGACATTGAACAGAATGACAGATCTAGCTCGGTTCCTCGTCCTCGTGCTGTTTTATCTAGTCCTGGTAATCTGGTTTTTCTACAGGTGTTATTAAATCTTCCATTCTTCTGCAGGATGCTGTATATTTTCTTGCATATGGAATTACAAAGATTGATAAGACTCATCCATGGCACCTGCAGACAATGACAAGATGGTTGGAAACAGAAACAAGTTAACTAGCAGAAGGCCTTCGACTTTGAAGAACCATAATTCTTCCTCCAAAGCCAGGATTGTTTCTGACATATCCTGATTGAGCTGAACTTTGTAACAGAGGACATACTCGGTCCACAAGATTTTTGTCATTGCAAAGTCTAGGCCGGTTAGATGAACATCACTTTATTACCCAAAAAAAAAAAACAGAGCTGAGATGAACAGGGGAAAAACTCAAACATTGGGGTATTGTTTCAAAACTTGGTTGATCAATTCATCTGAAGAAATGTAATGAGATAACCCAGGTTGGAATGGAGACTGTGAAGAGGTAGTTATTCTTTGTGAAGTTGTTCCGGAATAGTTGGTTTAAAACCAAAAGACAGAACCTAATAAAAAACTAATTCCGCTGCCGGGGTTCGAACCCGGTAGATTTTTATCAGATCTTTTGCCAATGGTGCTACAGCGGATCTGATATTCTTTAAATACATATAATATTATTAAACTAAACTTAAGTCAGAGAATTTAGCCTAGTTACCTTGTAAATTCTGAATGGACTTGTTGGATGCGTGAAATTGATTTTTAGACTCCTTGCTATAATTTAAAATTAGGACCCATGTAATTACTTATAATTAGCACCAAATCAATCCAACAGCACAATTGTAGCAAGACTTGAATATGGCTCTTTTTCGGGAACAATTTTCTAATTATTCAAATAAATCCACTTCAGTCTGATTTGTAACATTTTTTTTTTATGTACAATGATGGAAGATGAGTGATTTGAACTAGGAATATGTATAAATTATCACATGTTCACTCCTTATCATATTAAAATATGATTGACCATGTATTGCATTATATCTGTGATTAAACATGTTTTATTTCATACCTCGTGATGCTTACATATTTATCTCGCCTATTGAAGTTATGTTCAAAATTTTCGATAAAAAACTTGTATAGATAAGAAATCTCTTACAATGCAAGAGTTCTTTTATACCAATCTAGCTATCTGGCACAATTATTGGCATAACAACCAATACACCATAAGTTGGCCTAACTCAGTATTCTGGTTAACTTCTCGTAGTTCTTCTTTTAACACCATCAATAGATAAAAAGCGAACTGTCTCATGACGTTTTAAACCCAACTCACATACCATTTAAATCGGCAAACAACTGAAACCTTAGGATCTTCTTTAACCCCATCGAGGTGTCAAACGATTCCGTAAATAAGAGCTCTTGGGAGTCATAAGTCTGTTATTTTGGCATACTTTAATACGTTGAATGAGAGCCAATCCATGTGAGATTCTCTAATCATTATGACCAACTTTCATCTCTGTTTGATCTGTCAATTTTAAAGTCGAACAATCTTATACAATATCGCTCACAAATAAAATCTTAAATTAAGCCTAATTAATATCGTATAATATATATCCGGCGAGTAAATGTTTGGATAGATCGTTTAGCATCACAAAAAAAAAAAAAGTTTTGACTGGAAACCACTAAAAAAAATCATATTTAGAAATTTCATATTGAGTAAAAGATTCTAATTCTAAATTAAATGGCAAAAGTCAAATTAAACCGCCCCGTTTACAGCGGATCCGACCCAATAGCCTCTTCCACTCGGTATAAATTGCACCGTTGTGGTGTGCACGGTCGGTGCCCTAGTTTCACATCCAAACTCTAGTTTGGTTCTCCTTCGTTTCATCGACAATTAGAAACCCAAAAACTCTGGAAAAAAAAAAAAACCTTCCTTACTTCTTCACTACCGGAACTTTTAGTAAGCTCCCGAAACTTCGGCGATATCTCGCCGCCGGCCAGTGCTCTCAGTTCAGGTATGCTGCGTTTCATGACATTCTCTTCTATTCGCTATATCATTGTTTCGTATGAACACACTCGTACATATTTAAATTCTATGTTTAATTTGCTATTATGTTTATGTGTTGGACTAGGGTTTAGTATCCGAAACCCTACTTCTATGATGTGTAATTTTTCAGTTCAAAATCGATCTGTCTTGTCTGCGATGTGGTTTGTTGGACTCGTTTATTTTATTTTATGTTAGCTTGTTATAGAGTTGGAAGATTTAAATTATTTGATCGAGAAACTATTGCCCAAGGGTGCTTTTACGAAAGCGGGTCATCAATGGCTAGGATACCATTTTCTCACTCTAATTTTCAGGACCATTTTCTCACTCTAATTTTCAGGACTTTTACTAAGATGGACTGTTATTCATACGTACAGGATCTGAGAATATCGGAGAATCATAATATTAAAATTTTATTAATGAATGCTGAGCGGGCTTGCTTGTATTGAGATATCGTTACTATTTGAAAATTCTGTTTGGATTTTTCCACACATGACGAGTTTCACTTATTTTTCAGTCCTCTAGGATACTAAGCCAGCGATTTATGGTCACTCATACACAATACAGATGCAAGCAAACCCATAAAATGGATGTAATTAAACTATTAGCAAAGTTTTAAATTATCAAGCCATCAATAAGCCTTAAAGCATCAAATCGGTAATATTAATTAATCTAAATTGGAATTTGAAGGTGTTTCATTGGTTAGTGTGTACAATTTCATGATATGCAACTTCAGGATTATGCTTTTACCATTTATCTAATTGGTTTGGAGTTTCCTGTCACAATCTCTTTATGTTTCTTAGTTGCTGTTTTGAGTCCATTAAGAGCATTGCTCACCTGTGATTTAAGAAATACCTGACTGTCACTTGTTCTTTTCTCAAATCATTCTACTGTTCGGCCAAGTTACCATTGATTATTGTTAATGAACTCTTTGTAATCTTAAAGCTTGTTGACTGGAGGCACACAATTCCTTTGATTAGGATGGGAGACAGTGAAGCAGTGATTGCTCAGACATCTGTTGTAATGGATTATACATCTGCTGCGTATTCTTCTGTTGATTATGGGGATGTGAGTACAAAAGCTGCTCTTGATGCTGATGCTTCTTCTGCTGGAGGTTCTGGTGATTTGGGTGCTTCGGCTGCTCCAACAGCAACTAGAGATATGGCTGCTTTTACTGGCACGATGGACATAGCTGATACTGGTGCTTATGGTTCTCAAGTGGGGGATGGAAATGCATACAATGCTGATCCAAATTCTGCCAAAGATGATGTTCCTACTACGACGACCTATGGTGCCAATGAGAATTTTATGGGGATTGCAAATGCACCTGTGGATTCATCTCAAGTTGCCACCTATGATTTGACTGCAAATGGCAATGATGTTAACGAATCAATAAATATTGGATCAGCTGGCATAAATGAGAATGGGATTAATCCAGATAATGTTCATGGGTCCGCTTCGTTGCACCAGCTGGTGGATGGTGCCAGTATGTCCCTGTCTTCTGTATATCATATTCTAATGCATGAACATGTTGTTCTGATTTCTATTTTTTCCTCATAAAGCATGCCAACAGCAATTAAATCAATAATTGGTCATAAATGTGTTATATGCACTCTATAATCAATAAATGAAAGCTAAATTGCTTATGTTATGAAATCTGCTGCGTTTGAATCCAGCAAGGCCTTTACTGAGTGTTGCTATGTTTTAACTTATTATTGCTATTTCATTAGATAGATGGATGGAAAACATAGTATTTGATACGTGTTTGATTGGACAGTTACTATTGGATCTGTGTGGACAGAATTTTGTGGATTTGTCAGGGCAAGAGGCACAATAAGGGATTTTGAAGCTTTTATGTTTTTTGAATGGAGGCATCTTGTTATTTTGAGCATTTGACATGTTTCTGTAAAGTAATTTGTTCGTTCTGATATCAAATATCTTTGTCCAAGAATATGGATTATGGAACTCTTCATTATTTGTCTTTCCAAAACACCAGCTATCAGGTGCTATTATAGTTTATGGATTCAGATCCCCTCTATTACCCCTGCCCTTCAATTTTCCTTATTACAGTATTAAATGAGTGACATGTGTAAGATTTTGAATTTCAATGGACAATATTTTTTCCCTGTGAGAAAATTCCTTAGTTAACGAATCACAAACAAAAAAATGGATAAGGAAACATCTTATCCATTAAAATTCAAAATCTTACACATGTCACTCATCTAGCACTATATTGAGGGTAATTGAAGGGAAGGGGTAATGGAGGGAATCTAAATCCATTGTTTGTCTTGTTTATATGTTGAGACCTTATTTTTAAAAATCTGCACTTGTCTTTTTTTCTCAGTTATCTTTGTTCATTTGTTGATTATAACCCTTTTGGGTCTTCATATTATTGCAGCAGTACTTCTTTCTTCTTGATTTTTATCATTAAATAGTTCTTGAATTTATGGAAGCAATAGCCTTTGCTGCCATTACAGTATGCCATCAAGGCCAATATTTAGTGTTAGTCCCACCAGTACAGGAGTGGGGAGGGTTTGACTAGATATGGATCTGATTTTGGACGATATCATATGCAGTTGCTTTTATTAGCCTAAAACCATTACTTTATGTTTTAAATATAAACATTCATCCCTCTCTTCCCCCTCTCCCATTTGAAGAAGTGTTAGCATCGTTAATTCTCCCCCCCCTCTCTCTCTCTCTCCCATAAAATGAATATTTGGTCCGATTAGTGTGTTGGTCTGATTATTAGCATTCATCTTGCAACTTTGTTGTAGCCTTTAATTTTTATTTGTTATTTATTTTTTTTATTTTTGTGGGAAACTCTCAGTATAAGCACTATTGATGCTTCTCAGTAGAATTTTTCTCCACATAATACAGATTTTTAAGATCTAGGATGTACTACCCATGAGGGTCAACTGTCTTCTTGAGGGAGATTTCAAAATATATTTTTGTTCCATGCTATCTTTTAATCAAAAAGTTTTGAACAACTTCATGAATGACTTTTGAATTACTTTAATATAGCAAGGGTTGTGGGGTTTAGCTAGCTTGAGCTTGAGAAATTGGGTATTATAGTTCCATGAATTAGCTATATATATGTTAGTGGTTGACAATATATTCTAAGCTACTCTCTCCCTCGTGCATGAGCATGCAAATTGCAGGTTTCCAAATCTCTATCTCATTCATGTTACTCATTAAATAGGTGTTGCTGTCTTATTATACTTATTGTTTGTGACGATTTCTTCTGACATTTTTGCTGACAGCATTGTCTGCTGAAGAAGAGCGATTGTGGAGCATAGTGAGGGCAAATTCTTTAGATTTTAATGCATGGACTGCCTTAATAGAAGAGACCGAGAAGATTCCAGAGGTATGCTAAAGGGAATTTTCTGATGTTGAATGAAATATTGGCTTTGTTACTTTTGTGTTTGGTGCATATAAAATTTTTCACGTTGCAGATAATTTCTGTTAAGATTAGTGATTCAAAAGAAGTTCGAGTCCCAGTAATTCATATCATGAAAATTTATAATGCAGAAAATTGCATTCTGTACTTTATTAATGCCTTATCTGTATTTTTGTCTTAAAAAAAATGTATGGATGAGTTACCAAGGATAGTTGAAGCAATCCTTATCGTTTTCACTACTGTGGACTTCTCAAAAGAGAGTTTTGCTCATTGCTAAGTGAGGCTTAAAGTCCAAAACTATAATGAAGTAGGAAGTTAAAGAGTTCACTTACAGGCAAGGATCAAAATTTCGTTTCGGTGCATTGTTTCGGTCACCTAGAAAACGGAAACGTTTTGATTCGTTTCAAAAACAGAAAGAAAAAAAATAAAAATTTAAAAATTATTTTTTTTACATATACCAAAATATCTTGAAAGATTTCGAAATAATTGTGCAAATGCATTGAAATATAACAAAACATTTCGAAACATTATGGAATACTTCGAATTATTAGAATTTCGGTTCCATCACTGATTTGTTTCGATCTCCTCGAAAAAGGAAATGTTTCGACCGTTTTGAAACGATAATTTGATCCTTGGGATGACATGACATCTAAAAGGGGAGAGTCTTGTGAATGACCAAATCACCCGAAATTTTAGAATTGTGACTTGTTTAAATCTGATGGGTCTGTGCCTTTGAGGTTCGTTGTCACACACAGAAAAGATTGTCTTTCGGGAGATGCTTTAGTGGCAGCCTCGGGTTTTATTAATGGAATGCAATCTGAAAGGGCGATCACCATGTTTAGACTTAAATTCTTGGTTTCTGTTGCTTCTTTTGTAAAAGTAATATTGAATTTTTTTTGAGTAAATAAACGTAATATGGAATTTTATATTATCTGTTAAGTTGTTTTGAGTATATGAGTATTATCAGCTTCTAGTTTGTAAAGGGCTCTCATGGCACAAATTTAGTGGGGTGCTACTCCATTGTGCATCTCATAAAAAGTGGCATCAGAGATTTTTCAGAGTGCAGGTCTTCAAAGTTACTTGTTATTTAGATGTGGTGGACTTTCTGTTTAACTCCATTTTTTATTCATTGGCCATTCAAGGGTCTGTTTGTATATGTGGTTAATTTGATGGCTCCATTTGGAATGGCATAACTTTTTTCTTTTCTATTTGGGTTATTCACAGGACAACATTTTGAAGATACGGAAAGTTTATGATGCCTTTTTGGCAGAATTTCCTTTGTGTTATGGTTATTGGAAGAAGTATGCAGATCATGAGGCACGCCTAGGCTCTATTGACAAGGTTGTAGAGGTCTATGAACGAGCGGTTCAAGGGGTGACCTATTCTGTTGATATGTGGCTCCACTACTGTGTATTTGCCATAAGCACTTATGGAGACCCTGACACTATCCGAAGGTAATTGCTGTTTATTGATTCAATTATCCCTGTTGTGCATGGGGAGATCGTTTTTGCATGATTTTCTCCTCGTCACAGGGCTTTGGTGATCGTTATTGCTTTCTAACCTGATTTCGACGTGTCTGCAACAGTGATTACTCAAATGTAGGGCGTAAAGGTTTGTTGGGAATGCACTTCAGAAATAACTGTATTCCTGATGTGCAAACCCTTGCTTTCATTGCTATTGTATTTGGTAGCTGTTTGAATTTCTTTAGGGTTTGATTCTGTTTTGTGGTCTCATCATCCCCTTGCCCTTTCACTTCTCTACTTCGGGCTGTGTCATGGTGCACGTAGTTCTCCATGAAATTTTGCTGTTTTTAATTAACTATGACCCATTGTGGTGCATCAATATACAAATTGCTGCTGAGAAGATCTCGTCCAGTAAGGCTAAGGTGGCCTCTATCACTGCTCCCTTTCACGGACATTATATGATTTTTTGGAGGAAGGTAACTGCAGCATATTTGTGCCTAAGTTTGGAAGTTTCATGTGATCTTTGAGTGAATTATTACTTCCCTTTCAACGTTAGTGCTGCTGTACTACATTTATATGCTTGCGGTTAAGCCTATGTTTCTATGCACATGATATTTTATATGTGTGATGTTTCAGGCTATTTGAAAGAGGATTGGCTTATGTTGGAACAGACTACCTATCTTTCCCACTTTGGGACAAATATATTGAATATGAGTGCATGCAGCAGGAGTGGTCACGTGTTGCCATGATCTACACACAGATATTGGAGAATCCTAGTCAACAACTGGATCGCTATTTTGATGGGTAAGTCTCCTTTCTTGAATGCTTATGTATACACTTATTTGCCTTTTATTGTGGGGCTTTGCTTTATTTTTTTCTATCTATACCGACTTTGAAATAGAAGCGACATTAAGTCTATACCTTTTCACCACACTACATTCCGCAAGATGCTGTCCAACTCTTTATAATGCAAAAAAGAGGAACATTCTCGAAGTCCTTAGACAAAAGCCCAGAAATAAGCAAAGTAATAAAGCTGATCGCATAATACTTCAAAGGTTTGCTTCTTGTAAAAGGTGAACACAGGGAGGACTTTCTTGTAAAAGGTTTGCATCCTCATTTATCCAGGGAAAAGGAAAAAAAGTTTATGGTTGGATCCTAGTGCATTCAGTATGCCTTCTGACAACTGACAAGACTTTGCCTTGGGAAGTCCTTCGTATTGAACTGCCTGAATGGAAAGGGTGTGCTTTTTTCATCTTTTGGATTTGAATTATTTTCTTTAGTCTCATGCACACCGCATTAAATTCTTTTCTGGTAATTAAGAAAGTATTTGATGGAGGGATGTTGGAAACTTTAGAGATATGTAATCAATTTATGGCTGTCCCTTGTCAGTTAAGATGGTTTCAAAGATCCAGTTTCTGTAGAGTTGATTCAACTTATGTTACCTGTAGTTATCTTCTGGTACGGGAGGGTTTTGGCGCAAAATTTCATTTAACACTGTGAAAGCTGTGCTGATATATCTCTCTCTGTTGTTAGATATAAATATATTTATATGAATATCAATTGTATGTACTTGAAGGGCGGGTTAGTGCACGAGATTTGCGCCACTGCAGTGTCTGGGGGAGGGTTGGACATATGGAGTTGCTGTATCTATTGTAATGTTTAATCAATATAATTTGTCTTGGAATTGAAAGATTTGCTTCCACATACTTCTGAAGTATTACTTTGTGCTGTTGGAGGTTACCTGGGAGTGTGTGCTTAGACATGTTACCACTTATCTGTTTCACATGCAATGCAACATGGTTCCAGCAACTGGAAACATTATGACCAGCAGAGGTTGCCATTACTGATTTTTCAGCAGAAATAGCATGGTTAAGTCCTTTCGGCCATGATGTTTCATTTGAACTGATCATTTGGTGTGCATTTGTTTTAAGGTATTGATGAACCGTGATTGCTGCTATCTGTTGTTTTAGTGCTTTTTAGTCTTTTCTGAATGGGTTTTATTTTTCATGTTTGTTCTTCTTGTTTGAGTTCTAGGAAGTTAAAAGTCTAGGCGTGGGTATGTGAGTGCATACAAGCACGTATGAGGGTCCTGAAGAGAGCAGTTGGTAGAGGAGAATAGGAATGAGAGGATCTCATGCCATATCGTGAGTATAGAGAAAGGATCCCTTGCTCGAAGTTTGTGAGGGTATTGATAGAGAAGACCATGTGTGGTCTCTGCCAATGTGGATGAAGCAATAGGAGTTGAATATCTGCTGTGCAATCTCTTTACCCTTTCATTCTCATGGTTTGTTCACCATCCATCTGGTCTAAACTCTAAAGTTGTCATGGACCACCAGTGGTGGGCTTGCTTGCTATAATTCGTTTTTGCCGAGTTATAGTAGTGGGATATCCCTGCATCATGGCACTTTCCCTATTGGTCCCACAAACTACTGCATCCTTGATGTACCTCATGTGATTTGTCTGTTGTCAAGGTATGGCGTGGTAACTAGCTGTCTATGTAGGGCTTCTGTGGCACATGATGCCGCAGAAGCAAAGAAGGAAAGTTTGCCTCTAGTTCTGCAAGTTCGTGGCACTTTGAAATAAATGCTGTTGATTCTTTATCACGTCCTCAGTTATTTCTAAACCGGCTGAAGTAACCTTTTTTCTTGCAGAAAAACTTATAACACTTCATGCATTTAGTAAATAACCCTACTACTGCCTACTTGTACGTAATGTCGGATGGAATTTGGGGTGGTTGAGTTGATAGGATTTCTGTCCAAGTAGGCAACAATTTATTGTTGATATTGTGTGGACACACTTGGACCTAGTTGAACATTAGTGGTGTAGTTGTTCTTGTTATCTCAGAATGTTGTTTCCTTTCTTAACTTGGTTTTATCTGTGTAACAGTTTTAAAGAACTTGTTGCAAGTCGCCCTCTGTCAGAGTTAAGGACTGCTGAGGAAACTGCTGCTGCTGCAAATTCAGAAGCTGGTGAGCCACAAGTTGAGAAAGAGGTTCCTCTTAATGCTGCAGAGCAATCTCCTAAACCTGTTAGTGCAAGCTTAAAAGAAGCCGAGGAGTTGGAGAAGTATATCGCCATTAGAGAAGAGATGTATAAGAAAGCTAAAGAGTTCGATTCTAAGATCGTTGGTTTTGAAACAGCTATAAGGAGGCCCTACTTTCATGTGAGGCCCCTCAATGTTACCGAGCTTGAAAATTGGCATAACTATCTTGACTTTATTGAAGGAGGAGATGACTTCAATAAGGTATCATAGCTTATTAGTTCTTTCTAGCCACTTTTGAATTTGTCTTGGTTTGTAGTTTTAGTTGTCCTTGATAAACGCTGACTTACAGTTAAGTAATATCTGCCGCGTCATATGCTTTATTGGCTAATCCGTTGGATGAAGCATCATTTAAAATGGGATGTTGAACTTGGACAAAAGCATGGGCCTTCTATTTGCTTTCTGTAAGGCTAAGTACTTCAACCCCTCATTTGTGAGTCGACATTCTGGGTTCATCATGTGTTGTATGACAAAATATTTGTTTAAAGTTCCAATGTTATGCATGCAGGTGTGTTATCTTCCTAACCATCTGTCTGTCAGGCAAGGAGGGTCCCTCCTTTCGTATTAGAGGGTCCTCCCTGTTCCGCCAACGGAGTATTTCTTACGCATTTCTCCTAGTCTTTTCTGTTTCCATTTGTTCTTCAGTTCATGTAACACAGAATTTGAATTTAGAAATCCATGATGTTATTTACATGCACCAGGTTGTCAAGCTATACGAAAGATGCCTAATTGCTTGTGCCAATTATCCTGAATATTGGATACGATATGTTCTATGCATGGAAGCTAGTGGTAGTATGGATCTTGCTGATAATGCCCTTGCACGTGCTAGTCAAGTTTTTGTCAAGGTATGGGATTCTGCTTTTAAGGCATGGTTCTAATTTTTCAATATATCTCAAAAAGTAGTGATCTTCTATTACTGCGCAAGTTTGGCATTGGTGAATGAAACACTATTGTAAGGCCGCACTGGTATTGTTTAGAACTCTTTCTTGCTGGAATGTGTCAAAAATTTGGAAAGAAAGTGTTAGAATTGATCTTGTTTTGGCAAAGTGATACATGAGTCGTAGCAGAATTTTATAGTAAGTAATGGTGGTCCTTACAAAGAGGTGGAGAAATTCCCGATCTTGCTGCATTTTCAAGCAATTTTTCTAGTTCAGTTATTTTATTTTATTTTTGCAGAGATGCTACTTTATGGATGAGCTTATTATTTTGAGCAGAATTTTTGCTGAGATGACCCTTTTCTTTGATTGAAAAACCTCTACTTAAATTACGAAACCATGATGAAGAATGATAGGGTAAAATGTAATGTACATCCAATATATACACAACATAACTTGGGAATGGAGCAACATTTTACTCTCTGGTGTTGTATTATCTGATACATTACTATGATCTTTTGATTAAATTCTCTCCATCCATCAAATGTCAAGCCTAGGGAACACAACTTTATCGAGATGAATTGTAAGTGATTGTTAACTTGTCTTGTTTTGGTGGAGTTAACTAAAGTACAACTTTGATTATTGTTGGTGTTTATAGCAGCAACACAGAGAAAAAGAACTTTGTACATTGGCAGTTTTTCATGCTTTATTTGGTCATATGGATGATATGCCCAATCTGTCAATAGTCAGTCCATCTTTCCCTGATGGTCATGTAGTGCAGAGTTGGCATATTCTGCTGTTTCAGATTTACCTCGACTCTCTTTGTCAGTAAGACATCAAATTGAAATTAACAGTACTGTTCGTGGAATACTCGCTCTGTGTGTCGAGATCTAGTTTAGATGGATCTCAGCCATAGCTTTTCCATAATTGGTTGCAAACTTGTGCAGTTGTGCTTGTGAATATTCCATAATTGATCCCAAACTTGCACTTATGAATAATAAATGTAATTTAATTCTTGTATTTCTGCTTGAGAAAATATTATCAGCATAATGAACCCTACCTCGTAGCTCCATTTTCTTCGTTTTTTCTTGTCTACGTGCTACTCCATTGATGTTGTTTCTTGTTGCTTATTTATGGCAAGATTTGCTTCCATGGAATTTACTCTTATTTGCTTCAAGCAACCAAATATCATTATAGAATAAATTGTTTTGGAGCCTGTCTTTTTCGGTTTGTCCTATGTAAAGATATGTGCATCTTGTGCCGGAGGCTTACTGTTAAGTAGGTCATTTTTCTGGATAAGATTTTGTCATCTTCAAACAAGAGTAGGATGGGATTTTGCCTTTTTTGCTTTGAACATATATCAACTTAGATGACTTGGTTCCTCTTTCACTTTGGTATAGATTTCATTCTGTTTGTCCATTGCGCCTCTGCACTCTGCTGGACAATAAGAACTTTTCTGGGGTGATTTCTTTGCTTACAGAAAAATGTGGTGATTTTCTTTATTGATACATGCTCATCTGAGCTGCTTATTTTGGGAAAAAAATAAGTAGTGCGATATAAGTAGCTATTTGTTTACCTTTAATGTGGATTCAATTAGAATTGTTATGTTGGTCTTTATGCATGATGATTTTAGAACCATGTTGCCTTTGTAGTGTAATAAACTCTTTTTGGGTCTGAATCATTGTAATTTTGCAGAGACAACCTGAGATTCACCTTTTTGCTGCTCGATTTAGAGACCAGCATGGGGATATATCAGGAGCTCGTGCTGCCTATCAACTCGTGCATACTGAAATTTCACCTGGCCTTTTGGAAGCAACCATTAAGCATGCGAACATGGAACATCGATTGGTAAGATTGTTCAAGCAGGCTGTTGAAGATTTTCATCATGATGTTTGTATTGCATGTTTTGAGTGGTGAATTTTTACTGATTTCACAGGGAAATTTGGAAGATGCTTGTTCTTTATACGAACAGGCCATTGCAATTGAGACAGGAAAAGAACATTCACAAACCTTGCCATTTTTGTTTGCTCAATATTCTCGGTTTCTATACTTGGTATGTCTTGCTCTTAACGTGTTATTTAGCATTTGTTATCTGCTGCCCCTTTCTGATGCTGTACCTTAGTGTTTGATGATGCCTTTGGGATCACAGGCTTAACTTTTGCGACCATCCCATCATATTCGACAAATATAGTTTGCATGCTTTTAGCCTGTTAAAGTGAAAATTCAAATGGTATTTTCCCCTGGATATTTCACAGCGAAAGCATTTGTGAATGTGTGGATACATGCTATTAGTTTCCTTAGCCTCAATCTTATTTAAGAGGGAAAAAAAAGGAGGGGGGGGGTTCTAAAAACGATCAAGAAAATTTTGAGAATGTATTTGATCATCTTTCAATGTCATGGCCTTGTTTGTCATTATATGCTACTTTTTAATGAAGACTTACAGATTTGTGCTGGTTCAGCAGACCTGCCTTGAATTTATGGTCCTGGTATGCTGAGCAATTCCATTCCATTACTGTTAGCAATCATTTGATACACGTCAATCATCTTTGACGAGGCATGTAGATAGATTTTGTTATTTGTATGCTTGGCATCTCTTTTCCAAATTTACAAGATGCCAAGAGTTTTTTCTTCTCATTTCACTTTATTGTGCTTGAACCTTTGTGGTAGACCCTGTTTTTACGATGGCTACGTTTTACTTCTCATAAATGTCTTACAGGACTATTAGAAGTTCCTAAGCTTGTCATCAATTAGACATGAGTCTTCGCTTTTCTGGGAACTGTCCTCGTCATTTATATATTTATGTACAACTGCCTAGGCAAATTAAAGCCATAGTTACTGATTTTCCTTGCCTTATTGGTAGTTATACTATTGTCCTTGTTTCAAGATGCTCACGATTGCAAACTTTTTATTGAAGTCAAATATCTTTGTAATTGACCCAGATTTTATTCTTGTCTTGTTGAAACGCCCTGTAGCTTTTCCTGGCAACTTTGTTTCATGGGCTTTTGTCTGGCACAGGGCACCTGACTTGTATTCTTTAGGATCCATGCAAATACATTGTGATTTTTTGTTACCCTTACACATATATTCATCTTAGAAGTATTGGGACTTCTCCTTGTCCTACATGATAGATTCCTTTGGTCATTCAGTAATCAGTTTTATCTATGTTATTGTTTATTGTACTTGTCTTCTCATATATCTTTGATGGTAGGTTTCTGGCAATGTGGAGAAAGCTAGGGAAATTCTTGATCAGGCGCTTGAGAATGTTCAATTTTCAAAACCACTTCTGGAGGTTCTCTCTCTGTCTCTCTCCCTCCCCCTACACACGCACAGATGGAGAGATATTCACTTACCTAGGTGCTTTTATCTGTTGTGTTTGTTATGCAGGCATTGATCCATTTAGAATCAATTCAGCCGCTTCCAAAACGACTTGATCACGTCGATTCACTGATTGAGAAGTTTATTGTTCCTAATCATGAAAACCCAAATGCTGCAAGTATCATTGAAAGAGAACAGCTATCTAACATTTTCTTGGAGGTGATTATATGTGTTCTCTTTTTCCCCTCCAGTAGAATCATTTTGAATTCACATTGTTTGAAATGTTGGGTGGAACTGATATAGTGGCTTGTTTCAACTGTGTTATTCACTGTTTTTCTACTAAGACTTGGCTTTGGTTTGAAATTGGTAGTCTTAATCTTCTACACAGGATCTCATTACCTGTTCTAGCTTACAGGCAAGGATCTAATTTCTGTTTGAAATGTTTCCGTTTCCATGGAAACCGAAACAAATTAGTTATTGAATAACGAAATTCCTTTTTTTCGAGCTGTTTTAGGATGTTTCGAGATCTTTCTGTGTGTTTTGACCAATACTTTGGGTTTTTTAAATTTTTTTTTCTTCATTTCCATTAGGTTTGCTTCCGAATGTTTTCTTTTTGGCACAGATTTTTTTCCCTTCTGCTTGCTTAGTATATGTTTTTTTGGTGGTTCTTTTGAATTATAGTACTGACATTTGGTTTTGCAGTTTCTGGACCTCTTTGGAGACACACAATCCATTAAGAAGGCTGATGATCGGCATGCCAAGCTCTTCTTACACCACAAGAGCACATCAGAGTCAAAGAAACGCCATGCGGAGGATTTTTTGGTTTCAGAAAGAACAAAGCTAGCTAAATCTGTTGCTCCATCATCCGTTCCATCAGTGATGGGTGCGTATCCCAGCACACACAACCAATGGCCAGCAGGTTATGGTTTACAACCTCAAGCTTGGCCGCAAGTTACACAAGCCCCAGGACAACAATGGAATCCTGGATATACACAACAGGTACTTTGCCTTTCATCAATAGCATGCTTGAAAGTTTGTTAGCATGAATTGGAACAGCTGGACTCTGTCCGTCTCTCTCTCTCAATTTTTACCGGATTATATCTTATATCCCATTCATTTAAAAAATTTATGTTACGGGGATCATGTACTGATTTTTATATTTCCAAACTGTTCAGATGATACACAGCGACTGCCTAATATGTTAATAACCACAGGAGTATATGTTTGTTAGGCTTGAATGCAAGAATGTAGTAAGAAGTGTGGTGGGTTCTTATAGATTAATGATATGTAAGGGATAGCATCTGTAAAAAAACTCTGTAGTATGTTTTCGATCCCATAGTTATATTTACTGGAATTATGTGTCCAATAATTTCTAGACTTGCTCATTATCTTTTGTTTCTCCACTCAATTTGGTGTTTAATTACTTCATCAGGACTTGGTGCTCCTTTTGATGTTCAAACCCTCCAACCATTAGGGATTGTTCAGTCGAGTTCCAGTATGAACATAAGTACAAATGATGCCATCTATTTTCTTCTGTGTACTAATACAATTAATGGCATAAATTTCTGCCAAGAAACAACCCTGCTCAAGGCTGATTCTAGATTTGGAAAACTTGCTTGAATTCAGTTATTTGAAGTTTTATCTTACTGTTATCTTGGTTTGGTGACCTAAAATGTTATATATATTTTTTAATTTATTATGGCATTTTAGGCTGCATACAGTGCATATGGTAGCTATGGGAGCAGCTATGTTCAACCACAACCACCATCATCTGCGCCTCAAACTGCTGCTGCTTACGGTGCTTATCCTTCTACATATTCAGCCCAGGTAACATAAGTTTCTTGCATATAAATCTGTGTGGTTCTTCGACAAATATAAAAAACAGAAATGGTGCATAAATTCCAAAGAGAAATTGCACATTTGTGATAGTGTCCGTTGAAATGTATCAATTCAGGCATGAAGCTACTAACTTCTGATTCAATTGTGCGTAATATTTCTTATGTGTTCCCTCTTTGACTTCACAAATCATATTTTATGAGTAGAATTTTGCTGTGGGATCTTCCCTTGTTATCTGCATCCAGCATACCACCTTAATTGTTTACAATTGCACAGGCCTTCCCTCAGCCAAGTTATACTCAATCAGCAGCAGCAGCAAGCTTGACCACAGCACAGCAACCTACTTCAGTTCCTCCTCAGGCTTATTATGGAAGCTATTACTGAGCAGGCAAGATTATTCTAGACTCGTTTTTTTTTTTCTTGTAGGTTTGACCACCCTTGTTGGCTGTCACTTATTGAGCTATACCATGGCTTTTTTGGGCATGGTTGTGGTGGAAGTTGACAAGCTCTTTCGGATAGGAAAGTGAGCGTTGTAAATGACAGTTATTGTATTTTTGGTTTTCTTTTTTCTAAAAATTACTTTGATATTCTATCATTCCGGACGATATGTAACTTGCTGTGTTCAGATGCCTCATTGCTACAGTATAACATGTTTCTGATATGCTGTAGGTCTGAAAGATGGTTTGAGGGGTTTGGGTGTAGGAGAAATTTTTCAGTAGATTAGATTATTAGTTAGACTTGCTTTAGCTGTTATGTAATATTACTATGGATGTTTGCCGTCTAATTGCTGAATGCTTGATAATCTAAATTTCAAATGTATTTTAGTCTTTCATTGAATCTTTTGGGGATTGAATTGTTTAAACCGAAGGCGAATATTGTTTTTTTTTTTTTTTTTTGGTATGGGATGGAGCAGGAAGGAAATCTCTTGGGTCTTTTCTTCTTGGTTATTTGGACGTTAACCAATTCATGTTGTCTTGTGGTGTTTAACATTAATATGTTTATTGTTAAGTGTTTATGGATCTTATAGTCCAGTAATAAATAATCCTAATTTGCTAAGTTTGTGTCGGGTTCGAATTGTGGTGGCTGAGTTATATTGAAAATTGTCGCGTTTAAATGGAGCATGAACTCTCAAGTCTCAAACAAATATTGTTATTTAATCCTAGGTTTTAGATGGTGGTAATCGTAGTTAGGAATGATAATCTCATTCATAAATTCATGAATTATCATTTTTGGGTGGTTAATGAGTCGGTAATTTATGTTGGGAATAAGATCACTATTGAAATTAAATTAAATTCCTAAAAATGGTACCAATCTTAAATGGTGGTAATCTAACTTCATTGGGCATTCTAAAAAAGGAAAAATCATTCAAATTTAAAGTCTTTCCAAAAATTTAATTTATTGCTAAAGCTAAGTTATCTTCCTAAAATCATGATCCTTCTTACAATAATGTTTATTATTAAAAATAATACTGAAGTATATATTCATTTCTATATTAGATTACTAATGACCACAAAGTGATCTAAATAAAAGATCACTTTATTAAGAATGAGATATTCATTATCCATTAGGATTATTTGCCATCCAAATGGGGCCTAAGGGTTAGTCAAGTGATAAAAGTCTTTATAAGCATAGGTAAGGAATTTAAATATTTACCTTTTTGGGCTATTGTCGATAAATTTATTTTATTGTATGGAGAGGTGATTTTAATAAGTTTCACTATGACATGAGTGACTGACCGACCGACTGGGACAATTGAGTTATTAAAAAAAAATTTGTTTTCAAAATTCAATTATGATTGGAGTCCAGGCAAGATTCCAAACCCCCCCCCCCCCAAAAAAAAAACAAGAATATTTGAGATCATAGGCCCCAAATTTGCTATAATTCATAATTGGTTTGTGTGGTCTTTATAAGATGTCATTTCTCTCTCCCTAACCTTATCTAATTTCTCTTTTATCGTCCAATAACACAAGTGTTTCGAGAGTCGAAGAGCATCTCAGGAATCGTATAAATAAATTCTAAATTCATATATTTTTATAGCTTATTTGTTACTAATTAATTTAGGGTGAATATAATTTTCCTCTTCCAATGCTTTTTGTGGTGAAAAAAGTTTCCAATTAATTATTCCAAACCATAAAAAAAAAAAAACTGTAAATTCTATTTTTTCTAAAACTTCGTGTACCTTAAAATCGTCGAATCACTCGAACTGGCAAAGACTCCTTCACTCATAGGAACTACAAGATTTTAGTGTCAGAAATTAAAATTAAGATCGTATGCTTCTGGGTCAAGTAATACTGTACACAGAGATGCTAAGATCGAATCTTAACCGTCAATTGCTTTGACTAGTTTTTACCGCATCAGCTTTTCGAAATTCAACTTCTATTGGTCCCACGAGCCAACGGCTCTGATTCATCGAGTAATAAACCGACATGGAACGACTGCATACAAGCGATAATTAATGACTTTTTGGTAAATTTTTAAGAATAAAAGCCAGCAAACAGTACACAGGTCTTTGTCTCCCTATAGATCTCTAAGTCAGCTCCTCCGCCATCTCTCTCTCTCTCTCTCTCGATTCTTCCATTCTTGATCTCTAAATTCTCTCTCTCTCTCTGCACATTGTCTTTCTTTTTTAACAAATTTTCTGTCATTAAATCGACTTATCTGTGTAAAAAGAACAAGAAAGACACTGTTCTACGAACAGTATATATATATATATAGACAGTAATCTTTATAAAGATATTGAATTAGGGTTTAAGAGTTTGTTGTTCTTTGTGGATCTGATCCATTAAAGGGACTAGAAGGCCTTGGTTTGGGCGATCGTTTGTCAAGTAACGCTTTTGTAGTCAGAGCGAGAATGGCGGCGAGTCCGTACTCTGCTCCTGTCAGTGCTCTTCAGGTGATTATTCAATTCGATCAATTTTTTCTTGGGGTTGTGTTGGTGATGCTGTTTTAGTTTAGCGTGTTTCAATCTTTGTGGTTTGTTTTTTCAGGTTGGTTCCTACTTTGTTCAACAGTACTATCAGGTTCTTCGACAACAACCCGAATTGGTTCATCAGTTCTACACCGATGCCAGTTCTATGGTTCGGGTCGATGGGGAGTCGAGCGAGTCGGCTACAGGAATGCTGGTAATGCTTTGATTCTACATGAATCTTGGTGAATTTGGTTTTTTCCTTTTGGCTTTTCATTCAGTCTGATGTGATTACGAGATTGGGATCAGTAGTACTGAGAATATGTCTTCAACTGGATTTATGAATGCTATGTTTTTTTGGATTTATTTGATTTAGCGTGGCTGCATGATAAATATTGATTGTGCTCACACCCAATCTGGCTAATAATCTTATATGCATCCATGAGTTAGTGGAGAGGCTTTATTGTCTTCTGATTGGTAATGAGGCATATGACTTTTATTTGCTTTTAGGCAGTGATTTGGGTGTAAGAGTGGTGTTGGTGATTTGGGTGTGAGAGAAGTGTTAGCGATTTGTGTGCTTGATCCTCTGAATCAGTGTGAGTTACCATGTCAACAGTTACACCTATGCATCTCTGCTGTACCTATTGGAAAGAGAAAAAGGTGTTGGTCTTGTTATGTTCGGTCTCATAGATATGAATAATCCACTGTTTAATGGATTAACATAATTTGGTGAAATAGTTTAATTTTATTTTTATCTGTATTGCTGCAATACTCCAGCATAATACAGAATAACTGCTGATTTCCATAGGAGTCTGTGTTGTGGCACCATCCCAGTTTGGCTGATCAGCCCCTTGGACTAGCTGCGAGTCACCACCTCATAGAGGTCAAAGGGCACTGGTTGTTTAGTGCTATGATTAGGCAGTTGGGCTATGTGACCACATATTCCACATTTTTTTTTGAATTCATTTCATGTAATTTGTTTGGAAAAATACAAAACCAGTACTGGTTGATGTCTAATAATGGGACCATATGAGTTAATCCTATTCTCACTAATTGACTTTTGTCATGTATCAAGCTGCTGTGTTTCTTATCCAAAGAAAATGTATGAAGCTGTAGGTATGCAAGACTCCATGTGTGTGCATTTTAGTTATGACAGCTTGTAAATAAAATTTAACAATGTATATGTATTGCCCTTCTGCAGCAAATTCATACACTTGTCATGTCTCTGAATTTTACCGGAATTGAGGTCAAGACAATAAATTCTCTGGAATCTTTGAATGGAGGTGTCTTTGTGGTGGTTTTTGGTTCTGTCAAATCTAAGGATTTCAGTGGCCAGAGGAAGTTTGTGCAGACTTTTTTTCTTGCTCCTCAGGAGAAAGGTTACTTTGTTCTGAATGATATCTTTCACTTTGTTACTGAGGAGGTGATCTACCAACATCCGGAAAACAAAGTTGATCAACCAGATAATTCTAGTCCTCTTCCAGAGCTACCAGGTATTGTGACTTGTTCTCTATCGTATGATCTTATCAATTGTCATGGAATGATTAACCTTTTGTAATTGAACTCAATGTAATTGTCAGGAGGAGGAATGTGTTCTTCTCTGACATCCTTAGGCTTCTCGTTCTATGTGCTCTGCTTCTGACCTACCCAACTTTTTTGTTGTTCTTTTCTTAGTCTTATAAACCCAGCCAACGCCGCATCTTTTGTTATTGGTTGTGTACAAGTATCTGTGCATGTCCACTTGTGTTCCTCATCTTTTGGTTGTTGAGTTTCAAGTTGGATGAAAACTCAACACCAGATTTTAGTCTCAAAATGTTTTATCTTTCTTTACGTCTTTGACAGGTGGTTCCCAAGGATTATGATTTGATATAAAGTGACAACAAATTGTTTTATTTTCATTTTTTAGAATGACTGTCATGTTAATGTGATGTTCTTTCAGCAGTTTCCAACTATTCCTTGGAGGTGGAGACCAGAGAATATGTGAACTCGATTCATATCGAAGGTGATGATCATGTAGAAGAGTACAGCATCCAAGAGCAACATCATCAGCAGGACTTTGAGGCAGAAACCGAGGAGGAGGAGGAGGAGGAGGAGGGGGAGGAGGAGGAGGAGGAGGAGGAGGAGGAGGAGGAGGAGGGGGAGGAGGAGCAAACTCCTATGGAAGAGCCATCTCCTTTGCATCAAAATGCAATGGAGAATGTGCAAGAATCCCTGCCTTCTGTGCAGGGATCTATTGCTGAGCGTCCAAAACTTACTTATGCTTCTATAGTATGCACCTCTTCCCCTACTTATAATGAATAATTAAGTGCCCATGCATGTGCATTTGCCTGCTCGTGTCCTGTTACTATCTTCATCACTATGTATTGAGAACAGAAATTATAGTGATTCCACCCAATTGCAACAGTTCTATGAGAAATGCGTCTGTATGCCATAACAATTGTAGCCCTTTATGTGACTTCCACATTTCAGAATGGTTGAAATTACTTGGGTGTGCTTCGCATGAAATTGGCATAATTTTGGACTGTGTTTGGCATGCATTTTTAAGAAATAAGGAACATTTCATCGATTTGTCTAATATTCCACACGATATTTTCTTAATATGTTCTTTTGATCACATGGAGATTCCCAAAAAAATTGAAGAAGTCATAGTGGAGACCCCCTGTCACAATAACCCCACTTTCCCTGTAGGATATTGGAGGAAGAAGTTGGACAATTTCGCACTCAACTGTGTTTCTGTCTTAAGGTTTGAGGATAAATCGTATATGACACTTGGTTACATGTGATATCTTGTACCTATACCATGGACATTGATGAGACCATTGCATTTAGGCAGTTGTTTGTATTTGTGGATGGAGGGTTTTGGATGGGACTGTCTTGTAAGATCAAAGCGAGGGAAATTTGTGTGACTAATTTGTCATTTTTTCAGATTTTTTTATTTATGATGTTAGAAACATCGTCCGTGGGTTCATGTTGGACTAATCTATCTATTTTTTCCTTTTGTAATATGAACATTGAAAAACTTGAAAGTTGAGAGCTCCTCAAGGAAACTCTGTGCCATCAGTTGCTGCTTATCCATCTTTTACAAAGAGCATGCCACCTGCCTCAGAATGGAATTATACTCCTACAGTTCAGCAGACCTACTCTGCATTCTCTGCTACGTCATCTGTGCCTGAGTCCAGTGTGGAGGTGGCAGATGAAGGTTTATCACAAGAAGAAGAAGGTGAACTATGTAAATTTTATTCCTAACTTCTATTTATTGTAGTTTTATATATGGGTGGATGTAGAAGTAATTTAAGCGTATTTGTGCTTTGAATGACTGTATCAAGTTTTCTTCCCCTATTGTGCTACCGATGGTTTGAGTTCAGAAATTTATTCTTGGAGCACATTGTATATGATGGTGTGGCTGATGACACACAAGACTTGACTGATATTGAACCACAAAGTTCTCTCTGATAGTATTTGTCCCTGTGATCTCATTATTGACTTTGCATACATAAAAAGGATTTGCAAAACAGCTTTGTTCAAATTTAATTGTGAAGGGTGTTTTGATAGAAATGGTTTTTGTTTTAATGGGTGTTGGGGTGCAACTGATGTGGATGCGGAATCTTAGGCGGGGCCTAATGATTGGTGATTTGAGGCATTATCCGTGTGCATGTGTAGGTAAACCAAATGTATTACTGGTTGTCAACATTTCAGAAACTTAATCTCAAAATGTCTGTAGACTTAGCTGGATCTTTAGTGAGACATACAGCTCGTTTGAGGTTGTCTTCAAATTCATATTGCTTGTTGTGTCTTCTTTTCATCTTCTTGATAACAATCTTGCATTCTTAGATATTAATTGATGGTGACTATTAATCAACGATTTTGATCATTCATGTCTGCAGGGGAATTATCAAAATCTGTTTATGTAAGAAACTTGCCCTCCACCATTTCTAGACTTGATATTTTGCACGAGTTTGAGAATTTCGGCAGAATCAAACGTGATGGTGTGTTTTTAAAGAACCGCAAGGTCAGATTCATTCTTTGTACTGTCGTTCATGTGCTTGATCTACACCTGGGAGGAATCTAAAATTGCAATGATGTGCAGGAAATTGGTGGTAGCTTTGCCTTTGTTGAGTTTGAAGATGTCCAGAGTGTTCAAAATGCAGTCAAGGTTTGTAATTTTATCATGTTTAGATCAATTAATCCTTTGCCTTATTTTCCAAAATTCCAGTGAATGGTCAGTGTGTTTGATGCCAAGCATCCCGGTTAGCTTGCTGTGACCTTATTATAAAGTTAATGGAATAATATCAAATCTGTTGGATGAATGTGAGATAGTATTTCATTATTTTTGTTTTGGCTATGTGCTTGTCTTGTGCATTTACTGATTGTACTTTTTATTGAGTTTCATGTCTGTGTTGTTTGCTTTTCATGCTGTTGCTGTTGCATATTGGCATTTGAATTATGATGATTTTTGTTTATCATCATGTTTGTAACGGTGGCATGATATATAAATCAGGTCCATTTGTATTAGATGAATTGAACCTACTCACCCTGCCTTTTCATAGTAGTGGCTTTTGTTCAATTGAGAAATGATGCAGCTTTCTACTTATGAAATTATTGTGGAACTTGCCCTGAGTAGGTATTAATTTGTAGCAAAATAATTGCCTTCAGTTCTTTGATCTCCTAATCTGCGTTATAGCCTTACCCAAACCAGATAAGTTATTACATATTCCTTTTTGATGTGTCAGTACATCTCCATGAACCTATTTAATGGTGTGATTACTAAAGGGGAACACTGGTGCATTGATATAAGATCTGGCCAACAACTGTGAGGTTGGGGGTTTCAAATCTGAGAACAACCATTTTTGTGTAAATAATGCCAAAGGAATTTGTGTGCGTAGTCCATCTCACCCAATACCCTATATGAGGATCAAACTGAGTGATGTTTTTTTTATAGGAACTAAACTTAGTCATGTCTTGGTACTTCTGAAAATGCATGGGTATCCTTTCATTTTTCATTTTGTGGGTTTTTGTAGGCATCTCCATTACAGTTTTCTGGGAGGCAAGTCTACATTGAAGTGAGGAGACCGAACGGCAGAAGTGGAACTTCTCGTGGAGGGAGTAAGTGGCTCAAACTGTTCCTTCTTGAAAATAATCTAAAATGGTCCATGTTCCACTGTTATTAGTAGACTTTTGTTTTGTTGCTTCATCTTCTGATTCTTACTTCACTTCTGTTTTGGTGAAATTTATGGGAAACATGCCATCATTGTATGCACTGTTTGGAGTCTTTCGTTCTGCCACCCACCAGTTATTTGCCATGCTTTTGAAGATAAACTATTCTTTTAGTTTGGACACTCCCTATTGTATCATTGATAGACCTCTTGCATAGATCCATGAGGTCGTCCCTATTGTACTGACTTTGAACTTGTCAAGGTAGTCTCATATTGATTGTCTTGCTTAAAAACGGTTATAGAAAGTCTCAAGGGCTTCTATCATCAAAGAATTTGGGGCTCATCTATGCTGGTATTCATATACCTGAGCTCTTAAGGTTAGAAACTGATTGCAGGCTTTATTATTATTATTTTTTACATAAAATTTTTCATTCAATAGAGTAGAAATTACAATGTAGTGGACAATAAATCCACCCAAAGATGGAACAAATACAACAAAAAGAAGGAAGAGCATAACTCAAAATAAACTTGGAAACCAACTACATCAATCAAGAGCTACTAGTGTATTCTTCTAACTACATGCTGTCTTTCAATCAAATATTAAGGAGGAAGAAAGGTACATCCTCAAAACTCTATTGAAGTTGATGCCCTAAGACTAGCAAAGAACTTAATTCTGTCCAAAAGGAATTCCACATATTCTACTTTGCCATCGAAAATTATGTTATTCCTTTCCAACCATATCCCCAAAGAACTGTCATTATCACACTTTCTCATGATAAAGATGCCTTACCATTGTTCCCAAACACACCATGATTCATTTCGAATACAGAAACACAATCTCTTGGGACTACCCAACTCCAACCAAACTCGACAAGAGCTTCATGCCACGGTTTCAAGGCTGCAGGGCAGTGAAAAGAGAGATGAGCCACACATTCATTGTACTTTCTGCACATAGCACACCATTGGAGATAGAGACAAGTAGTCGGTCTTCTCCTTTGCAACACATCACATGCATTTATCTTCCCATGGGCAATAGTCCAAGCAAAACCTTGTACCGTAGTAGGCACCAGACACTCTAGCCTTCTAGATCATCCTATGGGGTCCAAAATCTAAGGGAGACATGTCATCTATCAAGGTATCAAAGTAAGATTTACAAGTAAAGGCACTAGAGGAATGAAGAGTCCATAATCTTTTATATCCTACCTCAGGAGTTAATAAGAAAGATTGGACCAATGACAACAAAGAGGACAGCTTGATCAGTTCCCTCTCATTCAAGGTCCTAAAGAAGTTAAAATTCCACCCCTTGAGAAGATGATGTGCCCCAGAAGGACATGTTCTTCCCTTTTTGGCCGGTTGAACCCCGACAACGTGGTTCGTAGCCACGTGCTCTCCCCACCTCGTCTCCACTGGTTCTGTTCCCAAGAGTACCCTCAAAAAAAGGAACCTTTCCTCTGCCCAGCCAATTCTGTTTAAGTCTTGTCCCACAAGAAATTTTGTACACATTGACTGTTCTCATAAACCACTTGTTCTCTCCCATGTAAGGTTGAGCTCTCCTGAGCATGTGGATTGTGTTCACTTGTGTGTTAGATGGTTGATTGATGTGAAACAAGGACCACAGTAGCACCAATAAGGGTTCAAAATAGATGCGTTCAAAATAGACATGATAACTTAGGGTTCAATAAATGGGCCTCGCAGAGAGTTTGATGATAGCAAGTGTAGCCAATCTCAAGAAGATGCACACAAACTCTTTATCTCCAGGAAATAGAAGGCATATGTGGAAGCGACTCAAATGGTGATGTGGTGGTGGCACAGTGATGAGGGGTGGCAATGTTGACAGAGATAGTAATGGTGACAGCAGATTTCATCCACCTTGACCTTGGTAATGGTGACAGTGGAGTGCTGTTTATGCTTGAATGTGTCTAGAGTGTACAGAAATAATAGTGATGGTTTTGTGATGACATTTATAATGGTTGTAGTTGCTGATGCTGTTGTGGTTTTATACACACACACACATATATATAAGTATGCTTCTAAAGACAGAAAATTACTTCCGAGATGCCACTTGAACAATACCTCTGACTTTTGCTTTGAACCCGACTTATTATTACTCCGCGACTTACTAGCAAATATAAGGGAGTAAATGAGTCCATCTCCATCACTTGCTACGATTATGCCTATTTAATGTGTTTTAGTTGACATACTGCTGCCTTTTGACTTGTTTGACCAGGAAGGGGAAGAGGCAGTGGAAGTTATCAAAATGAGTCTATGAGAGGGCGTTTTGGTGCACGTACTTTTGGCAGGGGAAGAAATTAAGGTGGTGGTGACGGCAACAAACTGATGGGCAATGGATTTTAGCGTGCACAATGAAACAAAAAAAGTCATGCCAAACCAAGTATGAGCAACTGGGCATAAAAAAAAATACTACTCAAGCCCTAAATTAGTTTTCTTTTAGTTCGCTGAGGCAGATAAGTGCTATAAGTCTGAGTGTGAGTGCTGTTTCATGCATGTTGAGAGACGATTCATCGTTTCATTTCCCCTATTGCTACAAGTAAGATTATTCATCCCCTTGATTGTTTTTTATCCCGCAATCGAGAGGGTATACGTTTGTGTCTTGCAGCACTTTTGTTGGATACGATACAATAATCGTTGGTGTTTGTTACCTCTTTCACAAGTAAGCTTGTTTCTAGGGTAAATATGAAGCCCTTTGTTTTTCATGTTCACTTTTCCCAATATTTTCTAAATTTTCAGGTCTTCTTTATTTCATACTAAGATGGCCATTTATCTGCCAACATTGTGCAATCCATGCCCATGCCCAAAGGTCAGTATATCTATGGGTAAAAATGTTAAACTGATACACATAGTATAAAATGATGCTTGCCAGCTTGGTTGGTGAATCAAGATGAACACTTCGATTAGTTCATCTCAACTATTTATTCTCTCTTTTTATCTACCATCTTCCAAAAGTTTAAAATGTCTTCAGTTTGATTATGTATTCAATGCACCACCATGCCAGTTAAAAATACTGATACTAAGAGTATTAGAGGGAAATAAGAGAGACTTTTGTAAAATTTATTCAATGAATGAAACTTTTGTTTTCTTAGAGGGAAGAAATAAGTTTTGTCATGGCATGGTGAAACAGACTGAAATGACATAGAAGAGAGTGGATCATAAGTGATGGCCTTATGGTCCTGGTTTAGATGAAAAAGCTTCTTAGCTTTAGTACGAAGGCATACAACTCTGAAATGTACACACGTTACATATTAGTCATATCATTCCTGTGCCAATTAAACTTCATCCTACATCTCTCTCTCTCTCTCTCTCTCTCTCTCTCTCTAGCCATATTAAACACCAAACCACCACCCCAAGTAACCCACATCACTCGTTGTGGTGACTGATTCGTGTTCTTGATGGGGAGTGTTTATGGTGGCCTGTGGTGGTTAGAAGGATGGGTTCTGGAATTCAAATTGGAATGATGGAGAGAGAGAGAGAGAGAGAGGTCACTCATTTATTTTGAGTCAAAGGGGAGAGATTTTTCTATTAATTGTCATTTTTTTATGAACACACAAGAAAATACATGTAAATTTTGAATATATTTTACTCAATATCATATTAGGTTTACAAGAGTCTAATAAGACCCACAAACCCAAGTTGTAGTGTTAACTTCAAAAGGGTATAATATTTAGAATTGCTTATGAAAATTTATCAATTAACTTAAAATTTCTACTCCAATTGATGTGGAATGTCAATTCATTTTGTTTTAATGAACACACAATAAAATACATGTAAATTTTAAACATTTTTTTAAAAAATTATATTACAGTAGTAAGAGCCGAAAAAAAATCAACATCCCGAAATCTAAATACTACATTCAAAAAGTTGAATTTTTTTAAAAAGAAATAAAAACTTATCAATTAACTTAGATTTAATTCTTGATATGTGAAAAAAAGTTTAAAAGCCAATATCACTTATCATTGATTTGATTCTGGGTCTTAGTATTATTGGAATCCATTATTTATTCAATAATTATAATGGAGAGAGTCGACAAATATTGTCAATATTTTTTGAAAAATATTATCTAACCCAAATTTATAATCTAAATTTGTATTCCAAACGAATGGGAATCATTGGATGAGTGAGTCTTATCAAATTTTTTAAATGGAAACCACTGATTCAATAGTCTCGATTCATTTAAGATGTAAATTTTAGTTGCAGATTTGAGTTACATAGTATTGCTTATATTTTTTTTTTATCTAAATAGCGTTTTTCATAGTTTATAGGTGTAGATTAAAGTAAAATTGGTTATTAAGAGCATCTCCAACCGACTCAACAAAAGCCATTTTTTAGCTATTTTGCGGAGCCAATTCAAAAAATTTGTCTCTAACCGACTCTCTATTCCATTAGCTATTTTGCCTCCCCCATTCTCACTCATCACTTCTGGCTAACAAGACTTTCTCTCTCTACAAATTCTGAAAACCCCTAATAAATTTTGAAATTTTTTTGAGTTTTATGTATAATAAAATATTTACATTTAGACCCTGAAAAAAATATTAATCTAAGTATTTAGAAAAATTTTAAATTTATGAGATGTATTGTGCAATTAATTTTTGTTATTTAAAGTGAATGGGTGTTAAATTGCCATTAAGTTGTATTATTTAAAATTTAATTAGAATTATTATTATGATATGATTTTGGTTGGGTTGATGATTATACATGCTTTAAGTTGAATTTTTGAATTATATTATAAAAAATTATTTAAAGTTAGTGAAAGTAGTCAGTTAAAATAGAGAGCGTGGTTAGAGTGAATTTAAAAAAATGGATAACTAAAGTAGTGAATATAATATTTAAATATATTTTGAGTAACTATTTTATTGAATGTGATTGAAGTTGCTCTATTTAGGCGAGTTGAAAATTAGATGTCACTTTTTCCAAGATTTATCAAATTTTATTTGTTGGTACCAAATGAATTTTTGTTTTCTTTTGGGGGTGCGAAGTGCCAAACAAACTCTTTTTCCCAAGAGAAAGAATGTGTGTTTTCAGGCGAGAGGGATTCGGCTCAGACTGCTGTTCAGGAGGAATGCTGTTCGGGAGAAACGGCACCGTTTGGTGCCTTTTTTAAAAAAGAAATGCTGTCAGGGAGGAACGGTGCCTTTTTGTTTTAAACCAATCAGACCCACCAAAAACTTTAATAAAGACACATACACACCCACAAATTTACATTTTTATTAGTTAGATTTTTTTTGACTTAAATTTAAATTTTAAAATTTTGAATCTTCGATTGTTTTTTTAATTTCTTTGATCATTATTAAATTTTATGATATGATTTAATTGTGATGTTTTGGTTTGTTATTAATTTATATTAATCGTGGGTTCGAACCTCATCATCACCATCTCCATGTAACATATTGTTCAAAAAAAAATTAAATTGAAGCCCTAAAATTGTCAAAGAGGAGCCGAAGACGAAGACCCAAAAATTCAAGCCCTAAAATGATGCTGAAATCGCAGACCCAAAAATTTCTAACGCTATATCAACACTAAAACAAGTTTCAAAACGGTGCCGTTCCTCCCTAACAGCATTATTTTTTTGAAAAAAGGCACCAAACGGTGCCGTTTCTCCCGAACAGCAGAGCCTGCTGTTCCTCCTGAACAGCAGACGCCCGAGGAAGAGCGTGTCAACGTTATTGCTTACTCTACAAAGCCCATCCTCCCTCCCTCCCTCCCTCAACGACCATTCTACCCAATTACCGAAAAAGAAGGCCATTCGATCCCACAGGTAGCCGGGTTAATTTCCCTCATAAATTACGTTCGAAAACTTTAAAAAGTATTTATTGGGTTTATCCGATCATATGTGAGTGATATTTTATGTGTGTGTGTGTGAGAGAGAGAGAGAGAGAGATTTTTTACGAATATGTTCGGGTGCAAGTGTTTCCATTGGAGCAGAGTGGCTGATTTCGTGCAGCCAGAGCAAGAAACTTTTTCACTGCCCGCTCCGATGCCCCAATGGCCTGAAGGTGTGTGAATTGTTTGTTGATGTTTGTTTTATTTTTTTTCCCTTTGTAACAAATGCAAGAATATGTGGGGTTTGATTATTATGTTTAGATAGATTTTGGATTTTGGTTTATGGGTGCCTGAGTTCTGTTTGGAGGTACTCACTCTCATGATCTACTAGGTTTCCGATTGATGTTTCAGAATCCATATTTAAAGGCGGGTTTCCTTCGGAAAAAAAAAGATTGTTCTTTTGCGCATTACGAATGACTGATGCATACTTATTATTAGTGTGTGGATATTATGTGTATATTTTGTATATCATCTGTGAATTTGCTGTGTCATTGTGTGTTCTGTCCTTGATTCTATGTTTTAATGTTTCGAGCTTAAAGGAGTGCTTGAGGTCGATTTGCTTAAGTTGGTTTTTTCTTCAACGTTAAAATTATGCAATTATACTCGCAAGGGTTCTCACCCAGTTTTTAGTTTTGGCAACCGGACCATCCAGCGAAGGGATTACTTCCTTGGCGCCTAGACAAAATTGCTTATTCTTGTTTGTTTTTTTTTTTGAGCGGCTTACACTGCTCAACTGGCATAGGTTTACATGTATAGATGTTGATTAATGACCAACTCTACTGTGGGATTCCGTTGTATGTCATACAATGAATGGCTCAATGGAGAAAAGTTCTATGAGGTTATCTTGAGATTTTTCAGTATAAGTGCAGTAACTTTTGGAAATATGCTGACTTCTAATCTTGGAAAATATAGGATAGTTTCTCTCATGTATAGGAGTTTCTCAGAACACCAAAAAGAATTTACCTTGAAATTACTGAGTTTGGGCTTTCTTGTGCTTCTTGTTATCTATGGAACCGTACTTGATCCATGTGTGGAATGAATATCGTTATTCTTTTGGAGTTCATTAATCACTGGGTATTTCTTGGTTCCTAGTAACCTAGCTTCCTATGTGTACATGCATATATGTATGAATTTTTTTTTATACAATAGCTTAAATTTCACATACGGTTAGCAGATTGTATGACATGCAACACGAGTTGTCACTTCAGCAACTGAAACATTGCAAAAAACAAGAGAAAAATGGGAAGATGAGAGGCCTTTGTAACTTCTTGTCTTCTTGGCTTGCATTTTTCTTAAAATAAGTAATTTGGTTTTGGTTTTATAAAGAGTGACCTCATGGAATGTGATGTGGCAAATATCAGCCAGTTGCCATTGAGTAAAAGAAGTTTGGTATATTTGTGTAGCATTTTCCATATCTCTTTCATGATTTGATGATTCTTAATCCATACCTTATTTTCTTGCCCTCCACTAGATGTTCCCTTCTATTAAAGGAAGAATTGCCTTACCTTTAGTGCTTATGATTATTAAGCTGTCCTTTTTGCTGATTTTGAAAGCTCGCCGTTGTTGGATTTTTGTTATTCTTCTAAACCAGGTCCAAGGATTGGTTGGTTTGAGTATTAGCTTTGTTGTTCCACTAGTTCAATCTTTTGTGCTAAAATGGTTGGTCCATACTATCTTTAGGATCCGTTCCTGCATACCTCCCTTACACACACAAAAAATCCCTTCATATGGGAACAATCAAATCTGATTACGTTGTTTCCATGCTCGCATCATGATTTGCTTATATTGGCTTCAGTTTTTTTGTTTTGAAATTCATTTTATTGCCTCCCAATCCTTTTCTGCAGCCGGGGAAGCGAGGTGGTGTTCATGAAATTTGTATATGTTTCAAATGAAGAAATTATCTGGACTATCCAGATTATACCCTTTGAGTTTTTGGTTCTGTTTAAACTAAATATTTGTAATTATTCAGGTCAAGGATTTGCTTCTGGAACAATTAATTTAGGAGAAATAGAGGTTCTCCAACTCACCAAGTTTGAGTTTGTTTGGGGATGCAATCTATCGCAGAACAAGAAAAAAGGTGTTAGCTTTTATAAACCAATAGGAGTACCAGATGGTTATTTCAGTTTTGGTTATTATTGCCAATCTAATGAGAAGCCTTTACGAGGGTTTGTGCTTGTGGCTCGGGAAGTGGTTTCACCTGAGCCAGAAAAGTCTTGCAGTTGCGATCCAGATAACTCACCAGCACTTCTCAGGCCCCTGGATTATACCTTAATTTGGAGTCCAGATGTTGGGAGTGAGGAAAATCTTGATGGAGGTGGTTATTTCTGGTTGCCTCAACCACCTGAAGGTTATAAAGCTTTGGGTTTTGTTGTCACCAACAGGCCTAAAAAGCCTGATTTGGAGGAAGTTAGATGTGTCCGAGCCAACCTGACTGATCAATGTGAAGCTTTCAGTTTAATACTCAATGCCAGTTCTAAATCATCCCAATTACCTTTTGAAGTCTGGAAAACAAGACCTCAACATAGGGGAATGCTTGGAAATGGTGTCTCGGTGGGTACATTTTTTTGCAGTAGCTTCTGGATTTCCAGTAAAGAGCTACATGTTGCATGCTTGAAGAACTTAAATCCCCTTTCAACTGCTATGCCCAACCTTGATCAGATTCATGCGCTCATCAGGCACTATGGTCCTACTGTATTTTTCCATCCCGATGAAGTCTACCTGCCATCCTCTGTTTCGTGGTTTTTCAAGAACGGGGCACTCTTGTACAGAAATGGTGAGTCGATTGGTGAGACAATTGATGCTGGAGGCTCAAATTTGCCTGGTGGTGGGACGAATGATGGGGAGTGTTGGATAGATTTGCCGGGTAATGATCGAAGGGTCAAGTATGGGAACTTAGAAAGTGCAAAGCTTTACGTTCATGTGAAGCCAGCCATAGGTGGGGCATTCACTGATATTGTGATGTGGGTTTTTTGTCCCTTCAACGGGCCAGCCACATTGAAGGTTGGTGTTGTGAACGTTCCTCTTAGCAAGATTGGGCAGCATGTAGGTGACTGGGAGCATTTTACTCTTCGAGTAAGCAACTTCTCAGGAGAGCTTTCAGGTGTATATTTTTCTCAGCATAGTGGTGGTGAATGGGTGGATATTTTTGATTTGGAATTCATAGAGGGTAATAAAGCTGTGGTCTACTCATCCAAAAGTGGCCATGCCAGCTTTCCTCATCCTGGGAGTTACATTCAGGGGTCATCAAAGCTTGGTATCGGAGTGAGGAATGATGCTGCTCGTAGTTGTTATTATGTGGATTCAAGCATCCAATATGAAATTGTTGCGGCAGAGTATCTTGGAGATAGAGTTGTTAATGAGCCATGCTGGTTGCAGTATATGAGAGAGTGGGGTCCAACTATTGTGTATGATTCAAGAACTGAGCTGGATAAAATCATCAGTTTTTTGCCTCTAATGCTTCGATATTCAGTGGATAGTATTTGTGATAAGTTTCCGGTGGAGCTGTCTGGGGAGGAGGGCCCTACTGGGCCAAAGGAGAAGAACAACTGGGTGGGGGATGAAAGAGACTAGGTTCATCTTGGACTTTCTTTACCCGCGGTTCTGTATTATACACAGTTTGAATAATAATGAAGAAATATGTAACAAAAAATTAAGACAAAAGAGATCAGAATGCCAGATGAGAGTAGAAAAACCAGAGAAAACCTTTTACCAAAATGTTGAATGGTGGGAGACACGATTTCCAGCCAGAAACAACTGTTTGCCCCGCGGTAAGCAAGTTGTTCAATGGAATTCATTTGATGTTGTTGTAACTGCGTGTCTCTGAGTCATTTCTGTTTTGGAAGGTAGAAACCAATACGATTGGGATATTTATGGCCTATTGCCAAGTGTGGTACGGAAGAGTAATATCTGTGTGTTGTATTTGTTAAGAGTGATGAGGATTAGCTGAGATTGTGCAAAGATTATATGGACATTAGTTTAGGACTCTGCATTGATTATATAGCAGGTGGTAGGCAGGTTCTTCGGCCTTGTGTGTATGATAGACTAGTCACAGTGATGCAAGATGAGCCTAACAGAATAAAATCTTCTCAAGTATAGCATTGTTCTACTCTCAAGTAGTTGCAAGATTCAGCTTATTTTCTTTTACTTTTTGATGTCTGTTCTTTCATTTATGATTGTTTCTGCAATTTTTTCCAAAGACACTGTCTTTTAGTGCTCATCTATTTAGGTTTGAGTTTCTGCCAAGCTGTGTTAAGTTCCGATGGAAGTTATTCCTTGCACATTGTTTCCTTATGGTCTGTCTCTGTCATTGGTATGCAATAAAACTGTCTTCTAACCCATTTATGCATTATTTTTCAGTCCTGTTTCCTCTTTTCTTTCCCCTGCAAATGTTTTCTATCAGGAGCATGCTGGTGACAATTTTTTCAAAGAATCCAAGAAAAAATGGGCTCGTGGCTTCCTTGACAATTTGTTACATGGATCCAACCAACCAAATGAAGAATGATAAGAGGAAAAGTTTTTTACTTGATTTTATACTTAAAAATTAATAGGTACCGATGTATGATTGCTAGCTTTAACTAAAACATTCTCTTCATGGTTTAGGGAATTCAAGAGGGGAAAGACCGCAGAGGAGGACAGGGCTCGAGCGACTACGAGACTGCCGGAGAAGTGAGACATTACCTATCAAGTTTTCGGTCCCATATAAAAAGGAACCAGCTATTTGTTAAATGGTTCTACAGACTATTGAAGTAATTCAGAACACATCTAGCCTTCCAACCTCACGAACTGTGCAATATCGGAAGGGATATTTTTGTTATAACACAGAAACTTTAAAGGGTTTTAATATCATTATTAAAAATATTAGGAGTGGTCTATGTGATTAACAAAGGATTATTTATAATAAAAGGCACATATTGAGGAAAAAATATGCATTGCACGATAATATTATGTCATAGAGTGTTAGATGTGAAAACATGTGGCATGTCCAAAGTGGGCTGGGCTTAATTTAAGATAATGTGTCGATACCTGTCACTAAATAGATGGACGCCATCTGAAACTGCAGCTAATTCAGGATTGCCCCGCCTCTCTCTTACCAGAGAAAGGGGGAGGAGAAATGGTTATGAATGTAATTAATGAATGCTTGTACATTTAGCATATAGACTGCCATATGTATATCATATTTAAATCCATCTGGGTTAACAGTTGGAGAGAGTGCATGGAGGTTTAAGTGCCTCCACATGACTGTCTGCAAAAACACAAAAGCCAACCATTGTATTGCATGAGAGAGAGAGAGAGAGAGAGAGAGAGAGAGAGAGAGAGAGAGAGAGAGAGAGAGAGACTTTTCTGGCTTGAACACCTAGAAACAGTAAAAAGCTTATCATTATATTCCATCTCTACAGAGAGCAAGATCCCCACTAACAACTTTAGGTTCTGAGGACTTGATACCTTTCAACTTTCTTCTAAATTAGAGTTCTTTTCCAAATGTTCATTAGCAAATTTAACTGAGAGCAAAGAATGGAAATAAGTATATCTAGGAACTAAACCAACCAAACATAAGCATTTGAATAAAGACGTAAGATAGAACTTGGAAGTAAGTGAATCATTAAAAGGGAAAAATTCCCATTGTCACAATAGTACAAGGCAGTTTAATAGGAATAGAAAAGACTCAAAGCCATATATTTTTCTTTACAATTGATAAAAACTGAGAAATTCTCCTCTTTTTTATAATTGCTACTCCCAAAAAAGCAGAGGAGCAAAGATCATTTAGAGAAAATACTATGAACTATTACTCACATTCAAAATCCATCTATATAGATGAATTGATACATTTTCCCCTTTATTGATAAAAAAAACAATACATTTCTCCCATTCTCTCTCTACCCCATCTAAGAAACTTGCTTCTGCAAACTTTTCCCCCATATAAAAGCACTAAAAAGAGCAAAAGCACATGTGCAACACTGGAGGTGAAGGAAGCCCACAAAGAAAAAAAAAATAAAGAACTTTAAATGTCATGAGTAACCTAACTATTGTAGCATGTGGACACCATCTATGAGATTCTCTCTATCAGGATGGCAGTCCTCAAAGAAAACTAAACAATGAACACCTGACCAGTGGCCACTAGTAAAATAAAGCCACTATGTCCTTCACTTTTCTACCTATAGAGTGTGCGTGCGGGAGAGGGAGGGAGCAGAGAGAGAGAGATTTCTACAGCCCCAAAATGAATGCATGGATTTCTGCCCAACTAGACACCGTATAAAGAATGCCAGACATCCCGTTCCAATTAGAAACATCAGTTTTATCGAACTCTAACTGTTTCCTCACCAAGCCAGAAAACAATGGGATGAAATCAATACCAAATTGAGCCCCCAGCCTTCTTAGGCTGTCACTTAGACCAATCACAATGCCCACATCCGCTTTGAGCAAGCAAAGCAAGTCACCCACCGAACCTCCAACATAAACTGTCAAATGCTTGCCACCATAGCTGCAGGTCTTAAGGATGTCATTGAAAGCTTCAAGCTTCTCCATAGGAGACTCCACCTTCTTAATGATTTCACCCGTGGTAATAGACCCTTCATGAACTAGCTCGTTTGAATGCACATTCAGAAGATCTTGATCTCCTGTTCAATGGAAGAGGAAGTGAAACTCCGATTGTTTACCCAAAGAGAACTTAAAACGTGAGGAAGTATGATATTAGCACAAGGGAAAATTAGTTGCTTAATATTTGCAATTTGTAGGATATGGCCTAGTTATATTGCACAATCAATACCTACCTTTCCATTACTTGCTAACTGCATAATTTGATTCAGCTGGTGAAAAATAGATCATGCATAATATCGTTGTGTCTATATTGTACATCCAGGTAAAGTGATGCCTTTGCAAGATATAAATCATCAAAGTATTGCAATTGTACTAAATTCACAAGAGCAGGAAAAAGGTGATGTGGAACATTCACATATATATTTTATTATACTTGAAAACTGCATGAAGACATTATATGCTCGAAAAAACATACCTGACAAGAAAGCAGACCTGATGAGATCACCACACCAACAGTATGAAAGTACATGGAGATCAGTTCTGATATTTTCTTGTTTCACAATCTCCTGAAAGAACTTCCTACAACCATCTTGAAGACTGAGGTGTTCACCAGCCCATTTTATGTCCTCTATATTTAATCCTTTCAGTACACCAGACTGAATCACTCTCAAATTCACCCTCTTCTCAAAGTCTGATAATTGCTCAAGTGCTTTACATAGGCCAATGTAATTGAATTCCTCCCCTGCCAATGCATCGAAACAATATCCAAGAGTCCCCATCTCAGAAAGACATATTTCCTTCCATAACACTATCGAACTATGGAGAGATGTGTAAATCAAGAAGTAAACCTACTAATTATACCTGCTTCAATGGGCATGATGCTTTCTATGCATTGTTCATACTCTTTGACATACTGGCTGGAGAGATCACACCATGTGGTCCGTAGATCAGTCGAGGACATCCAAGCGGGTGGGGTTCCACATTCATTCAGATCGGCCTTTTGTGCTGTTCTGATTGCAATCTCTGCCAGAAGGGCAGAGGAATCAATAACAGTGCATGTCATATCAAAATCAGAAAATATGGTCAGAGTGTGTTCAGCAGGGTCATAGGCTCGAGAGAAGGGGACTATAGTGCGCAATGCAACTGGTCGATCTGAGATGAACTTTACTTCAAGTTTCATAGCTTGATGATAGAGCTTTTCTACAACTTCAAGCTCTTCACCAGTCAAAGAAATGCTTAGTTTATCCACCAACTCTTCAATCCGGGAAATTGCTGCCTGTCCTCGCAGCCACAACAGGGGAATAGTCAGATAAATTGAGTATATTATTTTCTCTTCCTCAACAGCTCAAATATGTAGACCAGATCAATGAACAAGGTTTCCAAAGATGACTAAAGGAAGTAATCATTCCTCTAAGTTCAGACAAACCTGATATTTTTGAGATCCGGAGAGGTTGTCAATCCACTTCTTGTAGATGTGATTGCTTTCAGTAGGATCCACAAGAGCCTGGATCTCCTTATTTATAAAGCCAAAGAGCCTCATGCAAGGTGCAATAGCACCCAGTGTATATGCAGCAAGTTTCGTCTTCTCAAAAGGGGTAGCAATTTTACCAGAAAATTTTTCTCCCTCTACTTTCCCTGAGGCTGTCGCCAGCAAGAAATCTGTGTATTTGTCTGTTGCGCTATCAGAAGTGCTCTCCTTAGGAAGCTCAAAGCCCAATTCCTGCATTATTAGGTTTTCGATATAAGAATATGTAGATACACTGAAAATTATCCCTGATACCAACTAAATACAATTGACGTTCAATGTCTATCTAGCAATCGTTCTTTGTTCATGTTCATCTAATAATCTAATCATACTAGTTACTGGCATCAAGATAAATTAAGAAAACACTCAACCAATAAGTTGAGAGCAAACAAGAGTGAAAGGTCTCTAAGAATTACGCCTATTGAATGCACAAACACACAAGCTCAGTCATACATCAATTTTGGCAAGGACATACAGGGATTTAACTAGTTAATAGCCAGTTGTGGTATAGGGCATAAGAAATTATCAGAAGCTTCAATGTATGTGGGATTTGTAATCCCATTCTAGACATAAATAAATAACTGAATCCCCAAGACTGAACTTTTTAGTTCTGAGGAGAGGGGAAGAAGTTAAATCATAATAGCTCCTCTACCAAGTGGCATCAAAGATCATATATCAATATCAATAAAAAACTAGCCAAGTCGTCGAATTAAAATCCTCATCACAACTGAGACAAGGTCGTGACAAAAAAAAGCATGTTCATCTAAGCATTGCACCATGATATGGTATTTCTTAAATTTCGACAACTAATGAAAAAAGGTCGATCACATAAAGATAATAGAGATGACAACAATAAATATTAGATACCACACTCAAGAAAATAATGTATTACTTCCAACATCATATTGAAAACTGGTCTATGATATCACAAGTAATCCATAACAAACGAATCCCTCTGCATTTTCTTTCATTCCAAAAACTTCATCTATGTGTTCATTCCCAATTTCACTTGTCAGTGCTTAATTGATCACAAGCACTTGTGCCAATCGAGAACAGCGCCCCCCCCCCCCCCCCAAAAAAAAAAAAACACACACACTACCGTTTTGCCATTAATTTCTAAAATTGCGCACTACTCATCACTTGAATATTTAATCGAATATGGAATGTTCTGTGATTCAAGAAATTCTTATCTCAAGAATGTTATTCTTCAGAAGATCGGGGTACTAATATCGAGAAACGTAATCATAATCAAACTTTAACTTCGCAACAACACACAAAGGTACGGAGTTATAGTCGTAAAAGACGATTAATTTTTCAAAGCTTTACCCGGACAAGAGTATCGTGCGTTTCCAGCCTCTTCAAGACACGTTTCCTTAACTTGCGGATCGCAGCCTTGTCTTCATCATCATCTGCATATTCCTCTGCTAATTCGTACCTATAATCCAGAATAAGACCAACACTGAGGCTCAAATTTGATATAAATTATCTATACAAGATTTATATAAATTAATATATAATATGTATATCTACGAGAGAGAGAGAGAGAGATGAGCTTACGCCTGAGTAAAAGCTTTAAGGAAGTAGACGTCCTGAGAGATACAACTGAGGAAAGAATCGGAATCCAAACTACCAGATGCCAAGCAAATGACGAAAGGCGAGTACAACGCAAAAACCGATTCGTTATTGAATTTGACCCACAACCTCCTCGCTACGCCGCCTTCATCTTCAACTGCCAACCTTCCCATCTCTCTCTCTTCCTTGACCATCAACAAACAGAGACGATGATCCAAATCGCAGAGACTTCACCAACTGTTCGATCAAAATCAAGAACAAAGTATATAATTCGATTGATTTCAAGAATAGCATTCAAGGATCATATACTTCACAGACTTGGCCCGAGTTGGAATAAACAATATGATATAGAGGAACACAGAGAGAGAGAGAGAGAGAGTTGGTGATTGAATTGTTCTTTACGTTTGATTTCAATATTGGTCCAATTATTCTTGAAAAATAAAAGCGCGTGCGCGAGGAGAGAGAAGTTTTAGAGAGAGAGAGAAAGAAAGGAGTGTGAAGGCGGCCGGCGGTCAACTTAAAGACATAGGAGTCTCGTGAGAGGGAGGAGGAATCGGTGACCGAGTCCAGAGTCAGTCACCAGTTCGGATCAACTGGTACTCTCTCTCTCTCTCTCTCTCTCGCGGAGTCCGTGACAACGAAGAAAGATTGGGAAAAAGTACGCTTGGCGGTCCTACCAATGACGGGCCTCCTCATTGGGCCCAGACAAAGCATTTCCGCGTGTAAGACTGTCAAACGATCCATGGAGCCTGAGGTTCAACTTAGTGTTTTACAATTATCCTGAGTGGAAGAGCATATTGAATTAATAAACGAAAATCAAAATTTTCCATTTTGAAAAAGAAAGGATAAGAGGATGAAAAAATTATTTTTTATGAAAATCATAACCTCAACGTAAATGATATATTTTTAATTAAATTAAAAATAAAATTAATCAAAATATAAATAAGTTAGTCGAAATACCCCACTCTTGCTAAGTTTTAGCAAGGATCTGAATTTTATTTGAACACGAGTTTGTCCAATTATAATTAATCTGTGGATTAACGTATTCTGCCCTTGGACGGAGCAGCGTCTACAACATTCTTTTTTCAAGAACAAAACACCACTGAACTAGACCCAAACATGAATAAAAATACCAAAGAAACATTAGGCCCAAATATGTAGGATCAGCCCGTGTATTTGAGCCCGCTGCTTTTTTCTGAGCCCAATAAATAAACGGACAAGACATTTGAAAGCCCATTTACTGTCTCCCCAGCATTTTTGTTCTGCCACGTGTCCAGCCAAATTGATTTTGGTGGTCAGTAAACAGAGTTAACAGAATTGAATAATTTTTTAATCGTTTTTAAAAGATTCGGTTCGAACATCCGAAAATTTGACTCGTTTATATATGCAAAAAAATTATTAAATTAGTCGGGTTTAGTTCATTTTGAATTTGATTTGGGCTCAACTAATTTTTTAAATTAGTCAAATTAAATAATTTTTTAAGTTCAATTATCAACTCTATTTATATTCTATAGGTCAATATATATATATTTTTTATTATTATTTTGATAAATTATCCATTATTAATGAGTGAAGCGTCTTTCTAAATAATTTTTTTTTACAGATTATTCATCTCCCTTTCTTAAATACATGATAAATGATTGTAAAAGAAATTTTTAAAAATATATGTCAAGAGGGATGTCAAATCTAACATCATCCAATCCTTTGATAATCTCAGCTTTGTCAGCCAGGCGAATGGCTGTCCTTGTTACACACCCACATTCTCCGAACCACACCAACTTCTTATTTCTCTCTCCCTCCCTCTCTCTCCTTACTACAATGGCAACTCTGCATTCTCTTACTTTCTCTTCCCCTGTCTCTCGCTGTCCACACCGACCTCGCTCTGTTCCAGGTACTCTTTTTTCTGATAATGCCTCGGCTTATTTTATTTCAACACTAGGCTTCCAATTACAGTGGGTTCATACATTTTGTTAATTTTTTTTTCTTTTTAATCTCGGTATATAGTGATTTATATAGTAGAAAGAATGAAATGGGCCTTTGAATTTGCGTTACACTCATCAAGAACGTGAGAGAAACAATCAATTGTTCATTGTAAATGTGAATGTATGAGAGGGAAATGGCCTTCCTATATGGTGGGTTTATCATCTTGATCATCAGACAGTAGAACTTTTAGCTAATCTTCAAGTAAACTGCCGGAAGAAATGTCTGATTTTTTCTTTTTCTTTCCTTGTTTGTTGAAATTTCTGTAACAAATTGAATGTTCAAAAAAGAAACATTAACTACAGATAGATGGTTGATGAAAGGCTGATTCCAAGTAATTTTAATCGAGTTTTATTTCTTTTTTTTTTTTTTTTTTAAAAATTGTGTTTCTTGAAATTGGAGGAGAATCATGTTAAGAGTTAATTGACAACCATCAACTCTGAATGTGGGAGTCCCTGCAATTTCCTAGGAAATTTAGGGAGGGTAAAAACATTGGGGGAGCTCATTTAGACAAACCATTTGATCAAATTTATAGGAGTCGGCCGCATGTTACTTCCTTCAAAGCCTCACTGTCCATCAAAATTACAATGCCCCCTCAATCTGCATTGCCTCGGACCACATTGATGTTATATCCTCCTCCATGTTACCCCTTCGACTTGATGAAAATCACTTTGTCTGTTACTCTTCATTCTACATCACTGCAAAATCTATGATATAGAGGTAGTTATGTTTTGGTTACGGAATTAATTATGTTATGTAAAAGACGGATACTTATTAAAAGTTAGAACAAGCCAGGTAAACTCACTCAAAAATCCATACATTGCACTGTTCTTGGTGTTTATGATTACTTCATGATCTGTTGAGTTAGTAAATATTTGGTTTGATATGCCTGATAGCAACTGAATACTTTATGTTGATTATTGTTCAATTGTTCAAAGAATTCCATGCGCAGTATTTTTTCTCAAATGTGGGACTTCACAAGTGACCTTAACAATCTTCCTTTTATGTATGAACCACATTGACTTCATAATATTGAAATTGTAGTAGATTTGTTGCATAAAGTTGAAGTCGGTTATCAAATATAAGTTGCTTCAAAGGGCTAACCGGGTTAGAGCCATAGATAGAGAAAGTGATAAAGAGAGTAACGTTCCCACTAAAACTATGAATCATAGGAGGTCATATCCAGGTAGATTTCATTTCCGAGGTGCAGGACTTTGACCTGAGACTGACTTAAATACCAAGCTTGTGAACTGCACCCCGCTCTATCGAAAGGGAAAGATCTCCAATTTCAATTCCCTTCCACTTCATTTTAAAATAATCATCCACCATAAATTGATGTATGACCCATTATATGCAAGTTAGTTTGCCACCAATACATGGTGGATGGTTGGATTGGGAAAAAAATTTGGAGAGAATTAAGAACTGAATGGCTTTGCCACCCCCCCATTCCTTCTCCAATATGGACCTGAAGAGTTTGAAACATGCATAAAAGATAGTGGGGGATAGATTACAATTAAATTGTTAATTTAATGCCAGAGATGTTTGTTTCACGTTGTATAGGCATGGCATCTAGCATAGTCCATCAGAGCACACGCTCCCAATTCATTGGCCAGCCTTTGTACCTGCTCCGTTCAAGTTGGGCCTCTCAAAGACAAAATTCTCAGATTTCTAGGTTCAGGATAATGATGGTTAAACCAACAATTCAGTTCATTCAGGGAACTGATGAACAGACAATACCAGATGTGAGGCTAACCAAATCGAGGGATGGCACTAATGGTATGGCTATATTCAGCTTTGAACAACCCTCTGTTTTTGACTCATCTGGTGAAGTTGGAGATATCACAGGTTTCTACATGATAGATGAGGAAGGGGTTCTTAATTCAGTTGATGTCAGTGCAAAGTTCGTCAATGGGAAGCCTGCAAGGATTGAAGCAAAGTATGTCATGCGAACTCCACGAGAGTGGGATAGGTTCATGAGATTCATGGAGCGATATGCCAATGTGAATGGCTTGCAGTTCATCAAAAAATGAGGCAATGTGTATCTCTTACCCCTCCATTTTGTCTCGTCTGACACCATTCTTTTTTAGGTCAAATGGAATTGTATAACTTGAGAAACTATGTTGATTCCCATGTCAAACTGATGCAAGTACACTTTACGTCCTTCTCATTTGGATTTCTCTTTGATTTTGAGGTGATATTGAATTCACTTTCTTTGGGTGGTCAAACACTTTACATGTGATTGCTTAGGAGTCATGGACTTGTCTATGTCGTATGTAAAGGGGAAAAAACAGAAAAGCATGGCCTAGACAGCGTAATGCACATTGAAAGACTGACCTAGTTTACAATAGTGTACATGGAGTATTGGCCCGAGGGCATTTACTGAAATTCTTCAAGTCATTGTTCTTCACAGTTCGTGTATGTCTTTGAAATTTTAGAATGATTAGATTTTTGTAATTGTTTTGTATTTTTCATGTATTCTTCCCACAAAGTTTAGTTAAATTTCAATGAAATGATAGCGTTCCTCTTGTTTTCAATTCTGTTAATTTTGATCATGCTCAATCAGTTGTTAAATTTATTGGGTTCTGCTCAATATGATCCATTCATTTATTTTGAAAATTTTGACATATTTTTATTTATCTACAATTATGAGAAACAACCGTACGATGTTTGGTTTTGTTTTGGTTTTGTTTTCACCCGTGAAAAAAGAAACCCTAGAGCATAGTGTCTAAATTATTGGTCTTGTACTAAATGTAGCTTTCACGATGGACAATATGCCTAATTTGAGGAAAAAATATTCAATGCAACGGTGATATCATGTCAACAATGTTGACGTGGTATCATCAACCAATAATAAAATAAGTAGTTGAGTCTTCATTTTCATTTCTTTATGATGAGAGAGCAGACCTTCAATCCTACTGTTCTTTCAAGGAATCCGTCTTTAATGCAACACTTGCTCGAGAGATCTTTGCTTTTCGTTGCGCTCTTTTCCTTTACACTATACACCCGTCTTGCAAACCTCTGCAGCTCAGGAACATGACCACAGTAGAACTCCCACCATACATATGTCTGTACCAAGTGGGCAAGGTGAACTCTATTTGAATAGTTATTTACTTATGTGGAATGTGAGTAGGTAATTATTTATTTACATGAAAGACGGAGTATTAATTTTTGTGGGTTCATTTATTTATTTGTTTTGATATTATTAATTGGTGATATCACGTCAATATTATCACGTAATATTACCGTTGTAATGAATATTTTTTTCAATTTGAGAGAATCACCCAGCTGAGTTATCTTAACATTAGGGTTGAACCTCTTCAACCTTGCCCCCAACTCCCCCAAAAGAAAAAGTCCAACACATGGTACGGCAGCATTTTTCAACACCTATGGGGGATGCTTAGCCATTCAAAGTTGAACCAAAGAGGAAAAGTCCTAGAATATAAACAGCTGCAACCTGGAGGTCACCCACATTGATTTATTTACATAGGTCCATAATCCTCGTACCAATTTTCTTGGTCGACAAAATCCCACATTTCCACTACCAGAAATTAAATACCAATGTTTAATGATGGGCAGCATGAGGAGGCATCCTCCTGCAATGTCCATGAAGAATGTTTTAATTTCAATACTCTAGAAGTAGTTGTTTTTTCCTCCCTCCTAGGAAGATACCAGGCAAATCAAACTTATTATATTCTCAGATGAGATCAACCATTTTTTTTTTTATCAACGAATGCTTAGTTGGGAGTCAATGACAAAATTAAACAAACCCGAACCTAATTATATTCCTTGACAACTAGTGTCGGTTCTTTTAGAATATTCAGCCTACTTGTTTTGACCCCATAATCAAGTGACACAGCCCATAATTAGTATTTTCATTAATTTTTTTAATGCTAAACATCTCTCTCTCTCTCTCTCTCTCTCTCTCTGACACATACACACACATTCGCAGAATAGAAAAGAAAATGAAAAGAATTCCAACCAGACTTCCTCTATATGATACAAGGCATAAGGGGATGCGGTTGTAAAGCTGGTTATTGACAGATAAAATAGGCCTATGAAGGTCCTCTAGTTGGCTTCTTCAATAACTCTAAAAGGAAGCTGAGGGAAGCATACAAAAAATTTCACACAAGTCTTAAAGTAAGTTTTGGGAAGCATACACAAATTTTCACATAGGTTCGTTCCCCTTCCGCAATGAATATCATTTTTCATCTTACCATTCAATTTTAAAGCAAAAAATATTTCATATACTGTCCAAGCTGTGAATTGGAGTCGCCTTCGAAGCAATACATTATACATTCCCATAACGTGATGCAAATGTTAGATCAAAGGAAGAAACAACGCCAGAAGAATTAAAGCAAAATGAAATGGGTGAATTTAAAATCAAGACCCAGTTTCTAAAATAAGAAATCTGTGTAACTTCTCTTATGCTTTCATTGGGAAACAAATTCAACAAATAAATAGAACATGAAAAACCTAATTTTATCAAAAGCTGAAACAAATATTTCTATACTTCTGAATTTAAATAAGATTGTGCTCTTCTAAAGCTAGATGGTATATGCTAAAATGGTTTTCCTAAAAGGAGCCCTGAAATGTTTACCTCCATCAGACCTCTAAATCACAAGGTCTTGTTCTAAGCTCTCCAGCTTGTATGCATTGAGCATCTTCTATCGGTGAACTCATTGACTCCTAGTCATGACCCTTCTCTTTGCTCATTCTTCCAAGAACTTTTGGCTACTTCGGCTGATGAACCATTAGACTCCGCATTACCATTCTTAGGTTTGGAAAAGAAAGGATCCCATTCATGAGGCCCCACCTCACGCTCCCCTTCATCTAACAAGGCATATTTCCAACTCAGCTCCTCGATGAAATTATCATCATGATGACCTTCAATAATGTCTCTTCTCAACTTTGTAACTTTGTCAATAATAGCCTGCACAGATACGTCAAAAGCATCTTTAAGAGTCTCCAATTTAGAGCGAGGATCTGCATATATCAGCCGGGGGATAATATTTATAACCTCCTCCCTCATTATCTTAACCTGATCTGGAGAAATTTGACTGAGCCTCTGCTCAATACTAAAATTCTTCGTACGAACGTCATTCTCTGTAATGAGAACCGAGTACTTTGAATAATTCTTCGGAAGATGCCAAGTATATTGTGTGTAAGCTGAACCAGGATGGAAGAAGACAGGTATGCAACCTGCCAACATTGAGTCAAAAGCCGATCTTCTTGTGTATGAATCGCCTTGAGGCTGTAGGCAGAAAAGGGAGCTCTGGAACATCTGCATTATACTGCTTGGAGAATGACATTTACTCTTCTCCCCAAAATCACATTCCAACAGCTTGCACACCTTGGACTTCTTGCATTGATCAATAATCTGTCCCCTGATTGATTTGGGGTTGTCAGGCCGTGGCGCGCCAGCAAAACAGAAAAGCCACTTTCGCTCCAATTTCCTCATCCGGTCCTGCCAAATGAAAACCTCAGCATCCTTTGCCGGATGGAAGTAGGTGGGATATGGGATACCAAAATCATTTGCATTCCAGGGGCTTGATTCCACCACAAGCATGGACATATTTTTTGCAGCCGGTAAGAACAGAAGCTTGTTACCCCAGTCAGATTCTTCATCTGATAGTCTCCTAAAATCCCATGTTATCCTACCAGCAACAAGAAAATGATCCTTTCCGCCCATTATACTCCACTCCGGCCTCTTCATGAGCCAATTAACCAAATCAAGGGATGCAGCATCCCTTCTTGAGATGTTGTACCCCCAAAGATACCGAGCAATATCAAACCCTGCATAGAAGGGCACAAAAATGGCAGCGGCAAGGGAAGAATCATTGGTCAGGCACTCATACTGTTTCATTCGATTACCAAAGATCACATCAACAGCAAACTGATTCGTCGCATACCATCCAGTATTTGAGAACACTCCTTCAACATTCTCCAACGGTGGACCAAGCCCAGCATTACTAGTGAACTTACACATATTGGTCCAAAGGCTAAGACTCCTGCATTCCTTGAGCATATCCTCATTGAACTTTGGAGGAAGGTCATGAACATAAATGTACTTCCCACCACATGGATCACTCTTGTTCTGTATGGTTCTCAATGCCCTCATAAATGGGTAATTTTTCAATTCACGATGACTACTACTCTGAGGACGACTAGTGGGTGCTGGACGACTAACAGGGGTTGCTTGTGCATAGTTTGGCCCGGGATAGGTCGATTGGGTATTGTTATCGACAGAAAGTTCTGGTCCATGATGAATATTAGTTATTGGACGACTAGTAGTAATGGGACGACTTATGATTGTTAGTGGGGAATTGGTACTAACAGAGATAGGATTCAATGGTGAAGTATGATCGGCATTACTACCTCGAAGGACAACAAAATGGAAATACATTAAAAAGAACCAGAAAAATGCAGTTAACGAAGCTAATAAACAAATTCGGGAATGTTGATTCCTTCCTAGTCCCTTCTCCATATGGTCCACTGGAGGAGTCGCCGGCGAGCGGCGTCTCATCAGATCTCAAAAAATACAATTCAACAGCAGAACGCAACAGCTCCTCAACAAATAACTCATGAAAACAACGTGTCAAACCCTTAAAAATCACCACCCAAAACCTAGATTGACATAGAATTTAAACGTCGTCAAAAGTAACAACCATAACCCTAGTTGCAAATTGTGATAATTGGAAGTAGTTCAGCAATGAGCAGAACAGCTCATGAAAAAAAAAGAATCACCAAACAGCACAGAAAGATTGCAACCTGGACAGTAAACAGGATATATCGGAACCAATGAATCAAATCTGGACGAAGAATACACCGAGTTGCATGAATAGAATTGCACGAATCACGAGAAATCAACCGAATACGGTTCCATCCGTTGCTGATTTTCAGGAAGCAAGATTAAGAGAACATGTTCAGTTGATTTAAGGTATAAATCAACAAACGAATACAGATGGAATAAGGACCTAAAATCACAGCGTTGGAGACAGAGAGAGATTAACGACCGTTTCAACTGTTGAGACTTGAGACAGTGAAACAGAGAGGGGGAGGTAGGGTGTTTTACAGGGGGACGAGGAGGCGTAGTGGTGCGCCAGAGAATTGTTTTAAGGATAAATTACACTTGCACCTCCTAAGATTTGTTACTAAATCACATAGATCCCCTCAGGTATAAATAATTACACCGACACCCCTGTCAGTAACCACCCGCTAACAGAAGCTAGAAAATGACTATGTTACCCTTTGATATCATCAACCTGACTGACCCAGACCCAAATATCACGCTGAGAGAGAGGGATGGAGAAGTTTGTGGTGGGCGTAAATATTGTGTGTGTTTGTGTCTGGTTGACGGTGGTGAAGGCAGCCATAGTTTCTGGTGTATTCAACAGTAGAGTCGATGATGAATTTGGGATGAGGTCAATTAAGCTGATTTGTGAGGTTAAATGATGAAGGGATATTACTTGAATTAGGGATAATGATGTTAACCAACTTGATAATTGGATGTTAATTAGCTCTATTAATGGGTCATTCAAATTAATTAGTGAGTTAAATTACTTGAATTTATTTAATAAAAGAATGATGGCAATTACAGAAAATTATTGGGTTTTATAGTACTTTATTTTTTATTGTGGTGGATTGCGGCATGGATAGTTTTGAGAATGTGTTGATAAAAACAATGTTGATGTCATTATTTTTTGACGATTTTTTAACGGATCTTAGCAACATGAGTTATGTGTTATACAAAACCAATCGTCAAGGGAATACAGTGTTATTTTTCATATTTGAGAGGATCTGCGTGATTAAATAACAAATTTCAAGGATCTCCATATAATTCACCTTTATTTTTAATTATTTAGGATAAATTTCATCCAGATCCCATAACATTTGACAAAATAACAGACACCTCCTGACATTACAAAAATTGTACGACAATCCCTCACCGGCTTTAAAAGTGCTCGACATTAACAGAAGTAGTAAAATGACAATTTTAACCTTTTGACTTAGTTTGAAATAAACAAAAAATAAGTTAAATATATGTCTAAAAAAACATCATTTTCTCTTTTGTCTCTGTCTCTCGTGTTTGAAATGTTTCAGAACGTCAAATAGGTGATGCTCGTGGCAAACATGGTTTCTCCTTTACCTAGAACATGAGCACTGATACACGTCTTTCATTGCTCCAACACTAGTTTATCCTCCCCAACACTTTGAATCCGAAGTTTTATTTGTGCCCTAGTTATTCTGATTTGTTTTAACAGGTGAAACAGTAGTGATTTGTATGTCTCTGATTTTATTGATCTTGAAGACAAACAAAAACATAGAAGAAAGAAGCGAGGGAGGAGGTTGTGCGGTGGAGATGGGTGAAGGTGGGTCATGCAACGTAGGGATCGGTGGAGGGAGGGGCTATGCAGTGACCCTATTGATAATGGAGGTTTATGGTGACAGTGGGGTGATTTTGGGGATGGTCAATAGTGACGGTGGTGAGACAATTTTATTAACAAACAATTAGAGGTGATTAATTATATTTAGTTGAAATTTAGTAATAAAAAAAAAGATTTAATTTGAGACATAATTTTAGTAACATACAATTAAAGAAAAATAATTAAATTTAGCATAAACAGGAGTGTTTCTGTTGCATGTTGTAAACGTCAGGGGACTGTCGTGTAATTTTTGTAATGTCAAGGAGTATTCGTGCTATTTCGTCAAATGTAAGGGGTGTATGGGTGAGATTTATCCCATTATTTATTAAATTTCTTTCGTCTAACGTAATAGTCTTATTGTATTGTTTTATTGTCATTTTGAACTTGTTGTCGGTAGCAGCTGGATTTGGTGCCACGTTTGACGGTGGGATGGCGACCCTTCTAAAATCACGATCAGGATTGATTGAAGCCGTCCACATGAGTTTTATTCCAATTACCACAAGTAGGGCCGTTAATTTAGGACAACAATAAAAGTCGTGCTATTCTGTTATTTTTTTTTAAGTATAAGTTGGTTTTTATTTTTAATTTAATGAAAATAATTTTGATAAACAATGATGCTTGGATTTTGATAAGATGTAAAATCAAATATGCCTAATAATTCTATACAAAATCTGTGAATTCAATGCAAAAAATCAATGGGTGCGAGTTAAGTTGAAATAGATTCGAGTAATATGGATTCAATTAAACATCAAATCAATCTGATCAAACACGATGCATACATTACATAACAAGAACTACTACCATGATCCGATAATAAATTAGTCAGATCCAAATCATTAGGGACCATTTTCGCGTGAGTTTGAAAATGGGGGACTATTTACGCGTTTGCGTCTGAGATTTAGATACCTAAGGCCGTAGATTTGCGCATTAACCTAGGAAGAATGTGGGTACATTGGACACATGGGGATGGGGGGTTCTTCTGTCCGGGGGTTGGGCATCATACGCTGTAAAAAAGGAGAAAGAGAGGCTAACCACTAACCTGTTCGTGATCGCACGATCGATCTGGCTTTGTAGGACCTTCTTAACTCTTCATAGATCTGAATCTGGCCTCCTTTTTTTTTTTTTGAAGAGATCCGAATTTAAACACTGAAAGTAGAATTTTATATACGAAAATGAACCAAAGACGGCCATTAATCCCATCCAACTAGGCTGGTCAATCATATCGAGTAAAGTGTGTATTCGTATTAAAACAGATTCGTGTCAAAAAAACACTCCACACATACCTAATTCATTTATTAATTTACGTTTAATAAATCGTATCATATTTTATATTTCTTTTGATTGCCTTCACTCATACCCAATTTATTTGTTAATTATATCGTGTCATGTTTTGTAAATTCTACTCGTTTACAAAACCAGTGACTTAAAAAGAAAACTCAAATCATCTATCTAACTTCGTATTGTATTCATGTCGTACAAACAAATTGTATCATATTTTAACATCCCTACATCGAATCGAACAAAATTTCTGTTGATTATCAACCAACAGGGAAGTTTTGTAACCTTGACCCCATTGATCAATAGCCATTTTATGATGTAAAATCAGCATATCTATTGCTATTCTATTGTAATAATGTAACGAATAATCTAAGATACTGTCAGTTAAGTTTTCAATACATAAACGGCCAGTGAATATATTATGAGCTATTCCATTTTAAATTGAAATTGATGGATCAAAGAAACAAATACAAACTGATTCCTCCAGTTTGATAATAAACCCAAGGCTTGAGAACCAGCCAATACAAATCACCTGCCTACTTTTAAGAACAAGGGACCCCAATATTTCTCAGAATTATACACACATGAAATCATTGAAGACTCCATTCTTTATTCCTTCCTAGTTTGTCTCAGCAGCAAAAGGCCGCTTCCGAAACCTAATTTTGAAAGCTAAACTGATTAGTACGAGGATCAGAGTAGCACCCCGCTTCTAAGATCACCACATGATAGCCAAGGAATATGGAAGGAAACACAAGGCTGATACTTGCAGTCTGTGTGGTACATTAAACATAAAGGTCAAAAATCCATACCTGTTTCAAAGTTCCCAACCAGATGACCAAAGGACAAGATCAAAAATCCAAAGAACCTCAGGGCCACGACTCTGGAGATACTCTTTCACTGACTGTAGAACCATATTGTGGCCCACCTTTACGATATTGTATAAGAAACTCAACTGGATATCCCTGCAGCTTATGCGGGACAAGCTCAAGATCATCAAAAGTCAAAGCTGAAAAATCAGAAGAAATTTGAAAGGTCAAAAGGCATGCAAGAGCCACAGTGATAATGTAATGGCAAAGAATATTTTCAGAGGAACGAATAACTAGATCCTTGAACTAGTTTCCCATACCATCTCCCGACACGACTGTATCTATGGAAAATGCTTCGATGAGATCCAGATTGAATATTGTCGGAGTGGGCATTGGAAAGGGAACTTTTTTAAGCACTATTTCTCGAGGCATTGAAATCGCCTGAAATCATACACATGGAGATGCAATTATAAAGTAGCTCAACACTTGAACTCTTTCACTACTGACCAGCCACTTTCGTGCTTGCAAATAACACAAAAATGCCAATAGCAACAAAGATGTGACAACCAAAATTAGGGTTAGGGCTCATTGGTGCACCATAACCAAAGAGGCCTACCTTAAAAAAAAAATAGCATGCACACGTGCAGTAAGGTACCAGCAGGTTGCAAACTTGGGTGGCTCCGGTATATGCTAAACAGAGAACCCTTTTTTGGTGTTGATGTACAAAAAAGGCATTTGATAGGAAGAAGAAAATTTTTTGTTCATTTTCTTTAACAAGTTGGACAGAAAAAGCATTTCTTTATTTCCACGACTGAATTCTTAATAAATGATCCTCATGTCATTATGAGAATGTAACATACACATTTGAGTAAACACGGCAGTATCATAAATTAGGGTGATGTATTAGAACACATAAATTTGACACCAAAATTAGATTTACATAGATCAGCAATGCTAATGAAAGTATTTGAATTTCTGATACTTTGGCTTAGCAGTCAAAAACAGGTTGTCTAACAGAACAGTTGACACATTAAAACCAAGGCTATTTCTTTCACATTCAGGTGAGTCAATACTTGCTTTTCATTTTGGATAAAGGCATTATAACAAAATTTTCATTTATATAATTGAAGGATCACAAAACTGAATTTACATAAGTCCATTTATTCACTAATTTTGCAGTTTAAATACAAGTCTTGCTTTCTAATGGAGACAATCAGGGTCGTTGGTCTCAAATTGTTAAGAAATTGGACCCTTGAAGTTTGAAAACCTGAGGCTGGTGAATTCACCAGAAGCCCTCTTCAGTTGATACAGTAACACACCAAGAAAAAGCCTATTTTATAAGAGAGGATAGGGCGGCTGCCCCAAAGAGCAGAAAAGAAATAAAGTTAAAGCTGAGTTAAGAAAACATCCACATGGACATACACCTAAGTTCACACAACTTCCAAATTCTCCTAGATATTACAGTTCATAAATTTACCTTGGCAATAGGAAAAGGAATTTTCACATAGCGAGGCCATTCACGGATCATGTCATACATCAGCTCTGCCTGCATTGCACTCGAAATTCAGCAACAAAACCAATCTGAATGCAACAACATGGTAAGTTAAAAAAGAAAGAGAAAAGCGAAAAGAAATCACCAATTGATGCATCGTAAAGATCTCTGGTCCGCCTAGTTCATAAGTTTTTCCCATGCTGGTGCCATCATCTTTCAATGCCGCCACAACGGCAGAAGCAACATCAACAACATATACAGGTTGGATTCTGCATTGAAACTGTTGTTAGAAACGATCATTGAAGGTTCAGCAAAACAATTAATCAGATAGTTCATATTCATCCAATCTGTATTAAATCAAGATAGTAAATTGATTGAAACCATACTTCGTAGATCCATCCCCGAAAAGAGGAAGAAAGCTATATTTTTTTGCAAAATGTGCCCATGGATTTAGAATCCGATCCTCCGTGCCAATCATCACCGCAGGTTTCAAAATTGTGGCCTGACGATGGGAGTATACATCAGTTACTCCAGATTTAAGACACCAATGTAGCATACAACAATAAAGATGGGGTGATGTGGGGCGGGGGAAGCAAAGTAAAGGTTTTGTATTTTGCATCACTCAAACATAAGCACTTTCAATTAACATTAAAACTACATAAAAACTACTGACAGATGCCAAAATATTTAAGCCACAAGGATTCAACCTTCAGATTCTTTGTGGCTAAAATTACATTTTTTAGATCACCTGAATCAACCAGAAAACAACAACATTCTTTTTTATCTTCACATTAAAACAATCATAATACAAAACATATAAAACACTCTTTTGGCTGATAGGATATGTACAAAAGCATGCAGAATCAGCAATTGCAACCCAAAATTGAAGGCCTCTGTAGAAGATAAGTGAGAAAGAGGCCAACTATAGAATCTTGCTTTAAAAATTCACTCGGATTTGGTTCAGCACCAAGAAGAAAATGATTGTACTTCTTCAGTGGTCATCAAGTTGTAGTGTTATACGTCCAAGCAAGCAAAAATAAATAAATAAATAAGCACTAGAGATTTATCAAGGTGTTGCAAGGAAGTTTGAAAAAGTAGCACTCAATGAGGTGATGGTCAAACACTTTGACAATGACGAGTAAACTAACAATGAAAAAGACAAACTGCTACCATATACGGAAACCAGCGAAAATGAATATATTTAACAAAAGAAGAAAACCAGAAAGAATCCATTTGAAAACATAATAGAGAGCCATCCCAAGATAATTCACAATATTCTAGCCTTATAGGCTTGCAAGCAAGACAAGGCGGAGGACTAAATTTTGTCTAGGTCCAAAAATTAATGCAGATGCAGTAACTATACTTGTAACAAGTTTGGATTCAGGATATTCGGGATTGCTCACTCAATGTCTCAGATATTTGCTCCTACCAAATCATCAGGTGAAGAGCTCGCTTCTTTACATTCCATTGTTAACGGAAAATGCCTCATATTTCTAAAGTGTAAGCAAAAACACACACCCTTAACCAAGAAGGGTGCACATCATAGTTATAATCATCATAATGACAATTATTTTCTACACCCAAACATTAAGAAATTGAGTTGTACTGATGACCAAGCTCCAAACCAATATATTACTTCATCTTTTTCATTTTTCTCTATTGTCTCTTCGTTTTTAAGATAATGACATATAGCTGCATTCTTTCAAATTCAGTGGTATCAATACTTTCTCTTTTCTCATAACCAAAAACCCATTAAACCATGCAAGAAAGTGGGATGAATCCCGAGTTGTGCCGTACACAAAGAAAACCAATTTTGTTATGATAAGAGAGCAAAATCGTGATCAGCATTAGCAGGTCAGTATCAAGAAAGACAAAGACTATGGTATCAATAAAAAAGTGTAACTCACCTCAGGTAGCTCTCGTAATATAGCTTCCTCAGCAGCAGCTTTGGATCTAAGCATTTTGGATGGAGATGATGGTGATGCTCCTAAGCAAGAAACTTGCACAAATCTCATGATACCACCATGTTCTTTGGAAATCTGAACATGTAAAATATAAAAATTACCGACAAAATTAATCCCAGTTAAGAATGAAGTCAAAAAAGTGAACAAAGGAAAAAGGAGGCCAGTAACTTAAGCAATATGATGATAGCAAATGTTGCAGATTTTATGGCTGTTAAAAGTAATATGCTGGCAAAGTACAAAGACAATAGAGACCAGTGGCCACCATATCCACAATGGTGCTATTCAGAGAAATGTTTCCTCTCCCATCTCCACAGCGCCAGCACATAATCAATATAGACAGCATGGTCTGTCATTTTTTATCCCATGTTACCTTCACATGTGTGCAAGCCATGTCATTTAATCCTAAGGGTGGACCAATTAAAGTTAGAGTTTCGGCCCTCTTTTATGGTTGTCCAACATTTTATTCTTAGAATAATCAATGTAACATCTCCTGATTCCATAGGTTGGAGCTGTCAACCAGGCCTACAGCATAGTCTTGACTCGGGCACATCTTAGCTCTGGATTGAGATCTTCTTTTGGTTGCCTTGAAAAACGTCTAGATCTCATGTGGAAGAAATGGAAAATAGCATGAAGAAGCTTTGTTTCCTATGGATTGACCATATTTTGGTGCCCTTTGACATCTTGCAACCATATTTGAGAACAAGACGAGTGCATGTACTATGAGCTTCTAATACTATGCACCTCTGCTGAGGCATTAGGCAAGATTTTACTGCTCATCAATGATGCACACAAAAAAACCTATCCAACAGACAGAAATTCCAGGTATATCATAGTCAAATAAAAAAGAAAATGTAAGGATAGGGACCCACCATTGCAAGCTGTTCAGCCATATAATGGTTCACTTCCTCAAAGCTATAGTTTCTAGTCTCATATTCCCTTCCTGCCAATCAGGTAGTTTATGTGTACAACCATTGCAATGACAGCAAGCTTACAGAGTCTTCATGGGTATAACAGTGATGACCATAAAACACATACCAATAAGATTGATAACAACATTAGCCTTTGCCAGCACTGCCTTGATTGAATTTTCATCGCGTGGGTTGTATTTCATTGGAACAATCTACATAAAGGAAGTAAAGAAAATATGAATTTAGAGATGACAAATGCTGCAGGCATTTCATTCAATTAGACACCATGAATCTAATGTGGATGGGATAAAGAGTTGTCTTCATCTTACCTGCCCTAAATCACCCATCAATTTGAGATGACGATGAGAATCATCAGAACCTCGGAAGGGAACCAACACTTGAGATCCCATTTTAGCTGAGCAAAAGAACAACATAAGGATGTACATGGGTTACAAAGGTGACCCTTTGACAAAAGAAATAAGTTTAGGATAACAGAGTTCTATTGCCCTACTCTCCTGCTATAAAAGTTCCTAGTCAGAACACAGAAGAATTTCAAATAATATCATTCAATTAGCAGCAACATGAAGTATGCTGTCAACTCATAGATTTATCTAAATACATATTCAAGCTCTGAAATTCTAAAATGACAGATTTAGGAAGTGGAATCAAATCCAAATTCTTGTCATTTCAATTCATTAATCCAAAAGCAACCTAAGTGAATATAAGCAACCGACAAATGTGGTATGCTCAAGCGAATGATGCAACAAATCCCAAGTAAAAGAAGAGGTTAACATTCGGCTCACCAAGCTGTTGCACAAGATAACGCCCAAGAAACCCAGTAGCTCCAAATACTGCAGCAACAATGCCACTGCCAGAGAATAATTTCAACTTTCATTGTAAACATCCTTAACAAATAAACATGGAAACCAACCCCATAAAAATGGGGCGACGATTTGTTGATCGTGTTTAGCAAACCCGTATCAGGTTGACGAAACTAACCATTCAGACCTAAATTACTTGCCAACATTTCAGTTAATTACTACGTATGGTGAAAGTAAGGAAATCAATATGAACCCTCTAAAGCCATGCCTTTATAAAGCACTAAAAAGATAATTACTGGAAGCACAGACCAAAAATAACAGCACAGCCAACGAGAGTGAGGAACCTAGTATTGTGATAATATGAGCTGAAGTTACAGCTCCAGTCTGATTACATTAGAGTTCCAGTAAATAGTAAAGTTATTACGCATTCAAAGCAAAACCTAAGATCAAAATTTACCTGAGAAAAACATGATTATTATGATTGAAGAATGGTGTTACCTAACAGATGATCTTCCACCAGTGCCTTTGCGAACTAGATGTCCCACACCTTTAGTGGTAAGGGTAGATGCGTACCTCGGATGATCCGCACCATAATCTGCCCTCATAAATTTCACAAAAAAAACAAAATTAACATAGTAAAATCCCTACGAAATAAATAAATGCAGAGACATGTTGTATATCCCCAGAATGTAGAAAAGAAGATGGATTACAATGATCAGAGAGTGGATAGATGGATTTGAGAGAGAAAATCGAAGGTGAGGGTTTCAAAATTTGGTGCCCTAATCGTCTCGAAACAGCCTGCATCGTGCTTCTCCGTCAGAGAAGAGAGAGAAAAGTGCCTGCGACTTGAGAAACAAGGGTGTAGATGGTGACGAGTTCTAACTTACGCGTCGGGTGTATACTGTACAGTGATCGTCACGAGAATTCGGCTCCTAGTTTTCTTTTCTTTTTTTTTTTTTCGGTTTAATTAGCGAAAAACACAAGATCAGTTAATACTTTCTTTTTCTTTTTTTTCTTTTGAGGATAAGAAGAAGTCTTTTTTTTTCTTTTTCTTTGTTTCTTTTGAGGATAATAAGAATACTTTTTTTTTTTCATATTACATTCTCCATTTTGTTGCATATTGGTTTTGGTTTTGAGTATGGTTGTAATTGTTAATATACCATTTTGTCAATCTAATATAAAAAGACCAATAAAAAATTACATATATATATATTGGAATTTAATCAATTTAAAGTATAATTAAGTTTATTGGTCAAACTTGACTTATATTATTTAGGCATTAGCAATAATTTCGTATATGAAAACACACTATAATACCAAAAATAGAGTGATGATACACAAAATAGTCTCGGTGTATGATAATGTGTAATTAATAGATAATAAATGAAACAATCAATGACAGTAATGTAAAAATTAAGTCAACACATATATATATATAGTGGTTCGATCCGAATGAACTACTTTACTCTAAAAAACGACAACGGCACCAAAGGGTCTTTATTGATGAAGTAAGGTAAACGAGAGAGATAGAGCATTGGTTAGCTACGAAAGAGATACAATAGTTAGAAGAAAGAAAAATTATGTGTGCAGAGGGGTGTAAAGGTAAAGCTCGATGTGTCACCTCGTATAGAGAATACTTACAAATTATAGACACATGGCCTTGGTTAAGGCAATGATTTGAGCGCAAATGTACTAATTTTTCGAGTGTCTACAAACGGTAATTGTCATAAAAGATTATTTTGATATTCAAAAGGGAGTATCCCGATAATTGCTTCCTATGTGCTCTAATTTTTTCTTGGACTCCCTAGAACTTGGGCTGGGTCGAATTTGTGAACTGGACTTGATTTGTCTTTTGGCTAATTTATGCTTTCTTGATTTATTGGGCCTAGTATAATTAGATTTGGGCTCATCATAGAACATTGATCATACAATTTTGATATTTTAAATCATAAATTCTTTTTCTATTCTTTATTATGTAATTTAAAAATTAAATTAACCAAAAAAAGAGAGATAGGTTGTTTGATATTGAGAAGTGCATAGAGAAAATAATATTTTTTGAGTAGGAAAAAAAATTGAGGATAAAATTTATACTAATAGATTAAAATACATAAAAATTAGATCAATCTCAACGTCGTTGTGTTTTTATAAGTTGAAAATTCAACTTTCTTAACTATGATGTTAGATATAGATAAATATTTAATATTTTTTTCAAATACGAGAATAAGTGTACACCGTATATATAACATGTCGAAATTACTATCAACAAATGAATGGGCGGGATAAAATAGATTATACAATTTAGTACCTAAAATAGATAATTTTTTTGTATTTTTTTTTTAGGTCATACTGCTTATAATTTTAGCCTATTTTAAAATGTCCGGCACCTAACAGGAGAGGAAACTGAAAAAAAAAACATAATTAGTGAAATTTGACGGACCTGAGAATGGGTAACTCCTAAATAATTCAAATAAATTCAACCCCTTATTCTTGAGACAACTAAGTTATATTGTTCATACTAAATTAGGACAGTGTTTTCGAATATTACATATGTAATACAAAAGCATGCAACACGCAAGCAAATAATAACGAAATTATGATAAAGCAATCTAAAGAAGCTTAAAGTTTTAAAGCAATACAAGTGATCATAAACCCAAGTAGAGTATGGAGAAGTACATAATTGAACCTAAAATAATCATGAGAAAATACATTCTCAAGAACCATATTCACCATGCATGGAGGTATTTCACAACAGTTGCTTATGTTCAGAAACACAAAACCAGAGGGAGATCAAAGTCCCACAAATCTCTGCTCAAATAACAGTTGAACCCAAGTGTTATTATGAATGCCAACAGACTCTTCCCACTGACAGGATTGTAACTAAGATTATATTAAGAGGGTAATGCAAAAACAACCAAGATATCAGGAAAGAGTGACATGGAAAAGCAAAGGAATTAGTTCTAACATTTGTGGAGTATATACTTGTTCAGATGGAACAGTGGAACAAACACTGGCTAAAACAACAAAACTGTAACAAAATTAGAACACCTGCTCTTCAAAGAAAACTTAAAACCTATTCTATTGTTATCGCCAAATACAAATCGCTGCCCAACATTTTGGTGTAATTATTGACAATCCCATCTCCACCAACTTATTTCATGTTACAGATTATGCCAGCAATTCTTGAATTCTCGAATTATGCTAAAAAGGGAAAAGAATTATCCCAGAGCCACTTGAGGTTGAAACTACTTCCCTTCTTATAGGGGAGTAAATTTGATAACGTGCCACACACCTCTTTCCTTCTCATTCCTCTTATGCCGAATGAAGCAGCAGCAAGAGGGAGCAGCATCAGTCAATTTGGTTTTCAGGATAGTCCTCTGCCTCCTGGCTCTCAGGTTGAAAATATCACGCGTGTCATTCAATTTAGATATCAGGTATGCCACTAGACCTTGATGAGTATTCTGTTACCAACTTCAAGAACATGGAGTACTTGTCCTCTAATAGTCGTTGCGGAGTATCAAACTCTGCAACTCGGCCTGCAAAAAATTTCAAAGCTCACTAAACCATACATAACAGATAATTATACCTGAATATAACCTCCGGACTTCAACAAGACACAGAAGCTTTCTAGATGCAAGGATTTAAGGATGAATTGTGGCATCAATGCCGTCCCAATCAATATCATAATAAACCCCCAAAACTCACTTCAATGAATGACAATTGAAAAAAGCATTATGCAATACAGGCAGCAGCAACCCTGATACCTTAGCATTTGGCAAACAAGAGAACAGAAAAAGGAAGTATCGAAAAAAGCACCACAAAATACTCCTAATAAAACAAGTAATGCCTAAACCATAACATCCCCAGTTCGAATTATGTCACAACTTTCATGTTGCCAGCAATCAATAGAATCCAACAAACAATTTCTTGCTTTTCTTAAAAGAACCATTTTGACAAAAAATTAAGAACCATGAATGGAGTCCTTTCTATTGCCAATACTTACAACTGAGATAGTCATACATATACACACAAAAATGCTCTGAGGATAAACTAGAAATTCTTAAGTAAAGCAGGTCAATAATGCCCATCAACGTGACTATGGTTTTTAAGAGCAGAGGACGAGTCAGTGTCATCCATGACTTATCCAACAAATTCTTATCCCTTCCATTCTACTGCATCTCTCTCTCTCTCTTGGAATTTTGAATTCCAAATGCGAACACATCAAAATTAATAGCATTTCAAGGCATTTAAATAATCATGTGACTAATGCTCTTCATTTGAAGGCATGGAATATTATAGTAACACAAGAGTACTACTTAAAAGTACTTCTAAATTAAAGAAATACGCAAAATTATTACAGTACTCACCATCACTGAGGACCAGAACCAGGTCGCTGTCAATAACAGTTGGGATACGATGAGCAATGGTACAAACAGTGCAGTCATTAAACTCTGTCCGGATAATCTTCTGGATAAGATTATCTGTGGCTGAATCAACTGAGGCCGTAGCTTCATCAAGCACTAGAATTCTTGCCTGTTTGAGTAAGGCCCGACCCAGGGAAACAAGCTGCCGTTGTCCCACGCTCCAATTATCTCCATTTTCACGAACTGCCAATTTCAGATCACATGCAAAATATTTATTAGACACAGAAAAGCATTAAACAGAAAGGTTCCCCAGGTATGTAATATTAACAGTTTGTCATAATATTATCCTGTAGCATACATACCTGGTGTGTCGAGTTTTTTCTCTTTTCGGCGAACAGTCTCTCCAAGCTGAGACTTGTCAAGAGCCTGTGCCAGAGAAAAGTGCAAATTGAAGACCCATAGAATTAGTCAGCTTGGGGAATGGTACTAACTAGGATTAGTTGTGGAAAGATTCAAAAAGGTAAAAAAAATGAAACAACTTATATAAGGAAATGAGAAAATACAAAATAATTTCAGAATTATTTGACGAGTAATTTGGGATAGCCAGAATATTTGCCAGACACTTGGGTTCGGATTTTTTTTTTTTTGTGTTCCAAGACATATATATAAGCATTAAAAAATTTATAGATAAAAATGGTTAAATAGGGGTAATTTACAATTTTTCCTTTATTTTTACAGTTTGGTTTGGAATTTTTGAACCCCAAAGAAATGAATCCAATGCCCCATGCATGTGAGTGTGCCTAGATGAAGAAAGAAGAGGGTATGCAAGTTGAAATTAACCTGCCAAATTTCTTGATCTGAATGCTCCCCAAGGGGATCAAGGTTGTCCCTAATGGTCCCTTCAAATAGGGTTGGATCTTGAGGAATGATACTCAGACGGCTGCGAAGGTCATGAAGACCAATGGTTGTAATATCTATGTTGTCTATGATAATTCTGCCACCAGCTGGTTCAATCAATCGGAACAGTGCCTGAATCAAAGTAGATTTACCACTTCCAGTACGCCCGACGATTCCTATCTTCTTCCCCCCTGGAAATGAACAAGTTACACCATGGAGCACCACAGGAAGATTCTCCTTGTACCGAACCTAAATAGAACATGATAGTAGTCAGAATAATTTTGGTAGCCAGTGGTCATAATAACAGTTTATAGCCAAAGTTGAGACGGTTCAATGTGAACCAATCTTCTTAATTAACAAGGAAGTAAAGGTCATCCTATAGTCTCGCCCATCCCCACCCTTGTTTTCTTTGGGACAAAATATTCAAAAGGTACTATTCCACTGCTGAAGAAAAAAGGGAGTGTAAGCTGAATACCAACTTCAGCTTTTCAGAGGACGGCATTTTACTCACGTTGGTAGTGCTTCCATGAACCAGCGGTGCTGTATTAAAAGACAAGGGGAAAAAGAAAAGATGACAAGGGAGCTACCTTAATCTTACTTCCCCTTTGTTATTGTTTCGTGGGGGAGAGAAAAAAAGGGGGGGGGGGGGGGCTGTTTAAAGTTAGAACAGTGAAATGTTTGAGATAAAACTCTTTACAGTACTTATTATCAAACTTTTTGATGCCTCAAATCTTGCTCACTGGACATTTTGATATTAAATTTAAATAAATATACAAGATAAGTTTTGTGTGCTAACTGAAATATAAGCCAAGGTCAATCACAATCTTCATGAATGTCTGGCTTCAGGCGAAAAGGGTTCTTCTTTTAAAGAGCAAACCAGGACTGAGTCGAAAGGGCTAAAAAATGTAGAGCAAATGCCTTTGCAATCTGGATGCAAGGTGATGATGTCATTTCCTGCTGTAAAATAGGATTAGGGATGACATGGTTCATCAGATGGACTCAGAAAAATGGTATACCATATATCACCTGTGCATGATTGGCACGTTAAAGGTGAATTCCCACCCCCCAAAAAAAAAAAAAAAAACTCAGAAGTATATAGAGAAAAGATGTGTCTTGAGTGGTGGATTTGACTAGATGAGATAATAGCGTGTCTAACCAACAGGACACCTGATTTTAGAAGCAGAATCAACACATGCAGGCAAGCAAAAAAGAATCACATACCTTCAACTCAATCAGATCTATTGCTCCTTTCTCTGGCCATAAGGGAGGGGGACGAGAATCCACAATAACTGGTGGAGCTTCACTGGGGATTTGACAGTATTGATGAATCCTTTCTATGGAAATAATTTTGTTTTCAAGCTTGCAAAAGCTAAGTATCCACCGTGATAGACGCGCATTCAAATTAAGTCCATATGTCACAGCAAGGCCTGCCATACCTGTAATGGACACAACACATTTGTTTAGAAACATCAGCATGATTAAGGTTTTCAACATCATTTGAACCTTCCCAAAATTAGTTTACCGATCTAATGTCACAAATCTGCTCCTCCAGTCGAATCATCTTAACATTTTGCTATGGTGCAATTGTAACAGCTATTTTACAAAATTTTACAAAACAGTTGTGTCCAAGCTATAACAACTCTAATAATTTTTTGACATACTTACTCGGATCAATAGTTCCATGTGGGAAGCTGACAAGTAAAACCATGCAGAAAGCAAATACAAATGTTGAGAGTAACTCCATACGAAGGCAGAGCCATTCAATAGCTGCAATACTGCAGAAAAATGGACGGGCAAAACAGTCTAGAAGATAGAGGTTCCTCTTCATGAATCTCTTTTCTTGGCCAAATCCTCTTATTGTGGCTGCTCCAGCGATTGACTCCCCAAAAAGATGGATGATTGGCGATTTCTGAATGCTAACAATGCGAACCAGTTCCCTTGACGAAGCCATGTAGTATTTCTGCATAAATTTATTATTGTATGAAGTTCAGTTGTTCGTTACACAAAATCGAAAATAAACTCCCATGCAGAGATGTTAAAAAAAAGGCTTAGAAATTCTGTTCAGAAGGAATGAAGAGGGTAATGTGTGTTTTAAGAAAGTTGAAAGAAATAATGTTCAAAGCAGTGGATATAGTTCTAAATTGTTTGGAACATGGACAATCTTAAGCCAACTAATGCGCAAAGAAACAGTAATCAGCACTGGGGCAACCAAGGACAAACTCCACTCACCCACTGAGTGGATTTTTGTCACTCTTCCAGAAAGAGGCAACACAAAACTTACATAGATGTGCACAAAGCAATATATAAGAACTTTTGCTGCTGCTGATGACATATGTTAGGGGTAGTAATCAATTCAGTCTTACTTACCACAATATAACAATTAGAACAAATGACATATTTTTGAAGAAAAAGTCCACAGCAATCTCTCGTTTGCATCATAGAAGAACTTTGCTTACTTCTGGAGCAAAATTGCCTCTATTTTGTACTCTGGAATACTAAACAAAGAATATTTTACTGCAACGGCCTTTCAAATTTTAAAAATATACATAGGATATTTGCTTACTTGGGTAATTTTCTAGGCTGATGAACCACATTCTTTCCTTCTCAACTTAGCCCACTAAGGGTCAAACCAGTAACTATGCTGATTGTATTTAATTATTTAAAAACCCTCAAGATTATATGTTCCAACCATGCATAGTGTAATTTGAAGGAGAAAATATCAGTTTGTCCACATATCTAACATACAGAGTTTGTAGCTTTAGGTTAGTCCATGCAAAGTTACACTAGAAATTGTTTCTGAAATTTTTCAGAAAGAGGACTAATGGTATGCTTAAAACCTTCTCTGATCAACGCAGGAGTGGCGAATAAAGAAGTAGTGACAATTGTGGTGTTCGCATGTATAATAATACAGGTATCCTTCATAATTTTCTTTCAAAAAGCAATTAATATGTACATGAAATAGGGATATTCATTAACAAATTAGTATTGTCACATATGAACTTAGAAGTAGCATCAGATGTGATAATGAACTGTAGCCCTCTCAAAGAATACGTGTATTTAATATTTTAGAGTTGCTCGTGTAAAGCGATGGATTCAATTTGCTGATGACAGAAAAAATGCCACAAAAATAAAAGCAATTACATATTAACAGCACAGGACTGCAAAAAGTTGCAGATACACAAAGAAGTACACACGCAGAGAGTTTCATAAAACTGGTGACTAAATTCAGACCCAGACATCTAGTGCAAAAACCTGGTGAGGTTAGTACTTTGAACATGCATCATGCTCTGAATGAACAAACATACTGTTAGTTTATGAATTTAACATAAAGATTGTAAATCACCTGCATCCACAAGCAAGCAATCGCCATAGGTACAACAAGTAGCAAGACTTGCCAGGTAACTTGTGTCATTACACCAACTATACCAAGAAGCTGGATTGTGGTTGAAGCAAACCCACCAAGTCTAAAAGGAATATCAAGATCAACAACACTTTGATCAACTGATACCTGGTATATCACAAACAAACTGCTACAATGAATAACTTAACATTAGAAAATGAAATTAAGAAAAGAATCACAAAATTCACTGTTTAAATGCCAAGAGTAGTTTTGCCAGTGCTAATATATAACATACACGATTCAAAATCCGCCCTGCAGGAGTAGTATCAAAGAACGACATTGGCGCTCGAAACACAGTTGTAAGCATTTTCAAAAACAATTTCTGAGCAGCCGCTAAACCAAATGTAGCTACCAGAACAGCCCTAACAAATATGAACCAAGAGCTTCCAAAAGCGAGGGCCATATAAACAACAATAAGGACCATATTACTTGTTTTAGGTTGGTCCCCTTCAGTTTGTGGATTAGCCCACGACATCCACCAATTACTAGCTATCTGCAGTATCTGAAATAGTGTCTGCGCAATAATAATCAGTGGAATCAATAAGCCTTTATAAGCTGCAGCCATATACGACAAGTACACTTTCATGCTAACTCGTCCTCTCTCACGTTCCTCTTCCTGAACAATCTGCTTTTTCCGAGAACGTTTTGCTTTTTTTTTATCTTTAATTGCTTTCAGATCTGAAGCTGAGGCAACCTCTTGCACTTCCTTTGCCAAACTGTCAATATTATTTCCAATCGAATTACATTTTTTACTCGATAGAACAGATCCGTCAAAGGGCTGATGATCATCTGAATCTTCAGATGAGTGATTGACAATATCCATAGCTTCAATTGCTTCGTGGTGAGCTGAAACCAAAGTATTGAAATCAGTTCCAGCTTGCAAAAGTTCATCGTATTTCCCAGCCTGAATGATGCGACCTTCCTTGAGGACCTACAACATCATAGATGAAAATAGAAGAGGAATTATGAGGAAACCAAATTTCCTATGCTTGCCCTATGTTTCTCTTTGAGTTTAGAATGCAAAAAATACAGAAGTTCATTTGGAGTCCTAGTGGCTACTTGCATGAACAAATGAAAAATGATATAAGATGGCCACAGTTCCATAAGGAACAAAAACCATTTTTCCTGTGAATTCAACCATGTAAATTTAAGAAAACATAACTAAGAAAAGAACCTCCAGAATCAAAAAGAGATTAATACCAGTATCATATCAGCAGCTGGCAGGAATTCAACTTGATGGGTTACAAAAATCAGAGTCTTGGTGGCAAGCGCTGTCAGTATGTATTCCTGCAGTTCCATGCTATATGTTTAGCCAGACTAAACTCACTTGAACTACGCAATTAATGATAAAAGTAACATTCTAACCTTGAATAATTCGGAGCCAGTGTGTGCATCAACGGCACTGAAGGGATCGTCAAGTAAATAAATGTCTGCATCTTGATAGAGTGCCCTGGCAAGCTGCACACGTTGCTTCTGGCCACCACTCAGATTGATGCCTCTATCACCAATAATAGTCTGATCTCCATGTGAGAAAAGCTCCAAATCTCTTTTTAGTGAACAAGCATGAATAACACTCTTGTATTTTGCCTTGTCCATTGGGCTACCAAAAAGAATATTTTCCTCGATATTTCCAGACTGTATCCAAGCTGACTGAGAGACATAAGCTGCAGAGCCACATATTCTAACCTAAACAAGCACCCAGAAACATCCAGAGATAATCCCACAGTAGAGGAATTCACAAGAGCAACCAAAAAAAAGGAACAACTGAGAAAAATATAGTTCAAGACTTGACTTACTTCGCCAGAGATTTTCGGAATCTCACCAAGGATTGAAGAAAGAAAGCTTGATTTCCCTGAACCAACCATGCCACAGACAGCCACACGCATCCCCCTCTCTACTTTCATATTTATACCTGATAATGTTGACTGTGGTGAAGAAGGATCCCAGCAGAACTCACCATCTTTAATTTCTATCACCAAACTCGTGATGCCTCTAGGCAAAATGACGGTTGCATCTTCCTGCAACTCTTCCTCCAGCAGGAACCCTGAAATACGATCGAGAGACACTTTTGTCTGAGCCATCATCGACACCAAGTCAGGGAAATTTCTAAGCGGTTCTTGGAGGATCCTGAAAGTAGCTAGTGCAGAAAGCACACTTCCTGCTGTAAGCTGACCACCCAATAATATGCAAGTGCCAAAAGTGACAGCTGAAACAAAAATAGGGGAGCTCCAGAAAATAAAAGTAATAAAAGCCTGCGAATAAAGAGCTTTCCTGAGCCATTTGAATTCCACACTCCGCATTTCCTCCAGCATCACTTGATACCTATTTTCCCAAGCTTGCAACTTGAGAATCCTCATGTTTCTCAGACATTCAGAAGTCTTCCTCATTCGATCATCCTTGGCAGCCATTAATTTGTCTTGGTAATCTTCCTGAACTCTCGCCAGTGGAACAGTTATAACAATGGAGACAATGGTGGCAATCAGTGTGGCCACAAAAGCAATCCCAACATTCTTATACAGAATGGCAAGGGCAAGAATAATTTGCAAAGGAAGCATCCATATGTCATGGAGATACCAAGAGTAGTCCCCCACTCTCTGAACGTCAACTGCCATGTAGTTAACAATCTCTCCACTGGTGTGGCTTTGCCTAGCTGAGCTCGAGAGCCTGAGTCCCTTCCGATACACCATTGCAGTGAGAGCTGATCTCACATGCATTCCCAAAATGTCGACCCCAAGATACCATTGCCGGGTTGTTAAAGTCTCCACCAACTTTGCTGCGAATAATGTTCCAGCAAGAATATACCCCTCATGAGGGAAAGTCTCTTTCCCCACTAAGTAATCAACAAAGTAGCTAATCATGTATGGACCAACATATGAAACCAGAGTATTCAGCCCTGCAAAAATTGCATTACAAGCTGCCTCCTTCCAGAAAGATTTGAGAATGGCCCATGCTAAAGAAGGCCGCTTCAAAGGGTTTTCAGCCTTCAACTTCTCCCAATTCGAATTCAAGATCTTATAATTGGTCTTGGAACGATCTTTCGTTGCAAGAAGTGGAATGTCTTTCAGCTCAAGTGGTCTCTTTGCACCGATTGAAAGAAGTGGGTTCAACCAGGAGAGAGTAGCCAAACTAAGAAGACCAGCTTCACTATAAGGGCTAACCTTAAGACACCCTGCATCTTCTTCGAGCAACAATGGCTCTTGAAGATCAGAGTTCCTACAAACTTTTATACCTGTGACACCTCTAATGGCAACAAAACACAGAAATGCAAGAGCTGGGGTTGCGGCAAAATTTGACAAAACATGAGAACTTCTAAAATATTTTGGGCCTTCTACTACGTATCCTTTCCCATCAGCATACAAAGTACACAAACAAAGTGTAAAAGACACAACCCACCATACCCTAAGCAACAACGGGAATTTCTCAGAGGCCTTGATTTTACAATAAAGAGCTGAAAAACTGAACACAAACCAACCTAAACCCTGAGCTGCAGGCAAGAGTAGGAGGGTCCAATTTGTACCCTTCCCTTGCGCAGCCTCTTTTATCAAACCAACACCATCAAAACCCAATACCAATATTTGCAAAAACAGAACATAGAAGCAACAAAAAACTGAAGCTATATAGCCCCTACCAATTTCGGTACACTGAATTTCACCATCGACTCTGTGCCTGAGTTGAACTGAATTTGCATTTGAGTCGTCCTTGAGAACCCGAATTCGACCAACGCATATTAATATATGCCGTGCCGATACAATGAAGAGAAACACAAGAAACAACGTCAAGTTTATGCAAATTGACGACAGTTCCAATATGGGCAAACCCTGGAAGGCATTCAGAAGATGGTTTGAGGATGAAAACGGAGTCGTCCACGCCGATAAATTGTAGAATTTATTGAACAAAAGACTGATACCCATTATAGATATCAATCCTCTGGTCAGTTAAGTGATCGGGATTCCTGAGTTGGGCCACTGTACTATTGTGTAAGCAATAGAGATCGCGTACTATTAAGGGCATTTAATCATCTGACGATAATTGTTGTACCGAATGCGCAAATATGGTGACAGGTCGGAAAGATAAAGAATCTGCAGACACATTGCACATAGAAACAAACAGATTTTTATCATCAAACCCAATACGGAAAACGGAGAGAGATAGAGAGAGAGAGACTCTTTGTTTTCTTTCTATATGTTATCTATACAGAACAGAAGGGGACAAAGAGAGTGAAAAAAATTGAAATCCGAACGAAACCCATTTGAGAAAATCCAAAAACCAACCTGGGCTTATCTTACTATCCTGAAACAATCGTTTTCCGAGCCGGTGTAGATTGCCGAGGCAATTCTGCAAGATAGAGAGATAAGTAGTAGAGAGAGCTGCTCCACAGACACAAAATAACGAAAACAACCCCACCACATCATCCAGCTACACTAAAACCATTATAAAAACAGAGAGAGAAAAGAGATCGGCCATGGCCTCTGTGCACACATATACATACAAAACGTTTGGTGCGCAATACAACTATATATTTTGTATAAATGTGTACAGTACCAATCTGTTTAAACTTTTGTGTACAGCACCACGGTACCACCTACCTTTGTATTGTTGCTGGTGACACTGCCGTGCTAGAGTTTGTGAACGGAAGAGGGTAAGTGGAATGCAGGTGGTAAAGCAATTAATGTCCCAATATTTTTTGAGTTCAAGAGATCACTTAATATATTTAACCTATATATAGAACGAAGTACAGTCAGCACATGAGAGAGAGAGAGAGAGAGAGAGAGAGTTTTATAACGTAAGAGAGAATATTATGTGGGTATAAAGTACTAGGAGTGATCATGGGAGAACTCTGAGAATGTTTTGTAGGGTAAAATTTCACTCATACCCCCCTTGAATTTTTATCCACATCACTCCTCAATTTTTTGATATTTGCAAAATAACACCACGACCCCATAAGAGTTTGTAATTGTGGAGTAATTTATTTTCTCTTTAAATTATTTTTCTATCCAGTTTCTTGATTACTCGAAAAAATTAGGTTTTGATTCCTTCTTAAATTTGATTTACATTCATTCGTTTTTAATGGGGCCAATGTCGTCATGATGATATGGTTATGTCATAATAATGTGAAGTTGAAGGGCAATGGACAATGCCAATGATGAAACGATTGGTCATATGATTGAGTGAGGCTATGTTACGGGGAGAGGAATATTGGAGTGGACAGAGGGTGGAGGAGGGATGGGTTGCTTCGGGTGATGTGTGGAAGAATGGGGTGTTTGCAGGTTTGAGAAAGATTGGGGTGTTGGGAAATAAGTTGAACCATGTTGAAACACTGGTGTTGAGTACAGCAGGGACTAAAGGAAATTATATTCTTTTGATGGAGTATAAGAGGATAAAGTTTGTATGGTATACATGTTATTTTTGCTAATGTACCTTTCAATGAGATCGAGGAGGTTTGCCTCATGTATTTATAATTTTATAATATAAAATATGATAAATTTTAATAAATTTATCAGATAATTTTAAATAGATTCATCAAACAATTACTAACATTTCTCTCAAAACTATTCACATTATACTGTGTCTTCGAGCACAAATTACCTCTAGTAACTCTATAAACTTAAGAAATCTTCGAATTGCAATGTCATTTTGATTATATAAAAAAAAGTTAACAAGATTCGAGTGGAATTTAACTATGTTTATTCCAAAGAATGAAATAGTTGATTTGTCTGTCGATTGAAAATTAGAGTTGATATTCGAACTGAGCGTATCTAACTTGTTTAGAAAATTTATTTTGTCTGTTGATTGAGAACTAGAGTTGATACTCAAACCGAGCTTATCGAGCTCGTTTTTTTAAACGAGTTTAAAAAATTGTTCAATAAAATAAGTCAAATCTAAGTAGTTGAACTATTTTATATATAAATGAGTTGAGTTTTGTGAGCTTAAACTAAATTTTTTAGACTCATTTTTTTAAACGAATATAAAAAAATTGATCAAATTTAACTCATTAAGCCAATAACAGACCGAACCCAAATCGAACTTGAGCAATTTGACTCGATTATCAGTAACTACCCATTTGTACGGTGGGGGAGAGTGTGTGTGTGTGAGAGAGAGAGAGATGCTATTTGGGGCCCGGAGGTTGTGCAATTGCAGTGGCACCACGATAAGCTTTATGGATTATATTATTACGGATATTCTTCAAACTTTTCGCAATATAAAGCCAAAAAAGATAATGAAATTTCAACCTATGTGGAGAAATTAGACTTGACCCCTTGATTTTGCAAGTATGCCTTTCCATGCTTGAAACAGAAATAGAAACAAAAAAAAAAAAAAAAACAAACAAAAGAAGCAAGTGGTTCTTTAGGCCCACCTTTTAACTGAATCCAAAATACATAAATTTTTTGAAAACCTTGACAAATGATGGAAACTCGAGAGATCACTAATAAAAAGAGTGAAACAATCATATAAAACAGAAAACTCAAATTAGTTCAAGTAATAACAGAGACAAAATGTAAACTCAACTATACCGACTTTGAATTGTGACAACCTCTTAGGATTATACTATGATAGATTTATCTTTCATGAATATCCTAATCTTGACATAAATGACATGATTTTAACCAGATCGAGAAAGGAATTGATCGAGATACACATAAATTGATCCGAACATCCCTAACCGTTAAACTAAAAAAAATCAATATCATTCAATGTCCAAGACCTTTCATTGAACTTATATTCTCAAATCTATGTTTCATTGACGCCGACTTAAGCAAATCCAATTTGTATTTTACTATCGATAGCCCCACAATTTTGTAAATGGCAGCTTGGTTGGTAAGACTTCAAACCAGGAATTAGCTTTAATCATTTGTCTGGAATATGGAATATTATTCCAATATAGACTATATATATATCCATGGAATAACTTATCCTCGAATATATTTGTCCCCAATCAATTCGATTTTGTTCTTGTACATTTTTTGTCGGACTTTTGACCACCTATACTATATACAAAGTATGTGATTTTGATTAAGGTTTAATCAACAAGATTGAAATGAATAGAAACAAACACAATCGTACAATGGGTATCATGTGATTAATCAATACACTAATGAAATAGAAAGTAAACAATTCAAAATTCATCATTAAAATTTTATTACATTACTGAAAATCAACACTGAAGCTTTGGAGATGCCTTTAATTTTATTTTTATCAACTATAAATATTTCAATGTTAACGATTGACTTAATAATTATCATTCTTATTGTTAGAGCAATTTCAACTTAATTCAGTAAAATAGTTAGTCAAAATATATTTAAGTATTGCATACTCTACTTTAGCTTACCAATTTTTTAAGTTCATCACAATTACGCTCTCTATTTTAATTAATTATTTTAATTAATTTTAACTAATTTTTAATAATATAATTCAAAAATATCACGTGACCTAACATGTCAACGCCATAATAATGATGTGACATAATGACGTGACATGTCATGTTATGCTATCAAAGTTTTAAATTTTAAATTTTACAACTGTTGTAATTCTAAAAAGGTATAAATAGAACCTTCCTCGTGTATTATCATTAACTCAACCAAAATAATACCATAACAATAATTCTAATCAAACTTCAAATAATACAAATTAATAACAATTTAACACTCATCAACTTCAAATAACACAAACCAATTACACGATACATATTTCATAAACTTAAGATTTTCACAAATACTTGCATTATTATTTTATAGGGTCTAAAATCAAATATTTCATTATACATAAAAATAAAAGGCGTTTCCAAAATTTGGGGAGAAAGGGGGTTTTCGAAATTAGGGTTTGAAGGGAGGTGGGTTTCGGGGGGAGACAGAAGGAGGTGAGATGGGTTTCAGAATGGGTCGAGGATGTGGCTTTCAAAATGAATGGAGGGGGAGGGGAGAGGTGAGTTTTAGAATGAGGGGGAAAGGGGAGAGATGGGATTCAAAATTGGGGAAGGGGGGATATACAACTTGGGGGTGGGGAGATGAAGAAAATTACCTAGAGCAACTGTTGGAGAAACAATGAAGAAAGAGGCGCGAGTAGTCTAACGAATTTCTTCTACTCTCCAGATCTGACGAGCAACAAAGATCTTTTCAGTTTTAGCTAGCAAAATAACGAGCTGATTAGAGCAATTTTTTGAGTAAACCTCGCCAAATTAACTAAAATTGAAGATTTAGTTAATGTGTTAGAGATGTTGTTAGATTTTAAAATCATGAATTTGAATTTGATCATTCGACTCTTATAAAAGTGTCTAACAAAAAAACAATAAAATATTCTTCAAATTATTTGGGGCCGCTTTAATATTTTGGTCTGTGAGTATGGTAGCTGTCGGGGCTATCCCACATCGGATAGCCTTAGGGTATGTGTATGAGTTATATGAACGCTTTGACACTTCTGCTTTTTAAGTAGAAATGTTAGAGTTGTTGTATCGTCAAAAAAAACATGTGTACATTCCAAGGTGGGCTCAGGTTGCATCCCTCCCAGGCCCAACTATGATCGGGGAGGCCTTTGGGCTATCCCACGTCGGATAGCCTTAAGGGATGTGTGGGTTATATGAACGATTTGATTAGGAGTGTACACCTTACCCTACGGGTAGAAGATATAGTCTTTCGTTTTTCTACCCGATACTTTGCGGAAGAATTTTTTCTTATCTTACCCTACCCGATAAGGTGTGGTATTCCTAACCGATTAATCGGATAGGAAATCGGATAAATACTTTTGTAGCTATTAAATTTTGGATTATTTTAATAATTCAATTAAATAACATACATCAATTTAACAACACAATAAATAAATAACACAAAAACCTAAAACAACTATAATAATAATTGTAATAAAACACAAGAAATCATGAACATCAATCTATTATAATTGTTACACAAATACAATAACAATTATTTTAAGTTTAAACTATGTGAAACACATTAAAATCATAATTGCTCCAATAGATCATTAATTCACTATAATTCATGTAACATACACAAAAATCAAGTCCATGTTTTAGTAACTCAAATATCTACAACAACGATAATGTTATAATATAAATTATACAACATAAATATTCTTATAATTACTAAAAAAATATAAAAAAATTAATATATTTTTTGCGGATAAAGTAGGGTAGGAATGAGTAAATTGATGGGTATTCTGTATTCTTACTCGATTTAATTGGAAGACAAAAAACTCTTTCGTTTTTTTACTCAATTTTTGTGATTAACTGTTTATTAAAATAGATTATTACGGTCAATCAAAAATTTGAACATTCTTAAATTTGACATTTTTATTTTTTAAATAGGAGTATTAGAGTTGTTCAATGTTAAACAAAAAAAAAGTATGGTAGCTGTCACTTCTGTGGTCATGGTCGGTCCAAGTTGTGGTTGGTGTTGAACACAACTGTCACAGTTGTTGAAATTTTTCTTGGTGCAAGTTATATCGGGGAAAAAGCTAGGTAGACATAAGGACATGTTAAAAAAAAAAAGGGTAGCGTACCGATAAATTTTATTATTATTGTGATAATTATTTTTATCACTTTTATTTAGTGTAAAAAAATTATCATTTTTATGGGTGACTTAAAAATTTTATAAGTATTTTTATCATTTTTGTGGATGTTTTTATTCCCGTTGTAGTAATTATTATTTTTCACTTTTTTTGATATTACAAAAATAATAAATATCAGTATAATGCTTAATTTTTTTCCGGCACCATAAACAACTCTTAGACATATGGATAGGCCCATGAAATTAGAAAAAAAAAAATTTGACTTG